GACATCTTGAGATGGAGGAGAAAGAGAAACAACCAGCAATGAATTTCATTGTAAGTTACTGGCTAAATTAGATATGAAAGCTATGTATCTCAATCTTTGTTGTTGCTACCCAGCAGAATATCCATTCATCTAGCTTGGCAAGATCTATCATGTGGTGGTCTTCTCTCCTGTGGTCAACCAATGGCAGTTTTGTGACAGCACCATTCGGTGGGGTTGCTGGAAAGGAGCTGGCAGTATTGGTTGGAATTGCTGCCGCATTAAGGCAAGTTGCATCATTTGAATCTGGTGTTGTTGCTGATATAGAATCAATTACCAAATAAGAATTTCTTGTTGTGCTTCAGGAGGACTGTTTGTGTGGTGGTGGAGGTGTGGTTGTGGAACGGTTGTGGTTGTGGAACGGTTGTGGTGGTGGAACGTTTTGGTTGTGAGCTTCAACTGGACTGGTGCACAATGTACACAAGCAACAATCATTTGGTGAGTACTTCTGCCTGTGAGGTTTGAATCCAACAATGAAGTCTTAAAAGAATCGCTCTCCAGTTTCCTTTGGCAATGGCTCTGCATTTTGAAATGGCTTGTCTAGACCAACAGCTCTGCCATGTCATTCAGGTAAGCCAACTCTGAATGGTTCCAGTAAGGAACAACCTTCTCCCATCCAGCTGGAATTACTTCCTTTCTGCCTCCTGATCTTGACAGGAAGGCTCTTTGTGCAATCTTGAGGTGTATCTAGCAGTGCCAGCAAGTTGAGTGCATCAGCAAGGCTTCCTCATTCCAAATTGCCAAAGTGGGCAAACTTGTCATGGAAAGCCTCTAACTTTGACTCTCCTCTCCTTGATAGGTACTCTGGAGATTGTGCTTGGAGTTGGAGAAGGTTGGATTGTGTCATACAATGTCTTCCAGTGCCAGGGGATCAGCCAGTGAGCAGCTTTCTCCACGCAGTTCTCTACAGCTGGCTTTGTATCAGAAGTGAACAAGTATAGTTCTTGGCTGGATCGAGTCGGCCCTGTCCTGGTTGGCTACCATCACTGGCTGTTCACCTTGTACTGCAGAACCACTGCTGCAACCTTGCCTCATTGTCTCTGGTTCTCTCATCTTCTTCCTTAGATACTTGGAGTACCTAGCTCTGAAGACCTTGGAGGCTTGCATATCTGAGATCTCAGCCATGGAGTAGTGCTTGCCATTGGAGGACAAGAGGCCATGTTTCAATGCATGGAGGACCTTCTCATAGTCATCTGGTGAGTACTCATAGAGGCAGTCCAAGAGTCTCCCATTGCTTGAAAGTAATCAATGTGACCCTTCCTCAAAGTTGACAGATCCTTTCTCATAATGGAACAGGCCAAGTCTTCCTCATACCTGGAAAAGCGCTCCCAATAGTCATCCTTGTGGGGCCAGGGTCCTTACATGGCAGCTGGATTGAATTGCTCCTCCTTGCTAGCTGCATGGCTGCATGGGAGAAGTGGATGGTCTTGTGTGGTGGGAACAGAACTGCAGACGCAATCTCTCTCCTGTCAGGCAGCATCCCAAACAGCAGCAGCACCAGACTCCTGCTGTAGTTCTTGACTCACCTGGAAGGTGTGGTCTTGGCGAAGATTCCTTTGTTGCATTTGACACTTTGGATCTCTCTTGTGTGCCTTTGTTGTCACTGATCCTCCATGGATTCCTTTTGAAGCACAAGCAGCATCATAGATGTCACGGATGGTGTCACCAAGAGGAGAAACTGTCTGATGTAAGTGCCATCCTTTTGAAGAAAGGGATCAGGATCAGTGGCGCTTCCTTGCCAGTATGAGAAGTATGACATCATGGCTCTAAGATACTCTCTCTGTTGATTGCATTGTAGATGAGGCGGCTGCATAGGTCTCCATTTCCATAGGTTAACATGATAGAATCGAATACTTCTGTTGCTGTTCGCTCCAAGTGACAAGCCTTGTTAGGCAGAGCATACTTGGACTCCACTGGATAGAGCAATGAAACATGGTCTGGGATCGAGACCAGCACTTCTGCAGAGTTGCATCGAATCTTCTGTTGCAGCTTCACAAACCATGGACTGACTATACACCAAGAAGGAGGACCAGTGATGCCAAAGATGGGAACAAGGTCTTGTTGTGTGACCAGTTGTCCTTGTATTCTTGAGTTTGCCAGAGCATCTTCCATCGGGACAAGGAACTGTAATTCCACATCGATTCCAGTCCACTAGAAGGAGTTTCTGCCCACAATGGAGTGGTAGTGAGGAGACTCGAATTGCTCCTCTGTGGAGGGAACTGTCATGGTGAGTCCTTGGAAGTGTTTGTGAAGAGTTCTGGATTCTTTGCCCTGGTAATGGATTCTGACACTGCTTCTGCCATTGCTAGCATTGCCAGTGGTGCTCCTTTCTTCTTGTGCTTTTCCACAAAGGCAGTATCATTAACAAGAGTGGTTACCTTTTCACAAAGAGCTACTGGAGTGGCCATTGCTGCCTTTTGTTGCTGTTGCCGGCTCTGCTTTGGTTTGGCTGTGTTGGTTCTAGCAGCAAAGAATGCTTCTCCATTTTCTCTTGTGGAATGCCTCCGCTTCCTCTCTTCATTCAGTGGTAGAGGAGCACTGAATTGTTGGTAGTCTTCTGCTTTCTTTGATTGTCTCATGGTCAGCGCATTCAAAGGTCCTTGGCCTTGGTTCCTTTTGTTATTGTATTCTTAATACAGAAGACAGAGTGTGATCTCTTGGGGACCTGAGACCAAGATGTCTGCCTTACAGATGACACAGTTCTTGAGTGGATCAAAGACTTCTGCTACCCCTCCTCCCATGTGTTGTTTGCGGTCCTTCTTTCTCGGCTCTCTTGGATCTGTTGTTTTGTTGGAGGCGTGATATGCTCTCTTCTGTTGCGAGTTCCTCTGTTGACTTTGGCACCCATTCCTCCATTGTGAGTGGTAGCTGCTGTTGTTGCTGCTGCTGCTGTTGCTGCTGCTCTCTGTTCCGGTCATGATGGTTGCTTTTGGCTGAGATAATGACTGTCGAGTGGCTCTCCGGTGGTTGGTTGAGTGAGCGGCAGATGTCATTGTCGCGATCGGAAGAGGAATCCTTCTTTCGCGAAAACAGAAACACGAAATTTCGAACTTTATAGCACACTGTATCCGTAATAACTATAAATGGTACGTTAATTGATTTAAATCTTATTCCATAAATATTGCTGACATATACATGTTCTTCAGAACTCGTTAGCCAATCAGATCACTGCCTTCCACCCCTTTCGCCCTTCTCGAATACATGTATGTAGACTAGTAGAGAGACGGGCCAGGCTCTGCAGAGACGGGACCAACTGTTGAAAAGTCCGATGGAGTTTGTGAAGAGATCACAATCCAGCTCCCACACACAATCGCAAATCAATTATTAGAAACTTTCTTTTCTGTCCAGCATGCCGACCACCAACGATTTCCGCCCTTGCCAGCTGCGCCGCAGCCACGATGGCGATCAGCACAACACCCTTTCCTTGTCCATGCTCCATCGGCCCGTGTCCCGGAATAGAGTCAATTTGGATTCCACTCTCATGGCTCGAACTTCTTTTTCCCGTCCCAGTGGAGATCCCCGTCCTGGCATGACAAGAGAAAGTGCCACCGAAAGAATGCATCGTGTCCTATCCATCTTGGACCAAGCACTGGATACATTCGAAGAAGATTTGGGTTTCCAGCAGGACGAAGAAGAATCTACCACCAGTGGGACGGACGAAGCGGCGGCCACTCATTCCAGGGAACACCCAAGCCCCTGATCTGCTTCTAGGGACACTCAACAGATTCAGGGACCTCCACAACAAGCGAGCGCCAACCACTTTTTTCCATACTTTCTTCGTGTTGCATGTTTCGATAGATAAATCCTTACTTTAGTGCTTGTTTTTCATACGAAAGAGTCTACAATTAGTATAACGCGTCGTGGATGCAACGCTGCAGTCCTCCACCTTCATGTGGGATCAGCATGCTGTTGGCTGTGCTCTGACAGCCCTCCCCCCGGAGGAGGGCCATCGAAGTTTTGGCTGGGCCATATGAAAAACTGCCAGATAAGAACAAAGATCCAGTAGGTCACTCTTTGACTCGACTCCAAGGATTTCACTGCTGACTATCCTCGTAGAGACCAGGCGTCAAACTAAACATGGCCACCAGCCAAAGCAAAAAGAAATCAAGGTACACGAGCTGCTTCAGAGTCGCTGCTGCATACGAATAGATTGCTTCACAGTGTACCAAACAAGCGGTTTATGTACCGTAGTCTAGTAGTAGTGGAGAAAGCAGAGGAAACCAAGGAAAGATCGTGCTACGGTGGTAGTTGTACCGGTACGTACCGGTACCGGTACGAAACCGGTAACGGTCACGAACTCGTGAATGAATCCATTCGATTCAATCAAATGTGCGTCTCAGTCACCTTCCTTCGGCTCGGTACCGTACATCGTACGGTACATACCGGTAAGGCACACTTGCCTTGGAAGAGCCCACAATTTCTGCAAAACCGTCTCAAAAGGAGGAGAGAAAAGATGCCTTGTTCAAGTTTGCTGAGCAAAATAGTATTAGACGCAGGTTTGGGTATTGTCGGAGGTACATTTCGGACAGCAAGAACAAGGTCGTTCAGCAGCAGAGCGCCCTCCCCTTTTTGACTTTGGAGAAGCCGGGAGGACAACCCTGGCGGTGCTAATGCTTTTGCTTTTCGTGTAGCCCCACCAAGCAATGCAGCCTCTGCTCAATGCAGTGATTGGGGTCCCACTCGGCATAAGCTATCTCGTTTCTCTGGCCTAAAAATTGTTCTCGCACACCTCCAACACCGTACCAGTGGCAATGTTGCGCCGTTGCATCTTGATACGGAAGGTGGAGCTTCCGACTTGTACAAGCATGAGGGACAGCTCCATGCTACCGGCATACATACCCGTACCGGTACCGTACGGTACCACTCAGGCAGTACCGGTACAGAATTTAAGCCAGCGGAGCTGTGTAACCTCGGCAGAAAGGTTTCAGTGTAGAAGCAGATAACCCCATTAGCTAGCTAGCTAGAAGCAGATACCTCTAGTGCTTAACTTGCGCTTAGCTAGCTAGAAGCAGATCCCCCCTAGCTAGAAGCAGATTCCAATAGCAAGCTAGAAGCAGATACCCCTAGCTAGCTAGAATCCTAGTTATATAGCGTTCGCTGGCTTTAGAGTTTTTCCTGGTAGAAGCAGATCCTACTAGGATGCATGTAAATAGCTTTAGCTGGTTTTTTAAAGCACCATCCTAGCTCTAGGATACTTATTTAGTTTTGCTGACTTATTTGTATTCTAACCCTACCCTTATACCTGCAGGGACCGCCGTAGCAGGAAAAACAATTCGGCTTTTTTTCAGCGTTCGTCTCCTGTTTCCTCAGTTTGCTCGCTACTTGGATCCTTATGACGAATACATGCACAACCGAATATTGTCAATCCAGCCATTGTAGCGAGCTACCGTAGAGTTACATCGATCCGTGACAGTACCGAACACACACTCAGGTTCCGCTTTACTGACTACACTCCGTTACCGGTACCTTGCTTTGGATCCTTATGACGAATACATGCACAACCGAACATTGTCAATCCAGCCATCGTAGCCAGCTACCGTAGAGTTCATCGATCAGTGACAGTGGCAACAGTACCGAACACACGCAGGTTCGACATTGTTCGCTGCACTCAGTTACCTCGCATTTGATCCTTATGACGAATACATGCACAAAACCGAATATTGTTAATCCAGCCATTGTAGCCGGCTACCGTACAATTACATCGGCGACAGTGTCAACAGTACCGAACACACTCAGGTTCCGTTTTGCTGGCTACACTCCATTGCCGGTACCTTGCTTTGGATCCTTATGACGAATACATGCACAACCGAATATTGTCAATCCAGCCATTGTAGCCAGTTACCGTAGAGTTACATCGATCCGTGACAGTGGCAACAGTACCGAACACACAGGTTCCGCTTTACTGGCTACACTCCGTTACTGGTACCTTGCATTGGATTCTTATGACGAATACATGCACAACCGAACATTGTCAATCTAGCCATTGTAGCCAGCTATCGTTGAGTTCATCGATCGGTGACAGTGGCAACAGTACCGAACAAAAGCAGGTTCGACTTTGCTCGCTGCACTCGGTTACCTCGCATTGGATCTTTATGACGAATACACTCACAACGGAATATTGTCAATCCAGCCATTGTAGCCAGCTGCCGTATAGCTAGTGACAACAGTACTTGATTTGCGCATACAGGAAAATGGGTACCGACACAGGAATCACCACCAAAACAGTAGGAAATAACAAGAAGGGATGAATCCGGTAGGAGGGTCCACTCTCTTGTGTGTTGTCGAGTAGCTAGCCTTGCTCCTGTTCCCTTTCAATGAGTCGACGACGATCCGTTCATGCTGTTGGTAGGGCTGGAGTTAACAGTTTCCTCCGTACACATACGTCCGTAGCGATAGCCTCTTCTTCCTCGTGTTATTCGGAGCGATCAATCGTTCGTTGGACCGCGACAATGGTAATTCATCGGCCGTCAGCAGTACAGCAGAGAAAACAACAAATAGATATGAGTTTTGTTTTCTGTGCTCAACTGCAGACGACCGGAGACTTACCATTGTTTTTCAAATTGCACCAACTTGGCCGTCATGGGCCGAGAACTGACTGCCATCCCACGGTCCATAGGATTCAATGAGGGATGGCTTTCCAATCTACACCGGAGAAGGATGGCTTGAATGAGGCTTGGATAACAGAGGTGCGACCGATTCGATTTGAATAATTAAAACAACTCACCTGTTGACGGCCGAGCTCAGATTTATCTCCTGTTTACCATAGAAATCCAATGAGGGAGAGAAGTCAGCGCTGTACCTTCAATTAACACTCTTGATAATAGGCTTACCTCATTGCGATCGATCGATCAATCGATCGATCGATCAATCGATCGATCAGCCGATTGAATAAAGAACTCCTCCTACCGGTTACCACTCTTGTCGGCCAAGCTTGGATTTACCTCCTGTTTACCATAGGAATACAATGAGGGAGAGAAATCAGTGCTGCACCTTCAATAATAACACACTTGATAATAGACGTACCCGTACTAGCTAGTAGTAGTAGCCATCGATCGATCGTTGACGGCCGAGCTTGGAATTCTCTCCTGTTTACCATAGAAATTCAATGAGGGAGAGAAGTCAGCGCTGTACCTTCAATAACAGGCTTGATAACAGATAAATAAATAAATACAGATACCGAATCGAATCGATCGACCTTAACCTTAGTAACTTCAACGGTTCTTTTTATCCATGAATCGATCTAAATCTTTCGAAGAGAACCTGTTACTTAACGATACACATGACCGTTGATTCTGCAACTGAAGTGTGGGTACTCTATTTTACACAGTAAACGCCGGCAAATCGATTCCAGAGTGCTATTGAGGGGGTAACCAAAAGGTGCGTCGTCTCATTGAGACGTAATTAAAGGGGTTGAGGGCTCTGGCAGCAAGACTGCCGAGGTAAAGAGGGTTTTGTACGGACGTTTTGGGACAACAGTGGTTCACTATATAGAAAACAGTACAAATGGTTACAGGGCTTTTGTCCCAGTGTCCCAGTAACTTTTTAGGTGAATGACTTAGAAAGTTTCCGTGCACAATTATATCCTAATCTCAAGATAACTAGAAGAATGGGATCATCAAGCCTTAATTAACATACAAATTTTATTAGAGTTACTCTGTTTAATATGAGAAATACAATGTTATTCCTATGATGGAAATTGCTTGGAATGCGCGATTTGTTGTTAAGCAAATTTGTTATTTGGGACAATCCATACAGTACAAAGTGGGTTAAAAAAAATTTTCAAGAAATTTACACCTGATAAAGCACGGTCCCATTCAAAACCCACTTTAATCTCGTACCACATCACGGTGAATGATGATGACTGCAAGTTCGAAAAGTTCGGATTGAAGATTGATTGCATTATTTACTTGATACTTGATTAGATCTTGATTCCGTGCCTGTGTTCCCAGCTGTTGTCGCATTGCAATGTCCCAAGGCAAAAACTCCAGCTGCAAAAACACTACTACTGGAGTAGTAAAAAACAAGATGAGAAGAGGTCCCTCCTTGTTCCAGAAGAGGCTAAACCCTCGCGTGATGCGGCATCCACCCCTTAATGCATTAGGACGGGCCTAGAGGTTCTCAAGGTTCGGATTACAGCTGATTGTAAACCAAAGACTGGACCACTGGCTCTTTGTGTAGAAGATTCTTAGTACCAAATAAATGGGTACTCTCATACCCGGTTTACCACTTCTTATTTTGTTCGTACCATTACTTAAAATATCGTGGACATTGACGGTAAAGAGGCCCTTTAAGTCCGGTACCATACCAGCATCTTTCCTTTCAGGTGCTCGCTCGTTCGCTGCACAGCGCTCACACTTCAGACTACTAGTATCTCACATCTCATCACCCCTCCAATCTCCAAACAAAAACAACACACACAACGCCCACAGCCAAAGCATACCGGTATTGATTGAGTTTGCTGAAATAGTAAAAACTACTTCACGACCACTACAACACAATGGTGAAGATTGGCATTTCCAAGCTCCTCCGCAGGATCAGTGGCGGCAGCACCGAGGATGGGAGTGGTCACACAGAAGACTCGAGACGCAGCAGTCATAGTGAGCAGAAGCAACAAGAAAAGCAGAGGCAACAAGAAAAGCAGCAGTACTTGCTGACACGATTGGGCGGCATGGTGGTCTTGGGCTCGATCATTCAAGAGTTTTGTCGTCGAGCCATTGAAGACGAACGACTCTCGCAGTTTTTTGCGGGCGTGGATCCTCGTGTCTTGACGGCGCATCAAACCAGATTCTTCACGCTGGCATTTACACGGCCCAACCGAGAACAGGCCGAGATTGTCATTCGTCGACGTCATCAACGTCTCTTTGCCTTGGGCTTGTCCGAAGTGCACTTTGATGTATTCACGACACACTTGGAAGAAACCTTGAGAGATCGCGGCTTTGGAGATGCCATTGTCGCAGAAGCCAACGCCGCAATTCATCGCGCGAATTCCAATCATCCTGTCAGCAATCATCATCATCATCATCATCGGCACGCTGCTATTGTGATCACGGCAGGACCAGCAACAATACTGAAGCTGCTGTCCGACGTGCCACCACAACCGCTTGAGTGGCTGAGGGTGCACTGGCTATGATTAGCTGACCTGGTGGTGCTGGAAAAATGCAAAACCACTCTGTACAATATGCTTTACCAAGCAGCCAGCCATAAAGCAACAATGTTTTATAATAGTCTTTCTATAAGGAGTAATCATGAAAATGATTCTAGTTCATGCAGACCCGTATCTCAATTGCCCTTGTGAAAGCTACCCATGTATGTATTGGTGGATCCCGCAAAGCCAACATCCAGCAACTGCTCTGGGGGCTAGCTACCGGTACCGACGGTAGCAAACTCAACTATCACTTTTTCTGGTACGGTATAAAGGAAGCGGCTAACTATGCAGCATAGCTGCCGGTAGCAACAATTGCTTGGGGTGGGACTGACTGCAATGGTTATGTAGCTTTGTGTGCTGCCTGCCGGCAGCTCGTGGGTTGTCTAGATACCAGAAGACAAAGTAAGTGCACTCAAGACAAGTTCGCTAAACCGTACGTTTATCTTAAGATTGATGTATGTACTAATAACAGACTAACTACCGGTACTAAATGAGCCGAACTGCAGAGACGCGAGGATTTCCGCCGGTGTCTTCGATTCGAGGGCAGGTTTAAAAGCACAGACCTCCTTTTCTCGGGGCTTGTTTGAGCCAACTAACGCACAATCTGGAAGAAAATGTCAGATCCTCCCGCAGACTGGTTCAAATCGCCATTGAGACCATCTTTGTAGGTGGCTCGATAGTTGCTGGATGGCTGTTTGTTTCTGATCTTGATCTCCTTGATTGGTTTGCCTTTCCTTGTGCTCTTGGTATAACAGAGGTAGATATCCTTCCCGCCGGCATTCTCATTGAGATCGCCATTGAGGTCACTCTTATGCCCCGCAAACTGGTAGCCACTATCACATTTTTTCTTGTCCTTTTGCAGCGTCATGTGAGTAATCGGCTCACCAAAGAGTGGATTCCGTGTGACGCAGGTGTAAATGTCCTTGCCCCCGGCTTTCCGGTTGAGGTCGCCGTCCAAGCCATCGTAAGCCTTGGCCCGGAAAAAGTCCCTTTCGCAACTTTTGCTTCGGGAAAAGCCAATGGCCGTAATGTACTGAGTGCTCGTATTCTTGCCGAGTTTTCGATGGCGCCGGGATTCGCCAACATGAGTCTGGTCTCCGTCTTCGTCCATGGTCAGATCAAACTCGTCAGTCTCGATATCATCGATGTCCTCGTCTTCGTCGATATCCATGTTGTTGTTCTCGTCTTCTTCCTCCTCGTTGTTGTCGTGAGCGTCCTCAGCATAATAGGTATCATACAGGACCTCATCTTCGTCGACATTGTCCACAAAATCTTCCATCTTCAACGCGTCCATGAGGTCTTCCAAGTCAACCTGTTTCCAGAGCTCTTCATCGGCTCCAGAGATGGGGGAGGCGACGACACCTGAAACCGATTGTCATCAAGGGAGTGGTTTGGAATTCAGGTAGTGGTGGCAAAAAGAGAAGAAACAAAGCAGAGTGTGAGGCGATTCAATTGTCGGAATGCTGCGAGTGTTGAGCGATAGCTATCGAACACTTGCCTCGAAATGCTTGGTTGGTCAGAGCCAACGACGCAAGCCAAAACAAAACCTGAAGCTGCATGGTGGAAGAAGGTGACGATATCTCGCTTTCAGTTGGACTACGTCAGACAATAAACAGTCGATGGACCAGTTGGTTTTGGCTTTGAAGGAGACAAGAAAATGAGACCAGACTGTCACTCTTGTTTTGGATTCGATTCCTCCGATCTTTCGATTATCGTTGATACCTGGTACAGAGGTCACAAATGGCTTGGATTCAGTTACCGGTGACTCGGAGGCCCAAGCAAAGTTCTCCGTCCCAAGGAGCTTCCGATGTCAGATTCAGAGTCTGCAGCAGCAGAACCGGTACCAGGTAATGGTACTGAAGTTGCGGGAATACCTGTTTTTACTGTCTTAAGTTTCCTGGAATTTGGAATATGAACCAAAAGGTACGGGTACGACTGTACAGCTCTTTAGAATTGTGGGAGCCCTTCCCCGCAACTCCGTCCTACTGGAACGAGTTCGCGTGCAGTCATCGAACCTCATCGGGCAATACTCGAGTAGAGAATTGAATGTCCCAACGAAGCCCAAATACTGGTTTCGAACTGTGAGTGACGTGGTGCAGTCATGGTTAGTTGAAGTTCCAAACTCTGGAACAAATACTGAGATTATTTTTACCTTCTGTCACCATAGGTGATGATTATCCAGTTTTAAAATACAAAATCAGGATAATTAAATATTATCGTTGAACCGAATCTTGTGACTGACGAGTCCTGTTGTTGGCAATCCAACTCACAAATGGCTATCCAGTCAACATGCCCAAACCTTTTAACCATCATGCAGGCCCAATAGATTCTCTTGGATGCCAACGATGATCACGTGATCAGCGCTCCCACTCATGTACCGAGACATGTAGAATTTGTGTCGTCGGAATACCCTTTCGGTGTGGATACCGGTACCATAATGACCACAGAAAGATTGCATGATTTCCCTGATTCTTCAAACCTCTTCGCCAGAGTCGGATTAGAAAGGTTGCAACCAAAATAAAAGTGAGCTCACAATATCAGATTTGGTTTCCAAAAAAGCAAAGCAAACAAAAGCTCTAAACATGAAACTCTTCTGGCTGGGATTGCTGGCCATTGTGCCGCTGGCGGTGGCAACAACTGTTGATGAAGTCGTCATGAAACCGACCGAAAGCGAGGAGGCAATGATGGAGTCATTGGAGGAAGCTGTTGATGCCGTTGAAGCGGCGGAGGGAAAAGATGAGGATACGGTGAAGAATGAAACCGAGAAGCCCGTTCTTATCTGGAAGGACCCCATCCCAGCGGTAAGCCCTCGATATCTTGTCTTTGCCATATAGGTTGCAATCGGTTTGTGTTTGTCTGTTCCCTTATCTAAACTTTGACTCTCGTCGGATGTTCTTTCCACAAAGACTGACAACTATACGCAGTTGCTAGCTGGCATTGAAGATTTGCGGGCTATTGTTCAGCCCGACTACGCCAAGGACATAGCAGTCAAGAGCTCCCAGACGATTCTCGAGACCGTCGAGAACTTCGATGGTACTGTCCAGAAGTTGGTTCATATCATCAACGACTTGGAATCTCGCGGAGGAATCCCAGAAGTTATGATCCCGGTTGTCAATTTCGTCAAAATGCAATTGGAAGACGCCGCTACACAAGCAAATGACGTAATCTTGGAACTGTCTGGTAAGAATCGATCGAATCTCACGGAGGTTGTGGGGTTCCGCTCGTGCAGATAACGCAACTAACTCCCATGGCTGAACATGTTTTCGTGATTGCTCTTTCGGATATGTTGTCGGACGGTGAAATGGTATAGACTCTATTGAGGCGTTGCAGATCTCGGACGGAATGAAGGACAGAGCCCATCGTTCTTCGGTAGATGACGGCCGTGATACCGGTGCGCAGGAGGGAAGCCATGTTGTAGCCCAAGTTTCCGTGAATTCGAAAGGCAAGCAGCACTATCAAACAGGCGGCGACCGTGGTGGCGACGAACGGAACCGTCAAAGCAAGAACAGTCACCATCATCACTACGAAAAGCTCCGAACTCATCCCAAGATGCGCCAGCATCTTGAAATGGTAAGAATGGAAAGGGGACCCGATGGTTCATCGACGGGCTCGCAAACCTCAGCAACGATCGATTTCTCTGTATATAGCATGATGCGATGATGTCTGGAGACTTTGAGTTTGTCCACCGGACCATGGAGCGAATTCAGAGGCAACATGAGACGTCTGAACAGAGCGAACGAAGGCTTAGTCAGAGTGTGTCCAAAGAGTGCAGGAAGCTGGTCGCCTGTATTGAAGAGTGGTCAGTCGTCCCGAAGGACCTGCGCTTGGTTTCCCGATGACGAACATGAACTCACCCAGATGTTTCTCGAACTCTCTCTGCCTCTGGGGTGTTTGTAGGTCACTGTACGACGTAGTGGCTTGGTTCTACGGTAAGGATACCTTCGGAGATTCTGGCTCCTTTTGACTTGATTCTCAGTCCTCACATTCCTTGCCTGCCGCAGGACCATACGTTGACGAACAAGGTTAGTTCTAGCTATAGCTTCCGGGCTATCTTCGAAGTGACCAGATCGCCGTTGCAGGTTCTCAAATTTTCTCCGTATCTTGCTGTAGGAAAACTGGAAGACAACGTCGTGGTTGCTGATGCAAAGGGTGATGAGGGAATCGAAAACGTAATCAAGAACGTACAGAAGAAGCTCAAGGAAGCAAAATCGAAGTATGCGGAGGACAAATGCGAAAGTCTTTTGCACGAATTCCATGTTAACGAGAACAAGGATGACTTTGCAATTTATCACGGGGCAACAGTGAGCAAAGTTTGCCGAGCTCAGGTAAGCCGTCGATAGATAGATTGGGTGGGCCTGTCTCGATGTTTCAAGACCTCATGATTTTCCGCTTTCAGGGAAGCACGAAGTATATCCAGATCAGGTCAGTGCACAGGAATGGTCGTGAAATAGCAAATGAAGATGCCTCAGGATCTCTCACCCAAGTCATTGCAATCCCCCGAAAATAGTGAGATCCGGGACAAGATTGGTGGAGCTGTTGCTGACAACTTGTTCGACGAGTAAGTGATGGGACATATGAATAAATGAATGGTTTTGTCATGTTTCTCTCCAACACTCGATGCCGTTTTGTGTTATTCATCAAAGTCTCGTCAAGTGCGCATCGAATTTAGGGGATTCAACATTCTTCGATGTAAGGAGAGCTGGAGACATAGCCCCAAGATGACGATGGCAAGCTTTGTCCCTCAATATAGAAATCTTTTCTCTGTTTCCTGTGCAGGGCAATACACCACGCATTCCCACCAGCGTTTCCCAAGATCGACACGGAGCCACCAAATCTATCACTGTCGAGAGTCACTTTAGCTATCAAGCAACCAGTAAGTCGAGATGAAGCTGTCAACTTCTGTGTCTGTATTTGGAGTGCCTTACATGGAGCGTTTGCCCTCTGTGTTGTTTAGGCCCGGTGAGTGGGGCAACCAGGGGAAGATATCGTCTGTCGTACGATCAAATTAGACGAAGAAGCGCAACTTGTATTGGCTTGATCAACGAGGAGTACGCCAAGATGTACAAGAAGCACGAAACTGCCATCTTCAAACATTCGGGGAAAAAAATCGAATACCCAAGACTTCAAATCAAGGTGTCTCCAGTGATGCGCAGGGTGTACATAGGCATCGGAGACTCTTCAAGCAACCCCAGGCAAATTTGCGAGATAACCAGTACCCGGTGGGAAGAGTGTCCACACAGAGAGGGTTTGCGCATCAATAGTGGTGAGGTCTTCGAAAAATGCGGCTCTGGAATTGAGTCATTCGATGTGAACGGTCTGTTCTCCGGCTTTGGGAAGGGCGATCGAGACAAGGCTTCAAGACTTGCCTTGGGAGAACAGATGAGTGTTGGTATGGTGTGCGCATACTCTGAAAAGGCGAAATCAAATCGAGACAGAAAGGCGAAGAAGGTCCCAGGTTGGTGCTGCATCGATTCCCCGGCCGATAGCGGCAGCTTTGGAAAGGAGGTATGTGTCACAAGGCAACTGGCAACTGGCAACTGTTAGTTGCGAGAACCGGCCAGAGGACCCGGGCCATTCCTGCAGCGTGGTCCTTGCCCCAAACTGACGCTTTGCCGACGCTTTTGCTGTGCAGTACATGTGTGATCAAGGAGAGAGGGCTTGTAAAAGGACAGCCCCGGCGTTGGCAGGACTCAGTCAATCCGCGTGTGACCCATGGAGTGGCAAATGGTGTCCTTACCCTAGATCTTGCAGAGACTTGATTAACTGCGTCAAGGGCGAAGTAAACTGGGCAAAACAGAAAAAGAAGACGGCGTATTCCAGCTATCTGAAGGCTGCTCCAGAGGTCAAGGACAAATATAGCCTCGCAGAATGCGGAGATCTCCGAGAATACTTGTAAGTTGACTCGGTCCTTGTTGCGTACATCCTTCCAAGTTGAGGCGCTAACAGATCTCGTCTCTTGCTCAGCGGTTTCAAAGCAGACTACCCCTTGGACGACGAGTGAGTAGATCGCAGACTCTGTGATGTTGCCTTTGTTGGCTACCTGAGCTCCCGCTTCCGAACTATCTCCTCCACTCACGATCCCCCCATTTCACTGCTCCGGCCATAGAATCTGCGAAGACATCACGTTCTTGAGAACGAACAGAAACTTTGGTACGATGAAGGGGGTGATGCTCCCAATTCAGATCCATGTTTACCTGTCTGGCTCAGCACTAACACGCGGCTTCTCGGCTGTCTCACGCAACAGACAACCTCGAAGACAATTTTGGAAGCGGAAGTGTTGATAAATCCGGCGATGGTCCTCCTCCAAAGCAGGAATTGATTGAGCCCGAAGAGCGTAAGACGTTTGCTTCTGTTTGCTAGTATGCACAATTCAGAGACTCGATCTGACCCCAGTAGCCTATGTACTGTTTTGTCACAACGTACCGGAACAGCGGAAACGACGGAGGAAATGTACGAGGCATTTGACACGGCCCTCATGGCCATGGAGATCACTCTTTACGGTCTCGAATCCGCCGAAAAGATTTCCGGGTATTTCGAATGTCCAAGTGATCAAATGGGCCTCTCTGGTAGGTACTTGTATCAGCGAGGCGCCCGATCGAGTCTGCCTTGGATCAGATACTGTGCATTTACTTACAGCTCGTGGTGCTTTGCCAACAGCCAACATTTGCATGGGTATCAAGAATGCTTTGACTATTGCTTCTGTACAGGGTGTTGCTGCTTTAGAGACGGTGAGAAATTTTCTGTTGTGCTTATCATTGAAACAGATCTTTTGGAAGTTCGCTAACAAAACCTGTAAACCTCCTGTTGTGCGAAAGGTTATGGAGACGGTGGAGGAGAACATCCCAGCCGTGAGCAATCACGAACAGTTCCAAATCTATCACAACGTAGACATTTTGTACAAGAACATGCAGATCATGAACGATGGCATTGGTAATATTCGTGTCGATATCCACAATCTCAAGCAGGAAAAGAGACACCTTGTGGAACACGGGAATTCCTATGCCAAGTTCTCCGGATGCGATGGACTTGACCAGGACTTGGATGGAATCAGTGACAACTGCGAGGAGGACTTTTCGCCTCCAGAACTCGTCATCCCCCCTGGCACTGAAATCGAATCCATTGTCTCGGTGACAGGCACAGCCACTGCTCATTCTGTTCCCGACAAGATCTTCCAGAGCGGCGAAGCCGCCAAGAGCTATCTTGAGCGTGTGCTTCGCGTGGCTGACGATTGCGCACCAGAATCTGCCTTGTCCTTGAACCTGACGCTTGTGAATGATACACGTGAATGCGGAAGCATTGTTCGTGCCGCACCTATCCATTATTGCGACAAACAAGTCAATTTTGGGATTGAAAAGAACTTTCATGTGCAAGTCGACTCCAGTCCTCCGGCGGTATTGTGTGGATTTGACTCGCCTCATACCTTGGATGATGACAAGACAGTAATGATTCTGGAAGAGGCCGATGAGGGCTCCCTCTTGGTAGACACGGGCTTTTTCTACAACATCTCGGTAAGCATTCACGTCCTTCGTGGCATATACCGAAGCCCGGCTCGTCTCAGGCGCCAAACAGATCGAACTAACGCACTGCATGGGTTTGCTCAATTGCTTGCTTGACTGTCTCCAAAACAGGAATCCTGCTCGAATCAGGTCAATGTTGACGTGTCAGTTCACAGCAACGAGTTTTATGCCGCAGGAGGAGGGTCTCTCATGGCCAAGGCTGCCGTAATGCATGCTGGGAATGTTTCCCTCGCCAAGGTCTTTGTGTCGCCATTGTCGTGTCAGCAACATAGCCAGAGTCAGTTCCAATGCGGCGGCGTCTGTGTTGGAAGTGGCGGTCGCTCGTATGAAATTCGCGTGTCCGCCACGGACGAGGCGGGATGGACGTCTCAAGAGATTTGTCGCGTCGTGGTGGTGCCCCGCAACGCTGCGTCGAGCGGTTTCCGTGCCTTGGCTAATGAGCAGCAGTTTGGCAAGGATACCCCCACGTACGAAATCGACCGCGTTGCCTTGACGTGGACGAACAATTGAAGTAAGGAGCATTAGGTTAGGATGATGATGATGATTGTGCGATTGACGCGAGCTGGTTCAGGAACGTTTGCAAAGCCGATGGGATTCTTGGAGATGCCAAGATCAGCAGAACAGCACATCACGAAATAAATACATTAGTAGCAGATACATACATCTTTCCTTTGCCAACAAGACATTTTTGTGGTGGGCTGTAGTCCTCATTCGTCGGTCCGTGAGAGGCTGATCTCCAATTCTTCAGCTCGGCCCCTTGCAAAAGCAGACTCGACATTTACTTGGTAGCACTTGTAGTCGTTCGAGAAACGGTTGGGTCAGTCGATTGCTAGTGTCGTGGTAGCCTGGAGAGAGCAGCCTTTGCAAAAGGTGTCTATCGTTCGATCATTGATGGATTGCCGTGGATGGATTGCCATGTATCATGTTGTTGCGTCAATATATATTATTTTGCGTCGTCGTAGTCGGCGGATACGGGTGCCAATTCGCCTTGAAGATGAGCCGTATCGGCCCAGGATTCGATGCTCCATTGGATGGTTGGTGGTGATTCGTTTTCATCTTCCTCTTGAAGAATTTCCAGTGCAAATCTGGATATACAAGCGTTTCCTGGTCTAGCGTAGTGTTGTTGGTGCTCGTCTTGCGCCTGGGCAACGACATGCCGTAGCAACTGTCCAAGAACCCCTCCATGCGTGACGCAAACAATGACGGGTGCGTCTGTGTCGTCTGCTGCTGCTTGCTGTTGTACCACAATGCGATTGATAAAATTCACCACTCTCCATCGGACTTGTTCCATACTTTCTCCGTTTGTCAGTGTAATGTCGGCCAGCGGCAATGTCGCATGAGGATTGGCCCATTGGGAAAAGATCTTCCAATCATCGGGATACTCTTGCATGGCTTGATGCTTTTCCAATCCTTCCAGGACCCCCAAGTTCCATTCTCGCAGTGCCTCATTGGTAGAGACGGACGACGCAAGAAGGGTCGCCGTATCCTTGGCTCGTGCCAAGGGACTCGAAAAGGTGACCGCTGTTTTCCTTGTAATGTCGTTGGAGAGTGCCTCTGCGACCGCCTCGGCTTGTGCCAATCCCTTGGCATTCAAGGGAATATCCGTCGATCCCTGTACTCGCAATTCCTTGTTCCATGCCGTCTCGCCATGACGGACTACTATCACTTGTTGCCGTCGCCGTCGAGTGCTCAAAAAGCGTCGTGCTACCGTAGAAAAGCGTCCACTTCGTACCCACAATATATGGGACGACACAACGGGGTGACTGATCATACCGTAATACATACCGAGCCTAGCTAGCTACTGACCAGAGACTACCAAAGTTCAACAAACTGTGTTTGTGGAGTTGGCTTTACTGACGAATGTTCCTTGGCGGCAAGGATTTTTTGTTGGCGGTTGTTTTGCTGTTCCAGCCGTTTTAGTGCACGCGGGAGGCACGTGGCAGAGAGTTGGAAGTTCAACCTTGTGTGAATCTTTCGTATCTTCGGACAATCTGGAGGTCACATTTTCAAGGAAACCTGGTGTCGTTTGAACGAAAACCTGGCATTCATTCAAAGCGACAAGCAGAGCTCCAACAGGCTGCTCCCTCCATTATTTTACCCCACAGAATAGAAGAGGACCTGCCATCACACTAATCTAACTACAACAGCCCAACCATGCCTCCACCAGCAAGTCCAAGACGAATAAAGAAGCGGAGGAAACTTCGACGTCAGTGGTTGAAAGGATCCATCCTGACGGTCAGTTTCTTTGTCATTACTTGCATCCATATCACCTCGGTGACACACTTCTGGTTGTTCCGAGAAAAGGCAGAGCAAATCTTTGCACTGATGGAGGCTCCTACCGGTATAGATGATCGGGTCTTCACCAATAATGCTACTGCTGCTGCCAGAGATCCAGGTGATGCATACATGCCTGGATTGTTGCGAGGCATCGAGCCACCCTCCTTACCACCCACGACCAGCAAATTTGGACCCCCAGATAATACGCATTCCGCGAGACAGGCTTTTCCCAGTACCGGTAGGAAGAGTAAAACCACCATTGGATATGCGGTGACCATCACGTCCTGCAACATCAACGGCACCAATGCCGACACTGACACGGACCTCGCAGTGATTTTGGATGCTGCAGCAGTCTTGGAGCATTCAATTCACTTGGCGCATCATCAGAGTACCAAGTATGACTATCAAATGCATGCCTTTGTGTATCGCAGTGCATCGTCCTCTTGTCCTCGGTTGATCCCACGGCTGTCCCAACTGGGTTACAACGAACAACTCCTGCACAACCACAACCACCTGAAATTATTGAACGTCGACAAGAAGACGGACAAACGGAAAAAAGACAAGGATTTCTTGAAGCTTCATGCCTTGACATTGACACAACATCCCATTGTGGTGCATTTGGATCTTGATACCTTGGTGCTCAAACCACTGGATGCACTCTTTGATGCCATGCTCATGCAGGAAGCTACCAACCGCAGTACGATTCCGTTTCTTCAATGGCCCTTCCACAAACACCAAGGTGACAATAATCCACAATCTCTGGAAGCCTTGTTGGTCCGAGACTATTCCATGGTGAACCAGCCCAGCAATCCCATGAAACGACGAGTGGGTGTACAAAGCGGCTTTTGGATTGTCAAACCCAACCCCTATGTCTACATGGACCTCCTGGACATGATCACGGAACCATTCCATGCGTTTGTCCAGGGTCGGGGAGGGAAGAAAGTGCCTCGCGAGGACTATGTGCACTATGGCCATGATGCTCCAATCCAAGAACTCTTGAGCTATTACTACCGGTACGGTCAAGTTCATCCCAACAGTGTGGCGGAACTGCATCATTGTCATTACCAAAGTGCCGCAGCTCCTCCCCAGCGCCAATTCTGTAGCAACCAGGCTAGTACTACAACGGTGATGAATTGCGCCGATTGTCGTCACACTCCCTTGGACGAAGTTTATACGATTCATTTCACATCCTCTGTTTGTCAAAAACCCTGGCAGTGCCTGACTCAACGCGATACACCGCAATGCAGTCGGTTTCTGTTGGAATGGCACCGCATCCGATATGATTTGGAAGAGAAACGAAATTTGGTCTTGATCCCCAACAAGTATTGGCATTTGGGCCAAGTCAATGCGTCCAGTCGGATCGATGTCATTGAAAACTTTGAAGGGCATTGTCGAGAATTGGAGGAGGGGCAGAAATATCAATATGTGCCCATTCATTTCGACGACATGGAGGAAGAAGCAGGTTGGTGATGATACTCGCATGCAGCTTTGATGTGTTCTGTCTGATCGCTCGAGCTATAGTTTCCTCGATACAGATTGCAGTATTCCACAGACAAGCCGGGAGTGGCTAGCTAGCTAGAACATATTTACTATTCTGTTTTGTCTATAAAACTGCTCCATCTTGGCTGTAAGGCTGGAGCATCCCGCAATGCACTGCTGCCATGGACCTACTATGGAGTCCATTCCCAGTGCCCACAAAAGGAATACAAAGAGGTCGAAACGACACAGCGCTCGGTTTCCATCTTCTCCCTTTTCTTCAAGTATGGTATCCAGTTGCGTCCGTGATTTCTTGGCAGTGTTAGCAAGACAATTCAGCTGTCATAGTAATTCATTAGTGGTACACACAACAAAAACAGAATTGGTTCATTTCATTGGTTTTTAGCTAGCAAAAAAGTCATCAAGTCAGTCAGTCATGTATTTATTTGTCGTTGTTTGGGTGAATTGTTTTCTTGTTTCCCGACAACCCGAGACCCAAGGAGTAAGTAAGCATGGCATTGAAGAAGGGTGTCTTGACAAAATTGGGCGCCATTTTCATGAGGGGTCGCAACACATGCTTGGCCAAGAATCCCGACATTGTTCCATCACGGGGTTGTCCCAGTGCTTGGACAATCTCAGTGGCGCGCAAGAGACAGACCAAACGATCCAAACGACGTTCGTGTCTATGCATTGATTGTTGTGTTGTGGTGATTGTTGTTGTTGTATAGGAAGGGAGAGAGAAAAATCCAGAACATGATGAAATGACATAGTATTGTGCGTGCCAAAAATCCAGTGAGCGAGTTACAACCAAGATGGACAATCGATCCAAAGCACCGCATCGTCCGCACTTTTTACGTACCTAGTCATGAGTTCACTCCGTAACTTGTAGGGATCAAACAACAGTTCCTTGTCCTGAAACGGTTGACACGATGCCGCGACCGACGCGGGCAAATCGGCCGCCGCTTCCATGCCTACGGAAAATCCTTGTGCCAAAATGGGATCGACCGTCATGAAGGCATCCCCAATGAATACCATGGCAGGCCCTCGTCCGGATGACGGCGGTCGTTTCTTATTAATGCGTTTCAACACTTCATTCATGTCATCGACGGGCCCAATCGAGTGTCGATGAGCCATGGCACGTTCGGCCAAAATTTCCTCCGCGGGTGTAGATGCTACCATTTGACCAATGGGATCGTGCCAATCGGCAAACGCATCTAGTAGCAATTTCTTTCGTTGAACGGGATCCTGTTCCTGAAGTATGGTTGTATCGTCGGTAGTAATGAACCAGACTTGTTTATCGTGTCGGGTTCCATCCTTGGCCGGATGGGTCATGTGAACCGTCGCAAATCGCATGGATTTTCCTTCTCCCCAGGTTTGAAAGTTGTGAATGTTGTTGTTGTCGGAAGGTGCATTTCCTCGAAAGACGTTGTATTGTCGATCTTCCAATTGTGTCGTTTCTCCGTGGGAATGTTCCTCCCACGACGATTTGAGTTGGGAGGTGGAATGGTTGGGAGTCGTCGGAAAGGCACTGGCGCCTGACACAAAACAAACAGTACGGTAGGACAGTAGCATAGAAATACAAAAATGAAAGTAGTAGGGAAGAAAAGAGAGAATGAGCCACTTGCATGCATACAGTACATATTTCAATCTGTTTTGTACAGAACGATACTAACCAGTCAATCTCCGTTCCCTCCGTCTTCTTCCTCCGTATGCTTTTCGCAATCTGGAATGAATGCCATCGGCCGCCACAATCAAATGGTAGTCTCGTTCCGTTATGGTTCCATCTTGAAGTAAGAGGGGTGCCGACCATGCATGCGGGGACTGTTCGTGCAAACTCTTGACGGGTGTATTCGCATGAACGCGAATGGTGTGATTGAGTTCTTCGGCCGCCACGGCCATGCGCAATGTGGCGTGGAAATCGGATTCTCGCAAAAACAAGAGGCCGGGTGTATGCTTGTCCTCTTCCTCCTCATCATTTGTATTCGTTGTAGTAGTATCATGATGTTTGGTAGCGAGTCGACTGTGGACCAGCCAATCTCCATTGGGCGTTCGATATCCAACTTGATCAATCCAACTTCCTTGATTGGTCATTTTCTGCCAGACCAGTTGATGCGACGGACGGTCCGAAACTCGAAAGGGTTCCAAGGCGGTCGACCAGATTCCCACGCCGATACTCCTGGCCGTCTTGGCTTGTTTGGGAGATTCTTCAAAAATGTCAATGGGAGACGAGATCAATCCGGCCGATGCCAATGGCGCCAGATGCAGTGCCGTACTCAGTCCGGACGGTCCACCACCAATGATAGCCACTCGCATGCGTTCGCTGCCCGCAAATGGAGTGATGGGAGAGGACGAGTAGTTTCTTCGGAACACAATCCAACCATCGTCCTTTCTTCTTCTGGACAGTGCTCCACCTCGTGCTCTTGATGGGGCTGCTCGAACCAATAGAGATCCTACTGAAGAGACTCCGACGCTGCTAGACATGGTAGTAGTCTATTCTCTTCTCACAAAACAAACACAGACAGCAACAAACACCACAGTCTTCTAATATACTGTCAGTGGTCAAGGTGCTGTTGTATGTTGTGAAAGGGTCGTCTTTTTGGCAAGCGGCTTCTCATTTTTGGATCTTCAACGTGGTGTCACGTGACAAAGATTTCCTACCATTTCACGAATAATCGATTTTACTTTTGTCATTTTGCCTTTTCAACCCACCAGCCCGGCTACGTACCGTCACATGTACATGAAAGCAGGGAGTAAAGTCAGTACGGTACCAGTAGCTATCATACTGGTAGCTACGTGTACCGGTAGCTAGCTATCATAGTTGGAATATCTTTACTATTTCCCTATGTATGTTGTCTTTTTAGATTGTCGTATGAAAACTAGAAGCAATTCGCTCCAGCTTGGCCGCCAAAATGGGATCCGTATCCCACACAGCATTGGGTGCCGTGACGGTACACGTAATCAACGATGTTCCCGCCGGAGCCGCAATCACGGAAATGGCTCGCAGTAATGGCTTATTGGCAGTGTTGCCTCGATCCACGGTATACTCGAATTGGTACACTTGTCGTTCGACATCCTCCACGGCCGACGTGAGCACGACGGTTCGGCCACTCCCTTCCGGTGCCAGCGACAATCGAATCAGTTTTTCGGCCGCTTCCGTGGGAGACCCCAATGTTCCTCGCAAGGAAAAACCGTTTAGGCCGTCTGCTGCAATGACGGATACATTGGTGTCTCCTTGTTCCGAAACTCCCGTTTGTGGATTCAATCGACCCGGTGGACCAAAGGCTGATTGTATTGAATGTGGATTGTTGTTTTGTGCGTGGTTGATTGACCATGCATGATACGGGTTGGAAATTAGGCTATAATAGTGAGAAAACCTTGACAATACAATACAATACAATACAATACAATACAATACACACACATCGTTGTAGTCAAAGTAGTCTATGCACCATGGTACGCACCTTTATCTGGGAGCGTCACACCTCTGCCTCCCTGACTCATTTTGTAATCCAGTGGTCGAGCGGCACGCTGTGCCTTGGCCAATTCCACAAATGTATCACCAACCCATTCTTTGGGAATCACAAATGTGTAGCCTTCGCCGCTGACTCGTTTGTAGTCTCCTAAAGTATTTGAACCAAAAAGAAGAAAGAGACAAAAGGTATGATGAGACCCGTTCGTTCGTCTAAGAGAAGTAACCAACACCAGCTACTAATAACTTAGCAACAAAATATATCGTACCTCTTGGAAAATAGGTATCAATCCCGGTGGGTTCCAACGTGTCTTCGGGTACGAGTGTGAGCAATTGACTGGTGACGCCCAAAAAGTTCCCCAGCAAGGCAATGCCTGTCGCCGATGCGGTTCCCAACAGAATGCGTCGTGGATTGGTGCCCATGGCGGCCATCATTTGTTGGGCCGTAGGGGTGTTTCTCGGTGGTTGTTGTTGTTGTTGTTGCGGTGGTGGCGGTGATGATGATGATTCTGTGGTGGTAGCTTCCAGAGATGCTTCTTCTTTTGAGGATTGTTCTATTACTTCAGGAGTCTGTTGGTTTTCCATCACAATCTTGTCGGCATTGCTAGTAGTATCGTCTAAAGGCGAAGAAGCCAACGATGTCATTGGTGATGATGATGAAAGAGATGACCATCTTGTGTTCCAGGTACTGGTAGTTGTCACTGGTGAAAACGCGTGGGAGGGAGTTGTGGCGCATGCCACCAACAAAAGAGCAAGAACAATCCGCCGTTGCAGCAGAACTAAAGGCAATTCCATTGTACAAATAAATTCAATCTCTGGATACTATTGACAAGGATCTTGTGCACTCTTGGTTGGTTGGGATCTTTTGGCACTGGGAAAGCTCAGTTTGGGCTGATTCACTCATTCATACGAAACTCCGTGGTGAGATCTCGTCATCTCGTCCATGGTCGTTGTCAGCATCCAGTCAGAAGCCAAAAAATGAGCCCAAACCTATTTTAGGGTTAGAGCCGAACGGAAGGTTAGTGTCATCAACGCGAGACGAAGGACCAGCAATTCCAAAATTCGAAGAGCTGACTTGACTTCATTTATTTCATCACCATGAGCTTGATCTACACCGCCGACAGCAGCATTACGGGCGGGAAACGCCACAGTTTGTACATTGGAGGAAGGTCAGATGCCAAGGATCGTGACAAGCTCCGTCGATGGGGTGTGACGCACATTCTCAATGTCACAGCCGCCAAAGATGCCGGAGTCAAGGTGAGTTGCCTCACATTACCTGTATACGAGAGATGTAAAGGAAGACAAGAAAGCTCACTTGCAGTTTTTCTTAATCTCTTTCTCTCTTTCCCAATGGCTCTGTGGACGGTTTGAGGGGATTTCCTCATGAACAACACCAACTTCATCATCAACAACAAACATGACTTGATTATTGCCAGTCGGGAGTTCCCAATTTCTTTGAAAAGGACCGTTCCTTTACATACCATCGCGTTCCCGTCTACGATGCTCCCACGTCGGCCGCCGACCTCTTGCGCCATGCCAATGACATTTGCGATTTTTGTTCCAAAGGACTCTGTCACGGATCTCTCCTGGTGCATTGCAACATGGGACAATCGCGATCCACCACGGCGGCGCTCTTTTTTCTCATTCGGTAGGTACCATACTGTACTCTACAGCAGTGTATTCATGTTTTGTAATGCCCAGAAAAATTGCTAATGCGTGGCTAGCTGATTTGTCCATGACAACAAACAAACAACCACAACACACTACACCTTGTTTCCAGAAAGGCCAACATGTCCCTTCAGGGCGCTCTCGAAATGATCAAACGACGACGACCGGCCGCAGAACCCATTCCAGCATTTCATGAAATCCTAGTGCAATACGAGGCTCAGTGTGACAAGGAACGTGGCAAGGGTGACAATACGAAGAAAACAAAGCGATCTCTGTCTCCCACTAGGAACCCCCATGAGGAAAAGAAGCGTCCACGGGTTGGACCAAGCATTGGACCTGCCTTGCCATCGGCTGCGACAACATCCATTGGGCCTGAAATGCCTCCATCATCAAAGGCGAAAGCAGCCATTGGACCTACAATGCCTCCATCCAAAAATGAAAGTAGGATTGGACCTACAATGCCCGAATCCTCCTCTGAGACTGAAACAAATGACGCAAGCTCAACCATTGGACCTGCATTGCCGCCATCAAACGCCAGCATCGGACCTGCAATGCCTCCATCAGGTTCAGATACACCAAAGCAATCAACTACTACAAATATTGGACCCTCGCTGCCTCCTAGCTAGCAGATTTGGCTTGGTAAAGCCGAGTGGTGAATGGCTACGCAAATCACAAAACACTGGTTGTGGGGGTTTGACAGCCAACCAGTAGTAAAAGCTAGAAAGGGAGAAAGGGTCTAGCTAGAGCTATTTTTAAAAAGTCGTAATCTCGCACTAGCTTGGAATCTACTCGAGCAGTTGACGGCTGTCAGATGGTGATGGCTGAGTGCTTATTTCGAGTCCAACAAAAAAAATAGAGCAGCACAGCTACTGTCTACCCCAGATTGGTTTTGATTACAACTACGATTGTGGTGTCAACAGGGGAAAGCAGTAGAATTCCTCTTACTAGTAGAAAGGAAGTACATGTACATAGACTACTGTTGGCAACTCATGATGTGGGTCCTTAGCAGGAGGAGATGCCCTCCTGTCCTTTTAAATAACAGGTACCATGCGGCTTGCTAGCTAGACATCTCTGCAGATAAAATAGCAAGTGTCTGATTAAATTTATATCTTTTCTATTGCTAATCATCTTTATTCCGATCTTTCTTTGGCACTGCAGATTCAAAGGACGTTCTTCTTGGAGGTGGTGGCAAAATCCCGAATTTTCCCAATACCCAAGCCACTCTGTCCGATGGTTGAGCGCCCACAGCAATCCAGTACTTGAGGCGATCTGTCTTGAGTCGAATTTCCTTCATTCCATGGCGGTTCGCAATAGGATTGTAGGTGCCAACAATCTCCAGGAATCGACCGTCTCGAGGGGCCTTGGAGTGAGCCGCCACCATTCGATAAAAGGGAGCATGGGTTCGCCCGAAGCGTTGCAATCGCAATCGAACCACCATTCTCTTTCAGTTTTTTGCACTTCTAGCTAGGTTTGACACAAGAGAGATCGAGAGTCAGACTACAACAGGCAGAGTGGGGATTGGCTTTCCTCTGGTCTGATGTGAGCAGGGCATGGTTACTTCTGTATGGCTGAGGTTGGGTGCTCTTGGCTGTTGTGGGGTGAGGATCGCTGATCAGTCCCGCGTAGATTCGATTCATCATTCGAATTGGGTTTGATCTCCAAGTATTGGATCTTGGATCTCGGGGAATCTTGGGTTGGATCTCTTGATGAGCACCCAAAGGCCCCCGAGATCTTTCTGCTGGCCATTGAGAGCTCCATGTACCATAACAGCTACCATAACGGTACCGGTACCGGTTGTAAGCTCCAGGCTTGAGCTCGAGCGAGCCCTGGTTGGTCAAAGGAGAAGGGCTTGTATGGAGTTCTTGGAGAAGACCTATTTCGTAACGAACCTAAACTCAAACCACGGAAGCAGCTAGCATTGACTTCATAAGCAGGCATTCCATCTATTTACAGTAGGCTTACTTGCTAAGCAAAACATGCACTGGATAATGTATTTGATCGTCAACGAAAGAGAAAAGCAGTTCGGACCCTGGGCTTGTGTTTCCCGCTTGAATACCATCGATTGATGTAGGTCTTCTGCTGCTTCATATAATACTGCGGCGTCCTCCTCTGAGGCGGACCCGTTTCAACCACCATCTTTTCAATACCATAGGACGAAAGATGAACGAACTTGTGGTCTTGCGCACCGTCGTTCCTGAGGCCGGCCACGCAAAGATCCTTTCCAACCAACTGTAACCAACCAACCAGAACAAAAAAGATGCATCATATAGTCAAAGAGTACAATCTCGTCCTCAAGGACTGAGGCCCTTGCCCTTGACGGTAAAAGGCCAGAGGCGACGACGGCACCACGCCACTGGACTGGGAAGTGTTCTCTGCATGGTGTCAGGATCCACGGGAGAGTTGTATTCAAAGGCCATGGTAGAGCCCTTCTTTCGTTGTTCCTCCACAAATGCCTTGGTGAGATCGAGAGCACATTGCTCCAATTCAGCTGCCTGATCGGGGTGAAGGAAACATCGAGGCATCGACGATACCCTTGTGTTCTGTTGGATCTTGGGAACCTGCAAAGCGGATCCAACTGAGAACAAGCACAAGGCAACAAGAAGGACGAATGAAAGAGAAGATGTCATTGTTCGATACTTTTTGGTTGAATTCTTTGAAACTATGCAGGTGTTGCAAGCCATCAACTTGGATCAATTGAATTGCTTGATTGAAGAATTCCAAGATAAGGAAAAACAGGAGTCAGGATGAGGTCAACCTGATTCAATCAATGTCTTCTTCTTTGGCTCTTCCTCTCTTTATGACATCGTCTTCTACCACAGTGAAAACAAAGAGAGGTGAGCAGATCTACGGTATGTCTCCATGTAGACCTACTCTGTTGTTGTAGAACAAATGCGATTACGTGGCGGAAAGCCACATCGCAGCCTTGATGTCTTCGCAAGAAAATCAGCTGTGGGAACGAACGATCTTTTATAAACTTCCCGCGCGCAGGGGGGCCCAAAGATCTGAGGTGCATTCATGCCGATGGGGTGAGCACAGGCCAGTCTCACTGTACCAGTAACTGCGGAGTTCTCAGATGCTCATGGGCTTGTTTTTACCCCAGTAGATTTTTCTTTCTTGGAGAAACGAACAACAGATGCTTTCCAAATCTCTCGGCTTTGGTTGGCTCGGCCGCTCTCTGCGCTATCTTGAGGACGTCCATGTCAGGGTCTGGCAACGTCAGCAACATGAGCAAGTTTGCGGAAGCGGAATGGAACTCTATCCCTTGCGAGGAAGCAACAACCTTATTACTGGTACCGCAAGTACGTGGCGAGCAAAAGCTACCAAAACTACAGACTGAGAACTCTTTTTGAGAAATGACAGCACCGACCGTTCTCGCACCGGTACGAGTCTTGCCCATCGCTACATGTACATCGAAGGAAGCGTGTTGGTTTATCGACAGGGTTCCTTCCAATTTCTCGCTTTCCAACTGAGCTAGCTAGCTAGTGGTCGCTACTGGCAACTACTGTACGGTACGTTGAGAGCGAATGTTGAATCGAGGAATGTACCGTACACCAGCAGAGAGAACTCTTTTTGAGCAATAACAACCAACACCACTGTTCTGGCACCGGTACTGTACGAGTCCATCCCAACCTGAAGGAAACTTGCTCCTTGCAAGTTCTCGATACCGGCAACCGAATGTTTCAGGCGTTGCAGCCAAATGCGAGAATGGCAACTCGGCACGAAGGAAAACTAGTAGAGAGGGATGAAACGAGCATAACAGAATTTCTCGAACGTTTCAATCTGCAGCACGAACCAAGCAGAACGACGGCGAACGAAAACTATGCAAAAGAAAAATGAGCTGCAGGCCTGGGTTTAGTAAATGTTGGTAGCTGTCGTGATGCCAAACCGCGCTCATGGTTGCCTCGGGTTTTGGTTGGATTGATGGATGGATGGGATGATTAACTCGTTCGTCGTTTTTTGAAGTTGAAATTGTTATACTGAAGCCTTGTTTTTGAGTTTCGTGATTGTGGGGGGTAGGTCACCTGGTGAGAAAAAGAAAATACATTGTGCACGTTGTTGGGTATGCCTTGAAAGGCGAGACACAAAAAGGGGCGCTCGCAATTGATTTTTGTGCCCCTGTTGTGTCTTGCCTCGCCAGCATGCTCCTTCCTAAAACGTATATTTCATTCATTATTTACCAACCATCCGCATCGTCGTTCTTGCCGTCCCCGGTCCAAGTCGTGTCTCCAGCAGCTACCAACTTTTCAGACTCCTTGCGAGCCTCTTCTTCGGCCTTGGCCCTTTCAATGAGGGGAGTAACAATGGCCAAGATGGCCTTCTTGGCGGCGGCAACCGAATCCTTCTTTCCAACGAGGGTGGCAGTGGTGAGTTGCACGTTGATCTGAACTCCATGTTCCTTCTGGAGCTCCTTGATCTTGCTTCCTCCGGTTCCAATGACCATGGAGGTTCCAACACCGAGTTGGACCTTTTCGAGGACTTCACCGGGCTTGAGTTCAATTTCTCCCGCCATGGCCTTGCGGACGGAAGTTTCTGCGGTCTTGACGGCATCGGGTTCTCCAATGATTTTGCACTCTCCTTCGTTGGATATTTCGATAAAGGCACCGGTCTTGTCCTGGATTTGACGAATGTTGGTGCCCCCCTTTCCCATGACGGCTCCAATGTTTTTGTCAATGACGAGGCTAACGCCCTTGCAGCGTACCATTTTGGCCGAGATGATGGAAAAGGCGGCCTGGACCTTTTCGACGTCACCACTAATGGTGAGAACGGTTCCGGTCATGTCGAGACGAGCGCCGGTTTCGGTCTGGAGTGCCTGCAACAATTGGAAGGAGCGACCGCAGATGCAAAAGACCATGGACTTGCTCTTTAGATCCATGGTACAGTTGGATGCTCCAAAGACGGCATCCTTGCACTTTTGGACGGCATCCTTGACGGCAGCCTCGGAGGGCCCGGCAATAGTGACGGTTCCCTTATCAATGTCAGCATCAATCTTGCAGCTTGTGGATGACTGAATTTCCTTGATCATGGATCCACCCTTTCCAATAATAGCCTTGACTCCGTCGGATCCCTTGATTTCGGCACCGGCAAGTGTGGCAGAGTGAGCAGTCTTGGCCTTCTTGGCATCCAAAATTCCTCGAATCATTTGTAGAGCAGCCTTCATCTTTTCTTCGTCGTCACCCTTGACCTTGACTAGACCGAATCCCTTGTCAATGTCGACACTGGTACCAGTTTCCAACTGAATCTGCTGAATGGTGGTTCCCTTGGGTCCAATAATGGTGGGAATCTCTTCTGCCTTGATATCCATTTGCAAGAATTCGGGCTTGTTGTTGTCAGCACTTTCTTCGGCATCGTCAGCAGACTTGGCAGCTTCGGCAGCAGCAGCAGCGGCTTTTTTGCCTTTTCCCTTGTTTTTGTTAATGACATTCCAATCGTCGTCGTCGGTCTTTCCATTTTTCTTCTTATTCTTGTCGCGAGATCCCTTGGCAAACGTCGCGAGGGCATCGGCATCGTCGTCGTCCGATCCGTCCACATCTTCGGGTTTCTCTTCCTTTTTGTCAGTGGCAGAAGCGGCGGCGGCATTGTTTTTCTTCTTTTTCTTCTTCTTCTTTTTGCTCGTTCCGCTGGTAGTCGAAGGCGCGGCTGCTGGAACGGGTTCCGGTTCGGGCTCTGGCTCGGGTTCCTCGACCACGGGTTCAGGTTCAGGCTCTGGTTCAGGCTCAGGAGCTTTGGCAGCCGCCTTTTTCTTTTTCTTCTTTTTGCTAGGAGCAGGAGCCGGAGCGGGTTCTTCCTCTGGCTCTTCTTCTTCGTCGTCCTCCTCTTCCTCGACCGCCGGGGCAGGAGCTGCCGATCCATTGGCTTTACCCTTCTTCTTGTTGGCTTTTTTCTTCTTCTTCTTGTTACTACTAGTCGAAGAGGGAGCCGCAGCAGCCGGTGGATCTGCTGCCTGCTTGTTGCCCGATCCTTGTGTGGCCATAATGGTCAACAAGACCACAATCACGCCACAGGCAGCCGCCAATGCTGGGTTTTCGCTGAGTTGCGACATTACGGTATCCATGATAAATAAGGGTAATGCTAAACTGATAGAGGGGTTGTTTTGTGCTATTGCACAAGAATGGTGGCGACTTGTATAAGATCTCCTTGCTTTCTTCTGGATTATTGGATGAATGAACAACCCAATGGCTACTTCTTCTTTTGATACTACTACTATTATTATGTGCGCTTCTAATACACAAGATTCGAGACCGTCATTGTGAGGCTCTCCTTGCAAAGCCGCTTCCTCGGCCATGGCTTTGCTGGGAGGTTGCGCGACGTGCGTCCAACGGTCATAAATAGCTTCCACGTGGAAGCAAAACATTTGTCCACGATGGGCATTGGCATTTTCCATGTCCTTCCAAAGGCTTCTGAATGCCAACATCCAATGCCACCAGCGCACCGTTACGATAGAGCTGTTACGATTACAACCACGAAAAGTGAGTGCATGTACGGTACCAGCCTGGTGGTACGTGCTGTGCAATTGCAATGATGGGAGCCAATTTACTACATGTAGCAGCTGCTACACTGGAGCCACTACGATGTAGCTCTAGAGCTACCGGTGGCAATGTAGGCTTTGGCTTTGTTACCAGTCGACAGATAGATAGATGTGACAGAGAAGCTGACTACGGTATCCCGCGCCAATGCCCAGTTTCCTTAGTTAGGTTCAGACTTTGGTAAAGCCAGCACATATTCTCGTACTCGGTAATCTTTGAAACAGGCAGGAAGCACAGCCTTCGTAATTCAATTTGTCACGAGTTCAACTCACGACACATGATTTCTTCTTATGCACAGAGCTCCCAGCATGCATCACAGCAACAACTGCAAAAATAGCTAGCTAGCGAGATGCTAGTACATGATGTATGGCTGCCTACCCGTTCATTCACAAAGCATAGGATAGACGAGCCGTGAGGTTCCCAATCCCCGCCCTTCGCGCTCTCTGCCTCATGAAAGCACCCCCCATCTCTAGCGGCCATGTTCTCGGAATGCTGCAACGTGCCCTTGCAGGCGGGTGTTGCCATCTGTGCGGCTTTTGGATTTGTGTCATAAATCTAGTGTCGTCGCTGCAAAGGAACTTACTCCTCGCTCATTGTGCACATCATGGTCGCCACAAGAGAGCTGGTGATTTCCAGAGCAAAGTACGATCGGTGTTCGTTTTGAACCTGGTGCGTACTCTCAACACTTTGGCGGTTGCTGTGTGGCCCATCATAAAGAATCTGGAGCAGCAAATTCCTACCAGCAATATGGAAGACAGGCCAGCAGCGAAAGAGGAACCGAACGATTCGATTCGTTCGTCAGTGTGTGCCAGCACGAGACACCTCTGCTTTGCTTTGCTTTGCTTTGTTTTGGACGTACTGTGAATGCATACATTCACTTGGGATTGCTGCGAGACGGCAGCTTGGAAAAAACGGAAGGATCAATCGGTCTGTATCCCTTGCTGCCGGATCGTCGACAATGACGACGAAACCGTCCCAAGACACTTGTCATGTCCGATGTATTGACTTGCTTCGATGCGGATTGGGGTGGTGCTTTGACCAAACTTTCCAAATCTTCTCGAATGCGATGCCACTCATAGTGAAACTTGCTGCATTGCACTTCTTTGATCCATCCTGGACACCACCATGGTTTTTGACAGAGTGTCAAATGAATGGATCGGATTTTGGAGAGGGGTGTATACCGACAATCTTGACATTGCCGGGTGAGTTCCTCGCCGTGACAAGCTTGTCGTCTGTTCGGGTTGTCCACCATGTTATTGTAGTGACACCGGTTGAGTTCCACAGAACTAAAGGGTCGGAAGAATCCATAGTAATAACTGAGCAGTCCTTGGATCTGAGCAACACCGTAGTAATGGGAGGGCATCAAATGTGGTCCGCCCCAACCTCCCTCGGCGGAATAGTCGACTCCATCACGAAGAATCTCACAAAGCTCTTCAAAGACACCTCGATGAGGTTTGACAATCCAGAAACCACCTTGCATATTGACTCGGTTGGGTGGAACAGGTTCCGGTCCTTTGACCATATTGTAGTCGCGCACAAAATAGGAGGTGATCGGGATGGTCTTGTGCGAAGACCACATGGCATCGGGAATGTATTTGCGAATGGTAGTAGGGTTGGGAGTTCCAGCAGCAGTGCCATTTTCGTACAAGTGGTGATAATAATTCTGGGAATCTGGCAACATCATGGCATCAAAGAGGGGATCCAACGGTTGCAATAACAGACAATCCAAATCCAAGTGCACCACGATTGGGTACTGTGTCAGTGTCAAGGCGTAGAGCTTCAGAAATTCTCGTTCCCCACAACACCCCGTGGTGGTTGCTTCGTGGCGGAGAATTTCGTTGCGCATTTCGGATGGATCCACGGGCGTGTCTTTGATGAGAATCTTGTATCCCAACTGCTTGAGTGATTGCGTGCAATTTTGGGCATCGGGATGGACAAACGAAATCATTTGATATCCATACCGACTTTGCTGATGAACCAAATGAACGGAATGCTGCAACACAGCTGCTGCGTCTGCTATGAAATCGTCGGGATGACAATACGTAATGCTGACGGCGTAGCCTATTATAAGACCTCCGGGTGGCACGGGAAAACTCGATTGATCCAAGACGGCGGAGGAGTTGCCTTGACTGTCGATTTCCAGAACGGGTAGCAACAGAGACTGACCCTCACCCAGGAGAGACACAAGCACCACTACTATCAGGCTGAAGAGGATCAGACATGTCTTCTTGGCAATGGCAGTGAAGGACGCTCTCGGTTTGGGAGATGACTGCGATACCGCCACCATGGTCGTCCCTTTGTGGGGGGTTGGTTGGTTGTTGAAGTGCACTGGCTGGCAAGTCTTTTCATTCCTGCTTTGTTGGTTTTCGCGAATAAACGTCGTACATGTATGCCTCTTGTGGTAAATAATCTTGTGGCACTCTTGTGGCACACAAGACCCCTCTTTTTTGGCTCTTGAAAGGCTCCTCACAAAATTTGGGCAACTCGGGCACCAAGCATCATTCACCAACTACAGCCTGGTACTGTAGAGTCCTAGCTAGAAGGTATTTACACAGAGGACGCCCCAAACGATGCGTTTGTCCCCGTATTGTACTCATACTTTGAGAAGGCCTGGTGATCATGAAGCTACAAAAGTTCTCCTTTCAGCCCGCCTGGAAATGTGTCGTCCTGCTTTTACTACTGCTACCGTTCCTGGCCAAAGGAGGCATGTTCCGGACCAGGAGCCATGATCCAGAAGAGGAGAGCAGCACCCCCTTGAATGCTCGTCAGCCATTTGCCTTTTTGGTATCCGGAGGTGGATTTCGTACCACAACCATTGGCATGTCCATGGCCCGGGCATTGTCCCAAGCCTTTGAAGAAGTTGGAAACAAATCGTGGGAGGATGTGACACACGTCGGCTGCAACTCGGGTGGCAATTGGTTCCTGGTGCCATTCGTCTACAATCCAAGTTTCTTTGCGGAAATCACTCAAAAGACGGACAAGCACTTTTTTTTTGGGTTGTTTACCATGGGCCAGGATTACAAACCACTCAAGCACATGGTTCGTGAAATGGGCCAAAACTACAGTCAGAGTGCATCCGCTGAGGCCGACCTGGAAGAGGAGTCTGAAACACTCAAGTGCCATCTGGGGACATCGTCATTTGACATGGGCGACTTGATTTCCCTGGGTGTGAAGATGCTCAACGTTGTAGACTTTGGATCTGCCATTACTGACTGGAGAAAGTACACCGATGACATTTTACGACCACTGGTTCCCAATGTTGATAGTCTTACCTACCGAGCGCCTCGGAAAGCCCTGCCACACGCCACATTGATCCAACAGCTGGCCCTTCAACCGGATGCATGGGTGGACCGACCCGAAGGAGGAACCAACAATCAACGAGTCTACAATCCAGGGGCATATTCGACGTATCCCTATGATCCAATCAATCAGCCATTTTCTCACGTTTCCAAATCACAGAGTGCCACCGGAGACGTCGTTGACGGGTTCTTCTCCCCTCTGTTCGGGGATAGCTTTGTCCTGCAGGGAGTCAAAGATAAGAATGGCGCTGGCAGCAAGAGGCAAGTCGAAGTGAGGTTCCCTCCGGAATCGAGAACACTTGTTGGTCAAGTGTCTTCGTTATCCTCTGCTGCCATGGGAGCGCTAGGATCTCCCACTCTTATGAGAATCGCGCTAGGAGAGTTGATTGGGTCTGTCAAGAGGTGTTTGCCTACTCTGTGCACCGAGGAGCTTGCAGCTCTGGCTCCCTTTCTCAAAGGCGACTTGACTGCATACGAGTTTGTGGAAATTTTGCTGCGAGAGATCAATACGGGAAGAGACGTCCCTGAAATCGTGGAAGACGTCTTGGACTGCCTTCCAAACGGACTGGAGGGTGTTGCCCCAGCGATGCCGGTGGAACCCACGCATGGAAGCTCAGAGCCACCCTGGACACCAACTTTTCGGGGGATTGATGGGGGGTACATTGAGAATTCAGTGATTCACAGCACACTCGGTACTTTTATCCAGAGCTGCGAGGTGGGGGATGCCTCGCTCTTGTGTGAGGAAAAGACAATCGACATTGTTCTTGTCGACGACGGCTTTCTTCATGCCTTTGGGACGGAATGCTTCTTTGACAATTCAGGGATTGACAACCGTTGCAGACCAGCCGGGGAGCGAATGAAACGCCATGTATTTTGGGACATTCCAAGCCTGCAGGTGAGTAACTCCACAATTTCTGCATTTTGATCATTCAGTTTCGCTTCGCTTGCCCTGACTAGCCTTCAGATATTTCAAGAGCGGTTCCCAACCAACTGGACACAATACACCAAACGAAGGTGTTGGACTCCTGAATACTCAACAGCAGCTGTGCAAGTCCAATCCATCATCAGCTACATACAAGAAAAGTTCAAAGGATCCCGATGGACTTCAGGCACCTTCAACACGGTCGACAATGAAGCCTTTGGAGTCAAGGCTGGCTACAAAGTCCGACTGCTGATCTTTGAGATCAACAGCCCCATCACTCTCAACCCAATTCTTGTCCCTCCCGCCGAAGCCAAGGCAACATTTACAGGGTTTTACTCAAAGATCGTCGAAGAGCAGGCCGATGGAATGCTGCCTGTGATCACCAAATGGCTCAAAGGCGAGATCTAGTTGGTTGAACGAAATAGGACGCCCGACTACAAAGAGGTTTCAGTATTGAAGAGCACTACATTTTGTCTCTGTAGGCAGGCAAGCCAGAGTTTTGAACCGCCAAACAGGTCGGTCTCAGCTCTTCCAACGGAACATGGAAACAAGCGACAGCCCTGGGGGCATGATGACTTGATTAGCTTGAGCCGGAGGCGTCCGGTTGAGGGCATCAGGGCACCCCTTGGCAGTGCCCAAGAGTGGGCTTTGCTGGAATTGAGGCAGCTTGCCCACAGCGCTTTGGCAGTTATGATCATACGGATGATACTGGGTGGCCTCCAGTTTGGGAACTTTTTGAACGCAGTATCTAATCACATATGACCTAATACCGTACGGTAGGTAGCTACCAGTCTCATTACTAATCATAGCATAACATGTCCAAAGTGTAGTCATGCTTCCATGCAACTAAAATCTATCTGTACAGGCTTGTCCCAACTGGTTGATTATTGCTATCAGAATTCCACAAAGCATTGTGGAGTATTCAGAAACGAGAGCAATGTCCAGAATTACAGCCTTCAAGTGCTGAATGATCAATTATAAGCGCGCAGCCGCAGTCTCTCGTAGAGCACGAGGTGAATAAGTCTACCGTGTTTGTGAATTGCGTGTTTTCTTTATGGTGTCATGTAGCCAATTGTTGTATTGTGTTATGGTTTCTTTTGTTGTTGGTTGTTTGGTTGATCAGGAAGTTTGATCATTGCCATTGTTTCCCTCCTGTTTATCCTTTTCTTGTTTTGCTTCCAAGAATTTCTTCATCATTTGATCGGCCCAATAGCGAGCAATGAGCAATCGAATGATTCGTCGATCAGATCGAAAACTGGGCCCCGACGCCGGTTCATCTTCATCGGGATCATCTTGTTGTTTAAGTCCTCCAGCATCGACATCCCCATCATCGTCTTCTTCTTCTTCGTCACTACTATCCACCACAACCTTCTTCTTGGGTGGGGCTCGTTCCAATAGTTTGGGACCTCCCAATGATTTCATGCGGTCCAACCAAATCTGCAAGACATCTGCATTGAGCGATCCATCCTTTTGTTTCAGCTTGAGTGTGAATCCACCTCGTCGATCAAAGACCAAGGATTGTTCAAAATTGGTTTCAGATTCCCCACGAGCATCCGTGGGGAGTTGTGTGGCGGGGAAATTGGCCACTTGCTCCACAACGGTACACAACACAACGGCAAATGCAGAATGAATCCCATAGTCGTTCTTGACCCGTTCGGTGACTTCGGCACGAGGCATTTGAAATATTTTCTTCAGTGTCATGACATATACACCACTGCGACACCATTCTTCCAATTCCACAGCGTGTTCCTTCCAAAATGTGGCATACTTGGGCATTTCTTTCTTCATCAAGTGCCGCAATTTCAAACGATCTCCCCACACTGCATCCCGCATATTCGCGGGCCACGGAGATGCTTGCAAGGCATTTACTTCGGCGTTGGCTGCATCCGTTTCCAAATCTGACATGGCATGAATCATGTCCTTTGTCCCGCCGGGAAGAAAATGATTAAACCCACAACACGCACAGCTACCCCCATTCACATACTCAAACAGAGTGCGATCCACCACCCATCGATCACCAAAACGGGGCATAGTAAGTAATTGTTGGTTGGTTTCTACTTGTTGTGGTGGTTACTATCTTTCTGCGCTGGACGAGAGTGGAAAGTGGTCGGTGGGATCTGCGGCTGGGTATTTTGGCTGCACACAACACAGCACAGCTGCGAAAAATAGGTAGCAGCCTCAGCACTGGGATCTCTTGGGAACATTTGCACAGGTGACGTCACTCCGTGTTTCGCCATACCGGTACCTGGTACCGCTACCGGTACCCTACATTTGTGTACGGTACCGGTTACCGGTAGAAAACAACGTGCGTACGAAAGTTCATGTGGAAGGTCAACGGCATTCCGTTAATAAAAACGGCCACCACCAAAAACGACAACACGCACCGCCACCCGCCTCAACACTTCAAGATGCCACCCAAAACAGAAGACAGAGCTCGAGCACTGTCCTTTGCTGTCATAAAGCCTGACTAATAGTCCTATCCGGTAGCCTGAAACTCACCAAAGAAACAGTAGGAAGACCATGACATCCTTGGCACCACCAGATTTGACTCTAACAGAGCAAGAGTGGGCCAACGCAGACGAAATTAGAGATGTTGTGACTTCTAGCGAAGATTTTGAAGGTATCTCTCTCACAGATTTTGAATATGCCCAGCACGCCTTGTTTACCGATGGCAATCTGGAAGATGCGCTCTTTCGAATCAAGGGATTGCATGACTTTCGAGAGGAATACAAGATAACCTCTGATCCTAGCAAGAGCGTTGAAGAAGGAATGAGCCTTCTTCGAGCTTTCATCAAACAGCACCCATGGTAAGGGGCTCCTTGCTCCTTGTATGGTTCTTTAGTAATAATGGGTTGTTTCCTCTGCCTCACACAGTACCTTCTCTTGCACGCTACAACACTCCGTTTAGGTTGCTTTTGGACGTGTCGTGCGACGCCAGTAGTGGATACTGCTGTCTGATTTTTGACTTTGCCAAGTTAGACCCAAGCGCTGCCAAGCAAGATGCCAGAACAATACAAAACTTTCATTGGCGGCTTTTACTATCTTTTTGAACTGCTCCAGCCTTCTTTTGAGTGTATGAGAAATGGTCTGGTTTTGTTTGCTGAATGTGAAGGTACTGTACCGTATAGGATTTGCTTGTTGCCATGTTTTATTGGCTCTTTTAACCCCTGCTCTGTCCTGTGATTGTGTGCAACTCCACTCCCTTGCGCTGTTTAGGTTATGGCTGGAAAAACTTCTCGGTAGACTTCCATCGTCAAAACTTTTATCACTTTAAACAGTTCTATCCCATGAGAACCAGAGCTTTCAAATTCGTGCATACCACGGTCATCGTTAACATGCTGCATTCCTTCTTGAAGACTATCAAGAGAAAGGACGCGGAGAAGATCCAACTCGGTTGCCCATTGGATTCTCGATTGGATGATTTTTTGAAAGATAAGGATCCAGTGGAAGCTGAGAAGGCACTTCTGAAAAAAGTTGGAGCAATGTCTATTGACACGGTACCAGAATCAGCAGAACTTTTCCCTCGCAGCTTTGTTGGATGGTTGCCCCTGGGGGCGGCACACTGAAAGCGCTCATGACGAGGTCGAGTCGCCTTCGACTCTCAGCGCCAATTGAGAATGTGGGAAGTTAGTTATTGAGATTTGGCCCAAATATTATAGATCTGGAAATGGGGAATCCCTCTTTGAGGCCAGCCAACTAAAATCGTACGATGCTAAAACATGGTGGTGAACCATCGACAATGCAGCTTGTGCACCTTACATGTATTCGGGTCATTTCTCTCGTGGTAGCATGCCTCGTCTCTGTCTGCGAAGAACATACTTCCTGGGCTACAGCACGACGGAGCCTAGAGTGCCCGGGCCAGGAGTGGCACGGGTCGACTTGAACCGACGCTCTCTCAAGTTCGTTCATGGGTACGGTATTGAGCCCAGGAGTTGATGCAACCGTTGGTCTACCACCCTGTAGGAGTTAGCCCCAGTGTAGGACTGGCAGTGAGTATACGGTATGGCACTACCGGTAGCTGACTTGTAGGTCACAGTGGTGGTGCATTGCTGTGAGTGGCTTTGAGGGGGTTCAGGTGTTGGCCTGGGGCGGAGTGGGGCTGAATTGGACGCTGGCGGCAGCTGGCTGTTGCTTTGTCATGTCAAGTCGTCTGGTCCGAAGAGGGAGTAAAGTGAATAGTCTATCCCTTGAATGCAAGTATTATCGTTTGGGCTAGTCAAAGAGGATTTTGCCCTTCTCCTTGATTGAAGAGGCCGAAATGAGCCAGCGAGTGCAGATTGCTTCTCACCTTGCAAGCGGTACCGGTAGGCTGAGCAATAGGGCCACTCACCAGCCAGCCATTAGTCCTACAGGGCAGGATCAGTCAGGATTGTGTTGGTTACAACCTACCATGACTTACTTGTCTGGCCCACCATCTTGCCTTTGTATCATGGGTGATCGTTTGGCTGGCTGTTTGCATCCTAGTAGCCTTTGATCGCAGCCAGCCAAGAAGAAGCAAACAACCCAGATAAACCCACTCGCTCGAATGTGGCTAACTAAGGTGCATCTATGGGCAGGCTACGCCAGCCATGGGTGATCAATCGGTTCCTGCTCCTTGGTCACTTCCGCTTGGTCCAGCCATTGCTTCCTTTGCCATGAGAAATAGCAAGATGTGTGGAGATCGCAACAACCAAGAACCTAAAAAGCATAGCGCTGGCTGTACATACTTGGTGCACGGTGGCACCGTACCACAACCATGCTCCACCCTACTAGCTAGCTAGCACCCAGTCACAAGAGGAAGATAGAATGCACCAGTTGCCAGATGATTGCGGTACCACATCTATCTTTGGTAACCAGTGGTACCGACACCGACACCAACGATCCATTCCTTCAATCACTGATGAGGTGACCAAACCACCAAACCTAAAGATCCTGCTGTTGCCGCATTTTCGGCAAGTGCAAGCTGCATACTGGTCATACCGGTAGCTGATGTGGGACGAGGGAGCATGAGACATACATTTACTCGAGTTCAGCGGTTTTATGTACTTTGAAGGTTGCATGCAAGGATGAACAGTGTCAATGAAGCCTTCCGCTTATTGCTTGGCCCCCAGCTAAAAAGGTATTTAGACAATGAGAAAACTGAATCATTGATGCATCTCTGGCATTGATAAACAGGCTTCCCCGAGCAAAGTCATTCTGCATCATTGGTAGAACGCCGAAGCACTCTCTAGCTTCCATCGATGAGAACAGACAATATTTTGATTAGTAATTAATGGAAGATGAAGCTAGGTTGTATGCAAAAAACGCAACGGTAATTCACTCAGCTACCCCATCCTGCATTCGTCAGTCTTTCTGCGGTATTATTATCCCACCGGTACGCACGTGCAACTTACCAGTCTGCTTTTGAGCGTCTCAAGCGAATGGTTGCCGCCGCTGCGCCGCTAAAAATACTGTTTCCCTGCTACCGTACGTAAAGTTACGGTACCACCGTACGTCTGCTACCTGCCATTACGACCAGGTCATCGACCGATGATCGCTCCGAGTTGCCAATATTTTTTGGCCTTGTCGGTCTCACTTCCTCACAACTGTTCACCGAGCCAAACACAAAATACACAAAAACACCCAACTACTCTCCTATCTTTCAAAACTAATCATCCACCATGGTCTCTATGCGGGTAAGTTAGTTAGCTTGTTATCTCTCTTTACGAGGGCTTGGGACGGCTCCTTCAGATTCTACTAAAGGGCATGTCCACTACCTTGGCCGTTGGTCTGTTCTCCTCCGTTACTCACACTGCCCTGTTCCTACATGTTACTATGATACCGGTATACCCTACAGTTATTCGTCAACCAACGCTCTTCCAGCGGAAGACTGTTGCAACACATGATGGTCGATTCGGATGATACCATTGCGGTCGCCAAGGAGCAGCTACAGTCCACATCAGGAATCCCCGTGGAGAGCCAAAATTTATTTTTCGGCCGAACACAACTGGACGACAACAAGCAATTTCGTCATTACGGTATCCGGGCAGGTGGATTCTTGGATCTCAAGGAGAAATAAAAAGTCCCGTCGCGTCATTCATCATTGATTTGATTTGATTTGATTTGTATGGAGTTTATTATTGGCTGCTTGCACGAACAGAGCTTCCGGCATACTGATTTGGTCAACCAGCCAAGGCACTGTCCAACCAACCAACCAACCTGCATAACGAACGAAGACGTGGCAGCCAAACGCAATAATCCACCATTCCATTCCATTCCATTCCATTCAATCACCCTGAGATGGGGTAGTGAGCGGTATCACTCACCCATTCTCAAACTACAGATTTAGTTTATACATAGTTACACATTACTACAAAAACAATGTTCCAAAACCAGCCTTCCAGTTGCTGTACCGCTACGGTAGCCGGATATCGCTCAGGTTGATTTTTGAGCTACTGTATCCAGCTAGCTAGCCGTATGGATAGTCAATATTAACTACTAGCTACAGTAGCAGACAACGGATCAACGACGGATGCAAGCAGCTATTATACTAGTTAGTACGGTATCAAGACGTTGCCTTGATCGGGGGCACACTTATATAGTTAGGACATTGCAAGCAGAACGGCTGTTGTCAACACAATGCGAATCCACTGTTGGGAATGGATTGAAGTTCTAGCTTCTAGTAGTTGGGACATGTCATGAGAGCACACGGCTCTTGTCTACTAGTAGCTAGCTTGCTTGCTCCAAGCGTTTTCCCACCGATTTGATGCATTCAGTGCCTCTCGTCCAGGTTGGTCGATAACTCGACTCCCGCGGACACAGCAAGTATGAATTGAATAGGATGCTCTGGCTAGCTAGCTAGTGTTTCAATCTTTGGCATGCAAACTACTTGACTAAAGCTAGCTAGTAGGGAGATATGCATTAGCATTCCCAGCGACGGTGGTGCTGAATACCAGGCGAGCAAGTTGGGCTGCTAGCTATGGTGGCTGGTCCACAAGCACAATTTGTGGCGTTCCAATTCTCGTCGCCAACTCTCCCCTGACCCCTCCTACCGTATCTGTCAAATGCAGCACGTGACAAAATGCAATGCCGACCGTCCGCATCAAAGGACCGAGGTCTTGTTGTTGTCACAACGACACAATCTTGGCTTCCCCTTTGGGTGGTGCCAGCAACTCTCCATTACAACAAACCCATGGGCACGTACCCCTCGGGCCCCAAGGATTGACACTGCGACGGAAACTTTTGGACGATGTGTTGTGCCCATCGGTTTCGCCTTTTCTTCTTCGTTTTGTGGTTGATTGATGGATCCGGTGGAGGGTCATCCAACACTACCGTCCGGTTGGTTCCTTGTTGCTGTTGTACAAAATCGGCTCGAATGACATGCCACGCATGATGAAACCGATAACACAATGGCTCGTTGTGATGGGGTCCACAGTTCCACGGTTTTTGACACAATGTAAAGTGAGCTCCGTACAAGTCTTTCAAATCCGTGTCGTTGCAATGATTGCAGGCCATTTGATCCTTAGTATTTGTCGCACAAGCCTTTCTCGCTCGGTCGGCCATGGAATTGTAAAGACAACGATTCAATTCCACAAGGTTGGGATGCGGATCTGGTGGAATATTCATAAAGGTGTTGGACTTGTCGTTGTTCTTGCTCTTCTTGTTTCTCTTCTTGCTTTTGAAGGATCCATTCCGCAACCGATAAAAGTATCCGTAGTAGTAACTGATGATGCCCTGAAATCCGGCGCCTCCATAAAAGCGGGCACTCCCCAAGTCACAGGGTCCCCAACCGCAGTTGAGAGAAAAGTGATCTCCGTGATGGAGTATCATGTCGACAATATCGTTGAAAATGGTACGATTGGGCCGCACCACCCAAAAGCCACCCTGCATCAGAACTCGCGTGGGTGGAGTCACAAAGGGAACCATGTTGTAGTCTCGGGTAAAGTAGGTCAAGAGATTGCTGGCAGGTTGGGAGGAGTTTTCATTAGTCGAATGATGAGACTGTTGTCGATGACGGTGGACGAGTTGTTTGGATTTGGTACTGGCGGCGTCTCCCCACAAGAGGACATCGTAGAGATGATCCCAGTTTTGCAGCATCAACGTATCCAAATCCAAATGAACTGCAATGGGATGCCGTGTCAGCGTCAATGTGTACAATTTGACGAGTTCCTTTTCTCCACAACAACCTTGTTTGTGGATTTTGTCACGCAAATCCGCATTGGTAATATTATTGGTGGAGAAAGGAGTTGGTTTCCACTGGACAAGAAACCCCAGCCGCTCCAGTGCCAGGGCTACGTTGTGGCAGTGCTGTCGAACGTCGGAGTGCAAAAAGGCGTACATTTGGTACCCATATCGCTCGGACGATGCCAAGTGGATCGAGTGCTGCAGGACGGCGGCGGCATCCACCAAATGAGATGCACTATTATTACCAGTACTGCAGTCTGTGACGGTAATGGCATAGGCCACAATCACTTGCTTCTCGACGGATCTTGTCGTCTGTGGCAGATTCTCGTTCTCTCTGTTGGCTTGCGTTGCAGACGACAGAAACAAGGTCGCTGTTGTTCCAAGGATTCCAGTCAATACGGAGAGCCCCACAATGGCCGCCACAAGCCTTGTTCGGAAGGACTTGTCCATGCTGCCAAAACAAGCTGTACGAGACAACGCCCTCCCATCATTCAGTAGCAACACCGAACGTTGGACACGCAAGGTTCCATCGTACACATTGTCGACTGCATGGGGCTCCAGCTACCGTAGCTAGCTAGCAAAACCCATCGACGAACTGGTCTGTTCGTTCTGTGTGGGCAACAAGACAACAAGACACAATAACGGAGCTGGATGCTTTGGCAACGCTGTGGCTTGGGCTCACTTCCCAAAACAATAATAAAATAAAAATAAACATAATGAAAAGGGAGCTCTGACGGGGGGAAGAAAAACTTGTTAATCGCCGAGGCACACGGGCCGGCGCCTTTCGTTTTCCATCCCGAACACTTGCTTGACTGCACGACTGCAACACAAAAAGATAGGCTGGCATTCAAAGTCAACACGATGGTGTCCGACAACAGCAGCAAGAACGCTGCCAACCCCCCCAGCAACAGCAGCAAGGTTAGTTTTGACAGTACCCTTACTCCTCAAAGATTCCTTGATGTCGACGCTTTACAGACAGAGTGGTCCCCAAAGGAGGAACGAATTGCTCGCTCCCAATCTGGTGGCATGAAAGTTCGGAGCCTCGATGGCAACAAACGGCGCCTCCGCGGTGGCGACTTTGTATTGAACAAGTGGGACGCAGCCGCCACGATTGGTTTCTGTTTCAAAGATAAGACTACCAAAAAGAAATATGGTATTACCGTTGCCCATCTGGCGGATCACTGCCACTCTCAAACCGGCGCCGTGCTCCAAGAAGGCCGCGTGGGAGACAAGCTTTATGTATTTCTGTCGGACGAGCCAGATGACACTACTGGTGAATACGAAAAAGCTGAACTTGGAAAAATTGTATCTTTGGAACGATCCACGGACTCTATGGTGTTTGAGGTGGAAGGCAACATCGAAGTCGAATCTTACGTCCTCCACCCTTGCTTGGGACTTCAAACTCGGATCTCTTTAGGCCCTTTCGAGATGGGAGGCATTGGTACAACCCTTGTAGGATTTGGTGCTCAACGCCGTGGAACGCTTGGTCGAATCATGGAAGCAAGACTTGACAATTGAACATCAGTCGTCGCCGCCACCCAAGCGACGCCGGGTTGATACCCAGAACGAGAATGCCGAGCCCGCTGGAAAAGGAACGGTTTTGAAGAAGAACCCCTTGGTATTCAAGACGAAGCTTGTCACGGCGCCTCCTTTTTGTGGCCAGGACGTTGTTTTCAAGAAACCACTTCAAGTGAAGACAAAAGAGGTTCCCCTTCCAGTGCGGGTGGAGTCGTTGCGTGTGATACCTGATCGCTAAGCCAATCAAGGCATCAACACTCTTTCGTCGTCAATTTCTTGGACGTGAGCACAGTTGAAGATCCATTGAAGATCACTTAGGCCAAGTGAATCACTTAGGTAAAGTGCGAAACTCTGCCACTTAGCCTATGTTTGCCAAAAGTGAGGGTCCCTTTTCGCGACGGTAGCCTACGGCTGTCTTTGCTTTCCCTGCCTTGATTGTGCTCCAAGGAATGGTCAATGATCCAAGATCAGGCAGAAGGGATTTCCATGCAGATGGGGTCTCGTGCATGATCGCTCGATAGCTACCGTAGCAAGCAGTTAGTTGTCGCTGATTTAAAAACTGATCATTATAAAGATTCTTGAATCATTTGGAGCGCCGCTTCTGTAGCCAGGGTCTCTTCCACAAGGCCCTGTTGAAATGTCTGTGTCAGCTTGTGTGGATTGTCGTGTATACATTGAACGACACTTTCGGATGTCAGTGCAGGAATATAAGCGTGTGCACAGGCCAATGCCATTTCAATGTCATTGTCGTCATCGCAGATACAGACGCTTTCTCTTGCCAACTTGAGGTTTAGGGAGTCGGCAAGGTACTGACAACTGCAGATTGATTTGATTGATTCGTACATGTATGTATGATATCATATGTGGTGAAATTGAATGGATCAGCATCTACAGCAGCAGCCCCAAGAAATCACACTTCTCAAAGCATCAGCATCGCACAGTACTTACCAGTTCCGCTTTCCAGAAGATACGGGATAAACATCGATGCAACCCAGGTTGGTGCTAATTGCAAGTTGAGGCGGAAGGGGAATATCACCCTGGAGTAGTGCTTGGAATGTGTCCTGTCCATCGTCATTCTGCAATTGGTGTTTGCGATTGACACGAAAACAAGTGGAATAACTCTTGGTATCGAGAACCATTTCAAAGTCGTCTTGTAATTGTCGTGCAAAGTCCCACAATGCTCCCTTCCGTTGTTGGATTGGAATGATGTCTTGTTGTTTGGGGAATCCATAGGGATTGTCATAGTCAATAAGACATTCGGCATCGTCGTCCTCTTCGTCGCAAAGTCGGTCGGAAGACACTTCATTGCCGGCATACCCATCTTTTCCAGCGGCGTTGGAGATTCGTTCCCTCCAGGTTTCATCTTCCACCAATCCAAAGGGTACCAAATCGTCTGGCAGTGCACCGGTAAATTCCAGGGGTGTCCAGGAGTGGTCTGGATCATCGGCGGTAGTAGTAGGATAAAAGATACGGCCACCGGCCTCGGTGGCATACGCATCGGCCCTTGGCAGATAGGGCAATCGATTGAGTAAGGTGGATGTTCGCATCCCACTGACCAGGACCAACTTGACTCCTTCTTGTCGTAAATCACGACACTGCTGCAAGGTTTGGGAGGAAATAATTCCTTTCATCCCTGTCGCGCTGGGTGGAAGTGCCAAAATAGTATTGGAATCATTGTCCTTCTTCTTGTTGCCGCCGGTAGCATTATCACTACTCTTGGGGTAGTGAATAAGCGCTCCATCCACGTCACTGCAAATCAGCTTGAGCTGGTCAAGATCTCTTGGACGGCTGTTTCTACTACTGGTAGTAGTACTTGGGCCTGATGCTGCTGTAGCAAATAGACGCGTGTTACTTCCGTCTCGATCGGATCGAATGGAATTGCCAATGACAAAGGCATTTGCCTCGAGAAGAAGACAGCCAAGCAACTGTGTTATCAGGCATAAACAAGGTAACGCAATCATCATGATCAACAGATACAATGCTAGAATAGTAGAGCGACTGTAGTCGATCTGGTGCACTAATAAGCTCTTGTTAGTTGTAAAGGTACAGACCACCGATGGGAAGTGGATCCTGACCTTGAGCCATGAGAGGAAGATACTAGGGGGTTTTAGAGTAGGGAAATTAGCTACAGAAGCCAGCGGGGGCCAGGCTTAAGCAAAGAACAGGCGAAATTCAGGACTAGGTTCTGTGGGATCAGGGGCAAGAAATGGAGGAAGATTGGTCAGGAGAACAAGCAGCCGGAGGCTGATGCCCTCAACTGTCAAAAAGAGATTTGATTGGTCAAATCATTTACTGTGTTCAACTGGACACACTATTGATAGCAAGTCTCCATAGCCAGCCAGTACGGGCACAGTGGTATCGGTACCCATGGCTCCAGAATACTGTGTCCAACAGAACACACAATATAAATCCCTATCCTTAACAAGGAAAATGTCCCTTATGTCTTTGGCAAAACCTCCACCGTGTTTATCTGGACACACTAGCGAGTCTGCATAGCCAGCCAGTACTGGTACCCATGCGTAGAAACTACTGTGTCCAACAGAACACACAAGATTAATCCCTATCCTTAACGAGCGACGAAAACAGCTGCAACAAACACACAAACACACACACACACACACACACACACACACACACACACACATACAGCGATAAAAGTGTGAAAGACCCTCAGTCCGTTGAGGGCAATTTCGGAAGCAGTTTTGGGGCTCTCAGCCCCAGTCACGAATTTCGATCCAAAAAATGAAATTGAGAGGAATTGAAAAATTGGAAATTGAAATGGTGAGGAATAGGAAAATCAAAGTTGAAATTGTGAGGAACAGGAAAGATGAAATTGTGAGAAAACGGGAATTTGAAACATAAAATTGTGAGAAATCGGAGAAAATGTAATTGTGAGAAATCAGGAATCCAAGAATTGAAATTGTGAGAAACCAGCAATAGTTGTAATTGTGAGGAATCAGAAAAAATGTAATTGTGAGAAATCAAAAATCTGAAAATTGAAATTGTGAGCACTCTGCAAAAATGTAATTGTGTGAAATCAGAAATCTGAAAATAGAAATTGTGAGAAATCAGCAATAATTTTAAATGTGAGAAATCGGAAACTTCAGAATTCAAAATGTGAGAAATCGGAAATAATTGTAATTGTGAGGAATCGGTAAAAAATGAATTGTGAGAAATCCGTAAAAAGTGAAATTGTGAGAAATCAGGAAAACAAAAATTGTGAGAAATCGAAAAATGAAAACTGAAATTGTGAGGAATCGGCAACAATTGAAATTGTGAGGAATCGGCAATAATTGAAATTGTGAGGAATCGGGAATAATTGAAATTGTGAGGAATTGGCAATAATTGAAATTGTGAGGAATCCACAATAATTGAAATTGTGTGGAATCGGCAATATTTGAAATTGTGAGGTTGTGAGGAATTTGTAATAGTTGAAATTGTGAGAAATTGTAAATTGAAATTGTGTGAAATCATTAAAAATTGAATTGTGGGGAATCGGCAATAATTGAAATTGTGAGGAATTGGGAATAATTGAAATTGTGAGAAATCGGAAAATTGAAATTGTGAGGAATCGGAAAATTGAAATTGTGAGAAATTGGAATATTGAAATTGTGAGGTTGGGTGTTTGGAAGGGACATAGTCTGCCTGGAAGGCTTCGAACTTCAGTGAGTTTGCTTTGGCATGGAATAGAGAAATGATGTTGGCTGGTATGTGTCATACAGGCTTAGAGACGCCAGCAAGATCGCGGCGGCTTTTGCTGGATTTGTGATCATTTGGAATGACTGGAATGATATCAGCCAGGATTGCTGGGGAGCAGAGAAGGCAAGTGAGATCTCCCGGCCCGGTGAACTGGTATCTGGCTCCCCCATTGGCCAGTTCATCAAAAGTATAGTGCTGTGGGAGAACATCCTATCTGTCGGGCGGGCTGGAACGTACTAGACTTCGTTCTGAAACTACCGGCCACGGTAAGACAGGCCGGCATGCACACTAGCAAACTTGACTGCTACGTACAGAAAGGCTACTACTAGTATTCAAGCGCCCCCACTTTTTCAATGGAATTATTGGCTATTTTAATAGCTAGCAATACAGTAGTTAGTGCACGTAGAAGGACAGCACAGCGACTATTAGTACTTTGTCGCCACTCATCTGCGTTTCCGCCTGGACGCACCACCAGCGGCCTGTGCCGCTACTGGCACCAACACGACGCATGTATGATTCTCTCCTTGGAGTTCTTCGTTGATAATGGATGCAATCACCCCCCAGTCGCCCTTGGCCATGCCTGCCCCAATCCGGCTGTATCCAAGGGACTTTCCAGAGAAATCTTGTTTGATTCGTCGAAAGCAACTGCGAAGAGCTTCGTAGTCAACCAATCTCGTCTTGCCTTTATAGTCGTATTGCGTATACGCGTTCACCACAACCAGAGAGGGCAAATCGCCTTGGCGTTCGATTTCGGCATGGGAATAGTCCCCCAGCTTGGTTCGATTGCCTTTGCCCGTGCTTTGATCAGCCCAAAACGCCTCTGGAAAAGCAGACTTGATACGAGCTGCAATGCCTTCGTCCATGTTGCAATGACAGTTGTTTCCGTGCACAATCACGTCAAATCTCCCAGCAGAGGCCAGGTCGATCAGATCGCCTTGGATTGTGTTCATTCTTCTTTTTGGTTGGTTTGGATGATTGTGATGTTGCTTTGTTGTGTAGTTAGTTGTGTCTTGGTACCACCATGCAGGAGTTGCAGGCAGACGGTCACTCCAGACGCGCTTCGCATTTGCACGTTCGAAAGGTGGAAAGTAAAAAATTTGCGGAAAACAGAAAAATGTTGAAATTGGAAATGTTGAAAACTTCAAGGGTGTGCTGCGCCCTATCAAGCTACCTCAGAAGTATGGAGATATCGAAGTGCAATCATATAATAAAGCCAAGCTAAGTGCTAGCTAGTAGTACAAGCCGGTTCAGAGGTCCCGTATCATTCAACCAAAAAATTGAAGCAGGTCCAGCTTTGGATGGGATCTGGGCGGTTTGAGGTACAAGCCGTAACCCTTGAGACACACAACAATTCCACGTCAAGCAATAGCCAGAATGGAGGCCCACTTCCAAAATGGACCAACACGGAGCTAAAACTACTTGGTCAATCTCCGCTCCAAACAAACTGCAACTCGACTGTTCCCCGAGGAACCCCAGCCACAGCAAACTAGGATGCGGATATAAGGAATAGTTTGACAACGACCGAGATGGTTGCACTCAAGAAGTGTCGGTTGCTGGCACAGAAGCAAGGATGCTCTGGGTGCGCCCTGTGACCAAGGTTTGGTTTCCCTGGTTTTTGCGAGTTCAATCTCATCTTTGCAAGAACCGAGGACATCCCTCTTCTTTGTAGCGTGCGGAGTTTTGTGGATACGATGTTCCGTTGCGACAACATTGTGCCCGATACTTCTATGCGTTGTCACATTCGAAGCATATTCTCGCCGGAAGAGATATGATAACACTTCGGTACAGTTGGACCATACAGAAGACGAAGTCGTTATTCCACTTCCAATAGCAAGCCTAGAAGAGCATATCGTCTTCTTCCTCGTCTGAACTCATGTCCTCGTCTTGCAGCAAGGTTCCTCTATTTTTGTTCTTGTTCCCGAACAGTTTTTTGATGGATTTTCGAGCGCTTTTGCTGGATCGGTTTGAAACACTCGATCGATGAGAGACCTGCGACTTGTCATCATCCATATCTCCAATTTCCGAGTGAGAAGCACCCATCATGTTTCGCAGGTATCCCGATGCCTTGGACGCGATCGATTTCTTTTCTTTGGAAGGAGGCGACTTGAAATCGGAATGATTCTCGTATCCCAACTTGGCGGGACTGATGAAATCTCTTCGCAAGCTACCGCGCATGCTACCTTCCTCCTCGCTCTCATCGCCATTGTCATCCTTCCGGCCTTGCCGTCGAAAGAGGGATTTCCTTCGATGACTCACAGGAGAATGTTGTTCACTTTCGTCACATCTCGACGGTTGCTGCTTTGTCGGTGATGAGGGGTGTTGTCGATGGGATGACGATGGAGCCGAAAAGGGGGCCTCGTCTCCAAAGTTGGGCTCGTCGTCAAACAAATTGAACAAGGGGCCCGATTTGCTAATATCTTGAAGGTTGCTGACAGGATCTACAATTTCCGCAATCTGCCCATGCTGTCCGTTGATTTCATACCCCTTCTTATCCGTGGATATCTGTTTGACTCTCTGTACCATGCCAATCTGTGATGGGTCAAATTGTAGCACATCACCCAAATTTTGGTTGTCACCATTCAAAAAGCTGTCATTGTCATCGTCAAAACCAAACTCTTCATCGTCGTCTGTGGTGACATAGTTCTTGTCGTTGTTTGCAAACTCCTTGGCAGCGTCTCCAAAATTGGCAAAGGCGTCAATGTCGTTGTCGTCGTTGTCGTCCTCGCTTTCCTCACAACTGCTCATTTCATCTTCTTCCTCCTCCGACTCTTCTTCCGATTCCAAGGATCCGTGACTGTCGGAAAGGTCCGAGTGAATCGACTCGTCATCAAAATGAGCATTGAATTCGGCACTCCCCACGAGCATGTGCGAATCGTCCGGATGGTAGAGCTCATCATCATTGTTGCTGTTGCTATTGTTGATGTTGCTAGCATTGCCCACCACCATGAAACTACTATTCCAGCCTTCTCGTTGGCTCTTTTTGGCAGGATCCTTTTTGGGCTTGTTGGCATTCGGCAATGCGGATTGTTGTTGTTGTTCGCGCGAACTGGACAGGGCTCCATCTTGACTGGAAGTGGTACTGCCTTTTCGCGACTTTATCGATTGTTTGGTAGCCGCCTTGCCTTCGGATCGCCGAACACTGCCATGTCGATCTTGATAACTACTACTGAGTTTTTTCTTGGAATTGTGCAGGTGTCGTTTGTGATGTTCCGTACCACTGCTTTGTCGCAAGTGATCGCGGGAGGAGGAACTCATCATTCCACCTTGTTGTCGCGACGACGTTCGTCGTAAGGGTGCTTCATTGGCAGCTTTGCGCCGTGATTTTTGTTTGTCTTTGGCCGCTTGCGCCGCCGCCACACCGACGGCTTTGGATCGTTGCTTGTCTTTGGCGGCTTGTGCGGCCGCGACACCGACGGCTTTGGAGTGCTGTTTGACGGTGGCCGTTTGTGCAGCCGCCACGGCCGCGGCTTTGCGGGATTTCTTGGCCTTGGCATCAGTGGTTGTCGTTTGCAGATTATTATTCGCACTGGCTTCGAGTTTGCGCAAATGATCCGTGGCTTTGCGCAGGGCTTCGGCCGCTTTGGCAGCCGCCAATGCCGCGGCTTTGCGTTGTTCATTGATTTTTTCGTCCGTAACACAAGAAGATTTACGTGTTGCGCGTGTATTGGATTTGCTGCGTCGCGTGCCACGTCGTCGTCGTTGATGATCATTATTGTTGTTGTTGTTGTTGGATTTGCTACTGGAATCCATGCCACTGCTGCTTTTGCTGCTTCGGAGCCTGCGTCCAGAGGCTGTTCGTTGGGGACCACCACCACCGGAAGAGTGTTGTCGTTGGGGACCAAACGATTGTTGACTACTGGATGCGATCGAGACGGCATCCATGGAATTGTGAGTACTGGTGCTCTTGCTGCCCACTACTTTTTGATTGGATTTGGTGCGACGAGGACCGGATGTGGAGCGTTTTCCCTTGTCGTCGGATCGGGTGCGATGTGGTTTGTCGTGCGTGCTGCGTCCTCGATCGGAGATGCGCATGGAATTGTGCCGACGACTGCTGGAGGAAGACATTTGCTTTCGTCGATTGCTGCTGGTGTTGTTCGATTCGGCACTGGCGACTGTATTTCCACTGACTGTGGAACCACCGACGGTACTACTGTCGGCCACCGATCGTCGACTACTTCTCACTCGATCGGAAAGTAGTCTGGATTGTCGTCGTCTGGGTTTTTCTTTTTTGTCGGCTGGTTGTTCGTCGAGTAAATCTTCTTCTTCATCTTCCTCGTCATCACCGTCTCCATGAAATCCATTGATCGCCTTGGTCAACGCGGCGCTCAATCCCAAAGCAGAGTCTTGCGAAATACTCTTTCGAGTGGAAGATGTCAAGCGATGACGACCGACTCGCGATGAACCGGCACTGCGACGAGACGCACTGGAAGTAATGGATCGATCCATGTCATCATCTGTTGTTGCCACGGAAGCATTCAGTAGTGCCGACCGACTATTATTGTCTTTGCTCTTGTTGCGACGCAGTCTACTTGGTTGGGAGGATGACACGACGCTCTCGTTCAGTATCGAAATCGACTGCTCTTCTGACAGATCCACCGTTGCTGTTTCTTCTTCGTCTTCCTCGTCGTCATCGCTGCGTTTTTTGTTGCCGTACAAGGGACCCTCTTTTTTGCCACCGCCAAACACTTGCATCAATCGGAGGGATCCTTCACGACGGACTCCTCGTTCTTTCGTAGAGGAGCTCATGGGGGGCATCTTTTGTTCTTGTTCTTGGAATGTGGAGATGAATGGAAGTCTGGAAAGAAAGAAAAAGGTCGGTACCTTTACACTATTGGAAGGAAGGGAACAGATACTTCATTCGACACACACTCTTTGCCTTTCAATCATCCACTCCACTGCCTTGAGTCAGAGTTTTCCAACTGGATTCTGCACCGTGCAAGCTAGCTGAAAGTCTAGCCAGCTCTGGAGTTTGTAGTGCCACTGGCAATTGGGAATGAAGGTTGTTGGTCTTGTAGAGCACACCCGGACCATGGCACTCCGTAATGGTGTGTTAGTGGGACGTTCCGCGGGAAGGAGGTTGTTGGACCTCACGAGAATGAACGTGAACTTCGTGAAGCCTCGTGAAGCTCAAGTTTTTGGAAAGGATTTAGTAGGAGAATAATTGGTTAACTCTCAGGATCCGCACGATGACCAAAATAGTGAATTTGGGGAAAGCATTCTTTATTTCTTTACGTCTCACTGGTCTTGTAACTTGGGGAACTTCCTAAGGCTTTCCAAATAAATGACCTTCAATACCCATCTCTTCTCCGAAAGACCTTCCGCAAAGGAAGGTTGATCAGACAGCTCTGACAGCTTTTATAAGGCCAAGGTTCTTCACGCGATCTTGGAGGCAGCAATGACTGCGGCATCGCAAGCAGCAAATGAGGTCATTGAACAACGCTTGCAACGCAACTCATCACAACGGCTCGATCGATACAACAGCACGGCGACCAGGACAAGATACCAACAGCACTCCCAAGCAAAGCCACCACCACCACTACTACTACTAGCCATCTAGCTAGACTACTTCACGCACACATAAGCAAATAACTCAAACTACATACAAGACAATGTCGAAAAATGCCAAGTTCAAGCGCACCAAGACGCTAGACAGAGAATACCATCCGGATGAGGAGTTTTCGCGCCACGAAAAGTACGTCCCCGACGATGATGATGAGGATCCCAGTAGCGACGAAGAAGAAGATGACGAAACACCGGTGGAAATCACAAAGTATTTGGAACAGTTTGGAACAGAACGTGGAAAAACAGGCGAGGAATTGAGGGAATGGCACAAGACATGGGCGGCGGGCGTTACCGAATCGAAGGAAGGAAACCCGTCGGATTGCAAGGCCGGATGTCACTGGAAAGACGGTGAATTTAGTTTGGCGTGCATGGCGTGTATTGATGCCTCGACGGCCATTACCAAATAAAGTCTCTGTTTTAAAAAAAGAAAGAAAAAGAAAAAATACACACAACAATCTCTCCGTCGTTTTTGCATTTCTTATTTTGATTGGGCCTTTTTGCTGATGTTTCGGGGAGGTCAATCTTACCCATGGCGACTGGGAAGAAAATACCTCCCAGTTCTTTTCTGCATCTTTCCCAAACAAACTGCAGCAGTAGGGGCGAATTCTAATTCAGATCCTAGCTAGTTAGACGAGAGTTACATGTACTACTAGTAATGAAAATAGAGAGCCGCAGACATGAAATTCCACCTCCATGAATATCCTAGTTCTCAAGCCTGATGAATCATATGCATAGCTCCCTGCGACAAACCCCAACCAGGAACGGCTACCACTGCACTGCCAGGCTGCCTTAATAGCCTGTCTTGATGCCAGCCACCGTTTTCACCCAAACTATTCCTGTTTCTGGCAAGCGAAAAAGCCATCATGACATGCAACAATTGGGATACCAAGATTCCTTGTATTCTGTTTTCATCCTATTTAGGACGAAGAGGAGAAGGATTTGAAGGCACTTGCCAGGGCAACACTGACCCAAAAGAGCATACGTTGTGTAATTCGGTCGCGGTGGTTGTACCGTACACGTAGATTCATGCATCTCTAACGGCTTAAAAAAGGTTCAGGTTCAGCGAACACGGAACGGCTGGGAACCACGTGAGTAAATGAAGAGGTTAAAATAAGGTTATTAAAATGGAGTAGGATCACGTCTGAAGCAATCCTGTCACAATTTCATCAGATTGAACGATTCGATTCTGTCCGAACAATGATGTCATTGTGTCCTACGGCTGCAGCAATCACATCGATCACAGCGCATAGTTGGCCAAAATGGAGGCCGCGAAGAAGACACTGACAGAGCTCATGGGGAACGCTGGGTATGTTGACTCGCCCGAGTTGGCGCTGGATGGATGTGTTACTGGCAGCTTCCATAAGAGACAACATGCCCAGCGAATTTCGGGCATGGAGCGGCAGCGACAACGCAAACTGGGGGATTGGCGGAAGAAGGATATGGAAATTGGGCAGGACGTGTTTCAGATCTTGAAGGCTTTTCCATCGCTGGCGTCAATAAAGTATCATAACTTTTTTGCACAAGCGCTCTATCCACGTGCGTACATTTCTATTATTTGGCTGCAGGAGCAGGGGTCTTCCCTGGACCAAAACCAATTGCTTCCACCTTTTAGAGCTCACCATCCACGTCATTGTCTTTTGGTCCACAGTTTGGTACTTTGTTCTTCTTGGGCACGGACTCGAGAAAGTAGAACCAGTCTACGAAATGTATTGCAAAGCCATTGCTATGCCTCTCGCCCAATGCGAATGGCGCGGTAAACGGCATTGCTTACTGCTCCTGGAAGCTGCCTGCCGATCGGCTTGGGTCAGCGATGCTGTGATTGCGTTTCTAGCCCAGAAATTGCCAGTCGCAACCACTACGAGCTTCCGCAATGGTCCCCTTCCATTTACCTTGCGGGTGCTCGATTCGCCCAAGTACCATGGGATACGACATGCTTCTTGGACCGTGATTGATGCACTTTTGCCTCGCAACGCGTGGGGTCTTTGGTTGTTCAACAGTCTTTTGGAAGTTGGCTACAGTGCTGAAATCCTTGACTGCGTCCTTGATAAGATCATCCAACACGGCGACTGTCAGCCTCGAAGAAAAAGCATCCAAGTGAGGTCCTTCCAATGGCACACGGCGGATTGTCGTATTGACCAGGCCAAAGGACTTGTGCTTCAGCGACTCCTTGGACTTTCCAAACGGGTACTGGAGCTTCACTTGAGTCCTGCCAAGTGGACTTATGGAGGACTCTGCGAGACACTGCAAGGTCTCTCGGATTGCGCGTCCATCGAGGTGGTCGGCTTGACCATCAAGCCCGAAATGATGGTAGGCGATGGAGCTGCCCGCGATAGAGCGTTGCATCTACTGGAGGAGCTTTTTGCCACCGACAATTCTCTTCGTTCGCTTTCTCTTACCATGGAAGGGCCATTCCTGGAGGCTGTAATGAAAGGCCTTGCAAGGTCCCACAATTCTTCCATTGGGAAGCTCACTCTCTTCATGATGGACATTCCGAATGTCGCAGTTATGACACCTTTTCTGAAATCAGTCCATCGACGCTTTGAGCTTCTGCTTTGGTGCGCAGAGCTAGGCGGTCAGTGGAGCATCGATCACGAGCTGGACCATCGGCTGTGCATTGATCTGCAAAGTTGCAAAATGACTCCCGAGTGCATGGTGGATACACTAAACCTAATGCCAGTGGCGAGTCGTCCAGGGAGCCTGGTTCTGGAACCATTCGAAGAAGGAGGCTTGGTGGACATTACAGATTCTCTGTTGCGTGTGTTCCAGCTCGGGTTCATCGAAAAACTCGTCGTCAAGGGTTCCTCCACAAAGTACAACGTTGACATGTTTTTAGTGTTTCGGGCCTTGCGCCAGGATACTACGTTGACCTCGTTGGAAATGGAACAACCATTGCAGGAGAGAAAACGAAAGTCCAATAACGACAGTTTGGCGCCGCCATCGAAACGAGCAAAGGTGATAGTCCAAACAGCGAAAACAGAGGCAATAGGGGCGATCAAAGGTGAAAACGTAGGGGCAAGACACAGGCCACAACTTGAACCGGGGGATTCATGGACTGGTTATGAAAACAGCGATCTTCAGAGGTTCCTCTTGGAGCTCCTAAAGGTCAACTCAAAGCTAAGCTCGGTAATAATCTATGACAACCAAGTTGACTACAGCGGATTCTCAAAGAGACCCACCGACTTCCGGCCAATGACCTTTCCCAGGCCTACGACTTTCCGCGATGAGGCGCTGTCGGATCGAATGCTGTACTACATGCGGCTGAATAGGTGTGGCAGGGAAAGAGTTCGGAGGATGGGCGCAAGTCATGCCACGATCGTGGAGGTCCTCTCGCGTGCACGGGAGATGTGTTGTGACGACGATGATTTGGGCTATCTCAGCACAATCTTTGACCTTCTCCTTGAGTCGGCACCTAACCTATGGAAATGCAACTACACTTCTCTCATTGGTTCTACCCCAAGCGAGACTGGTCGAAGGACGATGGGTGCCTCTATGGAGGAAGACATCTCCCTTGCTGCGGTGTCTGCAGCACAAGTATAAATTATCAATACAAGTTTTTGTGTTATGGGAACTAAACTGTGATGACTAAGCATACAGCGCTAGAATGACATCACACTCAAGTTACGTAGAACCCAACGGGGGTTTAGAGTAGGAGGATTATCTACGGAAGCCAGCGACAGTGCTTCCTCTTCTCCAAAGTAAACACGACTCAGTAGGTGTTTATTTTCATAGGTGGCAATGGAATCGGTTTATACACTGACAGAGGAAGAAGCATCCGACAAGTGCAGTTCGGAGGGCCCACTAGCCATGGTCTCATCCTCCTCTCCAACGTGAATGCGAGCAAGAAATCCTCCGTAGGTGTTTCCGGCATGAGCACCAAAGGTAAACCCTGCCACAAGGCCTCCGTGCTTCATCTTGTTCTTGCCACTGCTGTAAATCTGCTCGTAGAATTGGGTACCCAGACTGGCAGACACCAGATTGCCATACTTGCCAGACACATCCAAGAGCTTGTCACCTGCAAGGAACTGCTTTATCTTTTGCATAACATGAGAATTGGGCTGATGCAGCAAGAGGGCATCCAATTGTGAAATTTTGATGCCTTGAGAGCTCAACCACTCTCTCATTTTGGGGACAAACTGCTTGGCAGCATCCGTATTCAAACGACCCGTGACTTGAATGCAAGAAGTGTCTTTGTTGGCTTCCACATATGTCTGAAAGGTAAACATGGAAGTGTCCGAAACAGAATTCACTTTTAGTAGTTCAAAGCAGGTGTTGCTCTTGGTGGTCTCTAGGACTTCTGATGGGTGGTGTGTCCCTTGCAAGACGAAGGCACTGGCACCATCACCAAACAAGAGAAAGTTGATCCATTGAGTCATTTCATTGGCCTTGGTGGTCTCTTTCCAATCTCTTCGATGAAACACATTGGAAGTAATCACCAAGATGTTCTTGAAATCACCACATGACAGCATGGCCTTGGCCATTTGAAAGGGAGGCACCACTCCAGCACAACCAGAGTCTTGGTGTTGCAGGAGGCAGTCAGGTCGTAGTCCAGACAATGCAGTGGTGAATCCTCTCATGCAGTTGTTCAGGCCCAAGTCATCTCTTCTTCCTTCCTTGGGCACCCTGTTGGAGCCAGAGACATGTATGATGCAGTCAATCTCACTGGCAGAGACACCAGCCTCATCCAGAGCCATCTTGGCAGCAGAAACACTCATATCAAACTCTGAGATATCCTTGCAATCTTCAGTCAGCTGCTGATCAAAGACTCTCTCAAATTCTGACACATCTGCAATTGCAATGCTGGTTGATCCCAGATATCGCTTTGCCCAGTCCAATGCTACTGGCTTTCCTGTCTTGGGGTTGTGAATGCCAGCATCCACCAACTTTTGCATGATGATGTCAGTGTCAACCAGGGCTCCTTTTCCTTGGAGCTGGTCCACACCTGGCACTGCACGACCACAACCTGTAATGAATGCTCTTCTGGTAGAACTATCTGTGTGTTCAAGCTGGTTGTGCTTGGACTTGACAACAGCTTTGCGTGAGTGGAAGATAGTGTTAATAAGAGAGAACTTCATATTGTGGGTTGCTTTTGTTCAGGTTTGTGTTTTGTGAGCAAGGAATCAAACCAGATTCAATCCTCGCTGGCTGCATCAGCCACAAGATCTGCCAGCTAGAAGCTGTCTGGCTATACCTACGGGTAGCTAGCCCAACGGCTACAAGATCTGCGACGGACTGCTGCCCTCTTGTGTTACGGAATGTGGTTAGTCATGTCGGGAAGATCCCACTCCACCTACCGGACTCTAAACCCCTTCAAAAATCTATTACTGTAAAACCCCTGTGATAATATCTTCTTGGGTTCGCTCGAGTAGTTTTTACCAGGCCTCCTTTTATTCCCACTATAGGATATAGAGTATACGCTTCCGCGACTCAAAGAAAAGATGGAAACCCCAACCACCCACTCCAGCTTTGGATTGACAGTACGTCGCAGGAAACCAGCGACAATCTTCCCGCGGATATCCCCAGGTCTTGTTGTATCAGGAACCGGAATGAAAAGCTGCATGGGTCTCTTAGGTCTTGGCTTGGGGTGTTAGCTCCTGCAAGACCTGGCTGGAGCCTAAAGCGGTAGCATATGCCGGTGGCGTGAAAAGTCTTGGCGCTGGTCGTTTCTGGCTTTTATGCGTCGATCTATTTAGTCCGAGGCAGACTCACTCTATCTTCCAAATTTCCCGTTGCTAGTTGATCATAATGCAAGTACGAGTTTTGTTGAGCTTACACGCGCTCCGGGTCGCTCTGAAGAGGTAGCTAAGCAAAACAAAAAAGCAAAACGAATTTCACGGCCGAAATGACGAAAGCAAGGGCCGGATTGGAACCCATCCTGAGATGATGACCTATTTTAGCTCCGATGTTGGTGGGGAGCCCATGCAATCCTGAAAGATCTTCGGTATCGGTATCGTACTAAGGCCTGTTCAAATACCGGACATGTATTTCGTCTCCCGGAGACGACTTGCTTTAGGGGTAAGGGTACTGTTGGGGGCAGAGGTTTGAATTATACCCGGCGTGCAATACTTAGAGGCCTCTGTAGAAGTCTACGTATTTGACTAGTATTGTATTGACGGGATACAGTCAACGCATGTACATGCACATGAAAGTCGCCTCGCTTTTCACACAAGTTTCGCATGAATGAGCGAGGGAGCTGTTCCGGGGCGAAGCAAGAAACACCCAAGTTTCGGCCGAAGGCCGAAGTATCGTCCCGGGGGCAGGAGGAGGGGGGCCGCGCAGCGGCCTAGTAACAAAGAGGGGAAGAGGAGGGGGAATCAACAACAACAACAGAACAACAACAACAGATCGCGACACCGAAGCCATATCGCACGACCACCGGAGGTCTTCGGAGCTATGAATAGTAGTAGCAATAGTAGTAGTGATGTTGTTGACTGTTGTTGATGGTCTTTGTTGTTGTTTCATCATGGTGCCATCATGGTGGGGTTGTTCTTGTGTTGATAGATGGCTTCTGGGGGTGAATCGGTGATACTTCCGAATGTTGGCACTAAGTAATGAGTGGTGGTTCGTTATTTCTTTTGATGTTTACTACTGTTTCCTGAATAAGTCTCCGAGAGCCCTCATTCGTGTGTGTGAAGGATTCGATTCAGAAATTCGTTGACGAGATCCATAACTCTACCCTTAACGTTTTTTGCTTTCGCACTTTCGGCACAAGGACAATGGTAAGGCAACAAGAGTCGAGTCACAACGAACCAACAAAGCGTTCTCGCGATGTACGGCAGCCAACAACAGGATGTCGCTACCGCTACCGGGCTGAGATAGCTGAACGAAACGCCGCTGCAGTGAGCCAGCAAACAAGAAACGCAACAAGCCGTCATTGTGGAGTGTTTCGTCAGTGTTTCGCCATGGTCGCTTCGGCCATTGTCGAGGAGAGGCTGTTTTCGTTGACTGAATTTATGGAACTGAACTGCAGCGAAGAGGATCGACACCTTGTTTCGTGCGTCGAGTCGGAGAGGACTGTTTACCCTCTCTTAACCTTCCGTTAGACAAAGACCAGTAGACTAGCAACAAGTTCAATTTTCCATCTTCTGGTACAACAAATATAGCTATAATTCATGCCCACAAATCGTTTAAGAGAGGACCAACGAGGGACGGCCATTGACTGATAAACATGAAAGCCACTCGACTGATAAACATGAAAGCCACTTCTCCTCTTCCGGTTCATTATTTCGATACCTTTACTCTAAGCCGACAATAACGAGTTGGCTACTACAATTTAAATTGAAATGGTTACGTCAAGGAAAATTGACCATAGCCTCCGGCGTAGCCCGAAGGCGGCAACATTTGGTTAGTTGGTTTGTGGTGGTAAGGGATCGGTGTAGGTAGACGGTGGATTGGAGCGGTGGTAGAGACAGTGATGGTGTTGGTTGGCGGTGACGTTGGTTGGTGGTGGCGGCGGTGGTGGCGATGGCAATCGAAAGGACGACAGTTGTTGCTCTGAGTATGTTGTTGCCAAGAGCCTTGCCCCTACCCAAGTAGGCACTGACTTCAAGGCAAACCACCCAGAGCTAACACTGTTGGCTGTCGCCTCTTCTTCGATTCTTACACTAACAGAGAGCTGGGCACCTCTACTCTAATATAATAACAACATGCATGTGTCTATCCTCTTTGTTATGGCCGTGTTCTGAGTGAGTTTGTTGGCATGTGACGTCTTTGTTTTTTGTTGGGACGCTGAATTGGATCTTTTCTCACTCACTGGCTCATTGCTCGCTCAAAGACATAAGCATCCTTTTTTGAATGAATCCTGTTTCAGGTGTTGGTAATAAAAGATTTATGGAAACGGAGACGACCCAGGGGGCATATGAATTACAGCTCTACCGATTTAAACATTTGAAGATCCACCATCTCAGATGGATCCTACAACCACCAACAGCAGTCAATGGAGCGGAGAGCAGTTTGATATATTCAGGGAGAATCTCCTCTTGGATTGGCAGCTTGGTACTCTCTCCGGCCCTTGGACATGGCCAGATGTAATAAGAGGGTCGAAAAGCAACATTTCCGCCTTTTCCGGATCCTCCTGATTGCGCTCGTGGAAATGGCACGTTTGAGCGGTACAAGATCGGTCCTTGCTTCACTATTCATCGCTCTGCCTCTACCACGACAAACGTTTGGATTTGTTTTGCGTGCCCCACAACCGAGCAGAAACTTTAATTTTCAAAGAGCTAAGGCAACAAGAACCATCATGCAGCAATCACCCAGCGAAAAGCCGCCAGAAGGCACCACGGACGAACAGGCCACCACCAAGGCAGCGCCAAAGCCTCGAAAAGTACATCACATGTCTGTCTGCATGGTCCCTCCGCCAAGCAACAAGCACGTGTGGAAGGCGGTCAGTCAAATGAGACGACAGCTCAATGATCCAGGCTACTATCGATGGCCTCATCATGCCAATTTGCTCTATCCCTTTTTGGACGTGGGCGGCAAGGATGATGATGCTCAGAAATTCAAGGACTTGGTGGAACAATTGCACACGGCAACCAAGCAGGTGGAACCTTTCAACGTCATCTTGAAAGAATTGGGGACCTTTGGCGGGAAACAGCGAGGTGTGCTGTGGTTGAATCCAGAGTCTTCACCATTGACCACCACACAGAGTGAAGAAGGCACAGAAGCACCGCTCTTGACACTTCACAAGCATCTAGAAGACGCATTTCCCATTTGCAAGGATCAGCCCCGGCCCGTATTCACACCACACATGACAATTTCCCATTACGCCAATTTAGATGATGCCCTGGTGGCCAAGAAGCAGATTGAGCAGAACTATCCTCAGCTTGCCGATGGGTCTTTGACATTTACTGTGGATCGCATCTACCTGATACGACGAGAAGGAGATGGAGGACAGTTTCTGCGATTGGCCGACATTGGTTTGGGTGCAGCCAAGAACAGCAAGGTCGAACTCTTTGAGGCGGGTGAACGGTTCCCCGATATGCCGCTGACAGAAGAAGAATGGGTCCGTGAAGAAAAGACAAAACTCAAGGAACGACGCAATGGCGGCCGCAGCCGAGGAGGACGGAGGAAACAACAACGCCGAAGAAAGAGTCCGAGAGCGCCGGATAGCCCTGAAGTAATCGCTGCCAAACGGGCCGAGCGAAAAGCCAAGCGAGAGAAGCTGGAGCTGGAGCAACGGCATCAGCAGATGTATAGGACCCTAGGCGCTTTGGTGCCGGTGTTTCTGGGGCTTCTCGTGACTGCGTTTACGCTGACGAAACAAGTGGGGAGCGACGGCTATGCTTAGGCCGGCCGGGACTGCATTTGTATTTTCCGGCCGTGTTTCGGTCCTGGTGAATCGACGCACCTGGCCACTATTCTTGTCTGCCTTCAATCAGCCAATGTAGATAACGCTCCTAAAACCTGAGCATACTCTCAATTCTCGCAGTTGTCTGTGGACGACAGGCGATCCTGGGCACAGCGTCACTGCGGCGTGGCTTCTCGCGTTTCGTCGGCGCTCTTTAAAGGGTCAGAGTGGAATGCCCGCAGTCCGGACCGATGGCAAAGGCGCCCGTTGTTTGGAGTGTGCTGCAGGAGGGTTGCGACTTGATGACTTGATGTCTAGCTTGCTGCCCAATGCCTAGCCACTCGAACACAGGCGGTAGATTACTGTATCGTCAGGAGAGAGGCCAGCCACCTATCCACAATATCAAATGTACACATACCAGCTCACTGGTTGGGGCTAAGAAAGCTACAGTGGTTGTGCCTGGCTACTGTACGTCCTTGGTGGTAACGACCGATGCTCTGCTGGATCTGTCATTTACGGGGCTGCTGAAAACTACCGGGTTTTACCGTACTAGTACGGTACAGCGTACCGTACCGCGCACCGGTACAGAGCTAGCTTCCGCAATGTTCCACCAACTTTGTGGGGCAGCGGCCCGTAATTTCGGGGGATGGGGCAATTGCTTGACTTCGCCAGACAATCCATTGCACCGATTGTCTCCATCCCCCGGCACTACAAGCTAGCACCAACGTAAGCAACGGCTCGACTGTGACTGTCACTCGACTCTCTTCAGCTCAACCGGACGGTACAGGAATGTAGCCACCGGCACTCAGTAGCTGGCCAGCCAGTGGCGACCTCGACCACTGTGAAGGACCAACCCAGTCAACACCCCGCTATAGTTCTAAAAACTATGCGCTTGCTGAGGGTCCTTTCCAAGAGGGTGCCTAGTGGTAATGGACGTCCGTGTAATGGATAGCTTACAGTCCTCACTGACTGTTTTCTGACGCAGCATTCAATTATTTCTTATCGATCGAATGGCTAAGAGCCAAGAACAAGGGCGACTCCAACCCAGTGGGTATCATCAACCAACTGTAGAGCTTTGTCGACGACCCAAATCCAATACCTACTCCGTATCCTCTATCCGAAGTGTTTTTCTTGGCCCACTGGAATCAGCTCACATGATATTGCCTCCTCCTCCTCCTTTGCTCACAGTTCCAAGCCAGAAAAGAAGCAACGAAGCCTCCTTTGATCCAGCCAAACAATCTTTAAATTCAAGCAATGGGCAACGCAACCTCTTCGTGTCATCACACAGACAGTGAAAGACAGGTGGGACGGTATTGCCGTCCATCCAGTGATAGGAATGGCCCTTTTGGCTCTGCCAACGACAGCAGCTCCACGAGTTTCTTCCCGTCCAGCACTCTGACCGAAAACGAGCTGCAGAGTATCATCTTTGAATCTCTCGAGGATACCGGCACCCCCAAGAACAAGAGGCGAGAAAGTTCTCGGGCAAAACAACTGAAGAAAGATGCACGTGAGAGAAGCCTTGCCCCTCCGTCAACCTCCTCGGATAGAAGACTTGAGCAAAGCTGGGAGGCCCGTTTGGCAAGGGTTTCAAGTGAACCGTGCCTCGATCGAGGTATCGCGGTGAACAAAAGCAAGAAGTCCCTTCGACCAGCGCTGAGAGGTGGTGCTCAATCATGCCGTGACATCTTCGCTTCGAGGAAGAAGTCCCTTGTAGACCAACTGAAGCCAACGAAGGGGGCTGGCGAGAAAGGTACGAAAGCATCCCAACAGCCATCCACTAAACAGCTTCGCTCTACGTTAAAGAAGGAAAGCAGCGTCAAGGATCTTAACCCACAGCAAATTCTGCTGGCATTGGAACTGTACGGTTCATCAGAGACCGATACGAGCAAAGCCAACGCCTTTTTGGATATCGTGAAGACGAACCTCACTGTGGACCCACCGGTGGCCCTCAACAGAGCGACCTCGAGGAAGTCGTCGAGGACGCCAACGGCAGCTTAAAACCTATAGTTTTTCATATTGCATGCATTTGCGAACTAGAATCGTATGATTTGTTTCATGTTTTCTATTCAGTCAAGGGGCTTGTCTATGCCATGCTTGATGCTCAATTCCCTTGAATTGACCTGTTGGCCACTCATTTCTAGCTCCTTTTTGGAGCAAGTATCAACGCAATGGTGCTCTCTTGCTCGCCGTAAAGCACTGCGGCTGGGAGACCAGTCCTTCTCAATGATATTGATGATCCATTAGAAACGCGACCGCAACATTCCCAGCGGAGAAAAGCTTCCCGTGGTCAGCTTGGTAACGGTAAGGTACCGTACGGTACCGGTGGCAGATTACTGGAGTAGAATTATTTATTTGTATACGCCCCCTTGGGGGAAAGTTTCCTGCTCCTCTGCTCCCTGGAGTGTTCTCCTTATAAATCCTTCTTCAACCCAGCCTTCTTTCAGCTCAAGCTGTTTTGGACTTGCTTGGCTCACATTTTGGCCTCCCTCAACCTCAGCCCTGGACTGAACACTCCTTCAACAACAGTACAGTAGTATTGCTTGACATGTAAAGGATCGCCTCCTAGATTCACAATATATTCGATCATAATAAGTGAAACAAACACTAACAAACTTCAGCATGTTTTCCAAAATAAGAAAGGTTATGGTAGGCAGTGGCGGAACGACGAGTAGCCCAGCCTTTGCTGCCGAGGAGGTGGAACAGATTCTCTTGCAAGAGATGGTGCTGGGCCGTCATCAACTCACTATAAAGAGTAAGAAAAAACACGAGAACACAAGTGCTCGACAATTTCGACCTGACTTGACAGAAGAACAAATCCATCAGTACATTGTAGAGGGCTTGGGGGGCAGTCTAAAGAAGAAAGAGAAAGCGGACAAGAAGAAGAGGAAAGGGAAAAAGAAGAAACAAAGTATCAAAGATTCAGCCGCTGCAGATGCTTCTTCTGAAGAAGACAAAGAGAAGAAGAGGTTGACCACGAGGGCCTCCATAGTAGCCGTGCTGGATTCTGCCACGAAGGGCGAGCACGCGGGATCCACTCAGAAGACCACGAACGAAGTCGTCGAGAAACGAAGGGCTTCGAGGCGTCACCATACAAGCAGTTTGAGGCGTTCATCCCGAACTATCCCATTCCGACAAAGCCAAAGAGGTTCGGCCTACAACGGTGAATCTGACGTGCCAAGACTTGCCTCCAAGATTGACTCTGAAAGGGTCGACGCCTATTTCGAAACTTTGATGGCTGCTTCCCAACCCATGCCCCGACCAAATCGCGCTGCACAACGCGACATACAACTCGCCATGCCCAAGGCAGCATAAAGGAAGCACAAGCTTCTCGCAAAACTTGCTAGCAAACCAAAGTGCAATAATTTCTAGAGTCTGCATTTATACACATCACTTGATCCTCTCTTGCAATGCCTCTCAGTTCATGTAGTGCTATTAGCAAATGCATGTTGGAAGAGCCTTCTCCCGTAGCAATGATACCGTAACCATTCAAAACTATGTTCGGTAGCAAGACCTTCGACTCTTGAAAATACCTGGCTGCACCCCGCGACCTGCGTCGCGCTGATGGCCAACAGTATATCACACCAACTTGCAAACAATGACGTGATGCCGTAATTCCAAAGAGACCAGCGGCGCGGTGATGATGGCCAACAGTGTATCAGGGACATGAATGTTGCCGTCCAGTGTCCAGTGTCCAGTCCAGAGTACTCCGGGACTCTGGGCAGTCTTCAGGGCTTTAATAAGAAAACCATTCAAACGACTTTGTGTCTGTGTGTAAAGCAATGATTATTTAAAAACCTTACCGACAGTCCGGCAGTGGGGTGACCTGCAGCTGTTTTGGAAGCATGACCCATCGTAAAAAGACCGGGAGATTGGATCGTTTATTAATTAAAATAAATAGGGGGTTACCGGTACCGATTACTCGCTAGGGCGCAAGCAACCGTCACCACTCTCATTCGTTGGGATGGTCCCTGATAGCTAAACCCATCCTAAACCAATTCAGTAAAACTACGAAGGATAATCTTGTTATAGCTAGCTAGCAGCCTCTAACTTACATACCGGGTGAAGCATGATGACCCTCACGGACGGTACGACTGTAGGACCTGTACTGATTTGCAGTCTCGAGCTACACAACGGTTGAAGCATGATGCACACAAACGACCTGCAGTCATTTGCGGTCAGGCAAACGTCTATTTCTACCCATCGTCGCTCAGTCCTTGGCAAAAGTAGTAGGATGAAAACGCAACCAAACAAAGCGAAGGCGCCTTTTGGGTTCTGAAAATATCGCTCGGCAGCACAACCGACACAACAGGCGAGGCAAACAAAATCAATACTTTGTAAAGCGAAGGCTCATTCCGGGTCCTCATAAAATCGACACCGCATCCGAAACAAAGAGCCGCAACCAAAACAACATTAAACCGTCCGCAGCAACATGAGATTCATTCGATCACTCTTTTCCTCGTCTAGAGGATCAGCCAAGAACTCCTGGCACGCTGAAAGCAATGACAGCACCACCAGAAGAGCATTCATTACAGGTTGTGGTCGTGCAGTGCCAGGTGTGGACCAGCTCCAAGGAAAAGGAGCCCTGGTTGACACTGACATCATCATGCAAAAGTTGGTGGATGCTGGCATTCACAACCCCAAGACAGGAAAGCCTGTAGCATTGGACTGGGCAAAGCGTTATCTGGGATCAACCAACATTGCAATTGCAGATGTGTCAGTATTTGAGAGAGTCTTTGAACATCAGCTGCCTGAAGACTGCAAGGATATCTCAGAGTTTGATATGAGTGTTTCTGCTGCCAAGATGGCTCTGGATGAGGCTGGTGTCTCTGCCAGTGAGATTGACTGCATCATTCATGTCTCTGGCTCCAACCGGTTACCCAAGGAAGGAAGAAGAGATGACTTGGGCCTGAACCACTGCATGAGAGGATACCCCACTGCCTTGCCTGGGCTGCGACCTGACTGCCTCCTGCAACACCAAGACTCTGGCTGTGCTGGAGTTGTGCCTCCCTTTCAAATGGCCAAGGCCATGCTGTCAGGTGGTGATTTCAAGAACATCCTGGTGATTGCTTCCAATAGCTTCCATCGCCGAGATTGGAAAGAGACCACCAAGGTCAATGAAATGACTCAATGGATCAACTATCTCTTGTTTGGGGATGGAGCCAGTGCCTTTGTCTTGCAAGGGGCACATCATGCATCACAAGTCGTGGACACAACCAAGAGCAACACCTGCTTTGAACTACTGAAAGTGAATTCTGTCTCGGACACGTCCATGTTTACCTTTCAGACCTATGTGGAAGCCAACAAAGACACTTCTTGTGTCCAAGTCACTGGTCGTTTGAATACGGATGCTGCCAAGCAGTTCGCCCCCAAGATGAAAGGATGGTTGAGCTCTCAAGGCATCCGAATATCTCAAGTGGATGCCCTCTTGCTGCATCAGCCCAATTCTCATGTTATGCAAAAGATAAAGCAGTTCCTTGCGGGTGACAAGCTTTTGGATATTGCTGGCAAGTACGGCAATCTTGTGTCTGCCAGTCTGGGTACCCAATTCTACGAGCAGATTTACAGCAGTGGCAAGAACAAGGTGAAGCACGGACGCCTTGTGGCAGGGTTTACATTTGGTGCTCATGCTGGTAACACCTATGGAGGATTTCTTGCTCGTGTTCACATTGGAGAGGAGGAGACTATGGCTAGTGGGTCCTCCGAACTGCACTTGTCGGATGCTTCTTCCTCCATCAGTGTATAACCCGAATAGTTCGATTTGATTCCTATTACCTTGCACCCGTTCTCTGAACGAATACAATACCATAATATATATGGATTCCATGAATACTCTAATCTCATGATCGGTTGTACCAGTACTGGTGAAACCGACATGTCTAATGTTGCTACGGTGGACTAGACTAGTGACGCCCAGCTGCATTGCCTCAATTGCATTGGTGCATTCGTGTCATTCAGTGTATGAGTCCTTCTTTCGCGGACTTGTAAAGAACTACGGTTGCTTGTTGTTGCTCTTGTCGTGATGAGGAGGCGTATACGTGGTTCCCATGATATAATCTCCCAAATGCAACACACCAAAATTGAATTTGGTATATCGATGATGATCATCGTGTGTCCGGGCATTGAGAATATCGTATCCGGAGTGTCCCTTGCACGTACTGAGTATCGCCAGGGCGAAATAGGTGTAGGCCGTGTGGGGATGGGCATTGGTCACTATAGGCCCTAACCCAATGGCAGCGACATTTCCAAAGATAAATTCCAAGGGATGCGCATAGGCGGCCGCCATGGCACACGGCGCCTGGAATCGATGATGGACCTTGTGGACATGCTGGTAAATATAGGGTGATGCATGCATGATCCAATGCGCTATATAAAAGGATGCTTCATTGAGGAACATATCGATGGGCAGTCGTATCAGTTCTCGTTGCCAGTGCCAGTCATCCGTTTCGGCGAGTCGAGTTGGATGACACCAATTCCACAATAGTTCAAACAGCGGACAACACAGGAAGGGTGCCACCAGTATCATGTTGAGGGCAGCCAGTAAAAAGACATCGCGAAGTTCGTGGCGTGTGAGAAAGACGGGTTGGAGTTTGGATTGTCGTAGACGTTTCGCTATTGGCAGTTGGGACTGTTGCGCCAATTCGTCTGCCACAAAATTGAGTAGAGACGCCGTCCAAAAGGCGAGATTGGCAGCGAGACAGCCCTTTTGACTAATGCTAAAGGAAGATGTGTCCATCATGGTGTGTGTGGTTGTATTACAATAGCAGCTAGCTTGGTTGGTGAGCTTTGGAGTGCTCTATCGGTATTCCAGAGCCGATTGAGTTGGAGGTTGGAGGTGTTGTGGTGTGATGTGTGCTTTCCTCGGAAGCCAGCAGAGCAAGGGAGCCAAATAGGAGGTGGGAGGTGTTATTCTCTTTCATAGAAGCCAGCAGAGCCAAAATCGGAGCAGGAAGGATCCAAAGATCCAAGATCCAACAGCCAACAGGCAACAGTGGGAAGAGGAAGAGAGAAAGAGGACCACTATGGTATGAGTACTGTATGAAAGCATGACGGTCTTGAATAAGTTCCGGCTGACACGCATGACACTGATGATAGTAGTAATGACGACAATGGCACCTCTTGGGCGATGTTTTCCCATCCGCGTCATATCATCGTCGTCTCGTCGATCCTTGCACATCACCCGCAGATATGCCGAGAAACAACCACCTCTGCCACCTCAAGCAGTGCAAAGTCTACTCAAAAGTGCTCTGAGTCGAGCCAAGCGAACCGTTTCCGAAACCAAGAATGAGGTGTCAACTCCAGCATCGTCACCAGAAGAAGGAAAAGAGAATAGTGTCTCGTCGGAGGAGTTGCTGGCTGGTTTGATACGGTCTATGGATGCCACAGCCACTACTACTGAGACCAACACGTCTACGAATATTACTATTGGTACCAATTCAGATGATACACAAACCAATAATATTGCAAATGATCTCTTGGGTTTCGTTACCAGTCGATCCAGGCAAACCATTTTGGAAAAACAAGGCTTCTCAGAGGAAGAAACCGAAAGCATCTCTGCAGATGCTTTGGACGCATTGCTCTCCTTACCGACTGCAGCAGAAACAAATAATGCCAACTCTACAGACACCCAACGTAGCACCAAACAAGAAGTAGCCAATGAACTTTTGGGTTCCATTACCAATCGAGCAAAACGAACCTTTTCCACCACATCCAACCGCCAGAAGAATCCAGACAAGACAAAACAAGAATCCTCCACCAATGCTCAAACTACAACCACAGTAGCACCACCACAAGAACCACAATTCACACCGACCGATTTACGCTACAATCAAAATCCGGCCATTAGTTTGACCGCATTGGCACATTGGTTATGGTCGTCCGTATTACGACCGCACGACGATTTGGCCATTGATGCCACGTGTGGCAATGGATACGATGCCGTAGGAATGGCATCTATCCTGTTTGCCAATGAAGACTTGTATTTGAATCGCGACGCCAAACTCATTTGTATGGATGTTCAAGAACAAGCGTGTCACGCCACGCACGATGCCTTGTCCAAGATACTCTCATCATCGACCATGTCTCGACGAGTCCAGATACTCCAACAATCGCATGCACCATTATTGCCCAATACGGACGACGAAACTAGGGAACCCGGTCTGGTAGTGTACAATTTGGGCTATCTCCCTAACAGCGACGACAAGGCGGCTTGCACAAAAGTCGAATCGACGATATCCTCCATTGTCGATGCCCTGCTGTCCATTCGAACGGGAGGAATGGTCAGTATCATGACCTATCCAGGCAGCAATCTACAAGAAGATTTGGCCGTACGAACCTTGTTGGAAGCAGCCGTGGCCATGACCAATACACAAGGGCCGTCGTGGGAGGAAGCTATAGTAGAGTGTAGCGACGAATTGGAAGCCTTGCTGACGACGCAACTGCAACGCATGGAGAAAGGACCCGCACGGACGTTTCGCGTCGCCGAGCATAAAAAGATTGGACTGCCCAAGGCACCCATCCTCATGACTGCCACACGAATCAAATAGTCCTCTGCATGTCCTGCATATCAAGTTGTCCCAGTACAAGCAAACTACTTTTAGAGTGCAATTGCAGGCAGGAATTGGCGCTTAGCTACGTTGATTTGTCAACTGTACTTGCTTTGCTGAACCAGCAGATGAGAGCTTTATTCCACCAGCTTGCTACTATCTACTAGACTACCGTAGAGCACTCGGCTCGCTTCTTCTACAAGCCAGCATAGGAGATACATGCTGCGTAGCTTGCTGTGTCTGTGTGAGGGGCTCCGTGGTATAGCTACGGCATCAAGCGTCGAGGCAAAAGAAGCTTGATCACAATTGTTAGTGGTAGCTGGCTGGTAGCCTCCATCCTCCATCCTCCATCCATACTTACTTGGCAGGGCAGTTGGTGCTACAGTTACCCCTCTGTAACTGGTATTCGTACTCAGTACTGGAAAAGCAAAGCAGATGCTGGGTCTGGGTGGTGGTGGGAGAGCCAACACTCTGCTCAAGTTGTACTACGCCAACGAAGGCATGAGGAATGGAAGGGGGTCGCACTGTGTACGTTTAGAACGAACTGTCAAGGAAAGATTCTTGTTGGGACAGAAGCTTCCTAGCGTACCAGTTTTCGGTACAAAAGAAGAGCTCTTCGGCATCTAGAGTGTGTCTACGGTAGCAGCCAAGCCCTACCGGAGGTGGGCAGTGGGGTCATTGGTCATTGCTATCTGCGCTGTCAGCCACATCCTTGGACTAGCTACATGTACCGGTAGCATGCGGAGCGACCTTCAAGATTTGGAAGGGACTGTAATAAGTAACTCCTCTCCCTTTGGCGATGAATGCGTTCGTCAGCTTTTTTCAACATCATGGTCCTTCAGCATGAGCACAACGTGAAAAGGTGAGGTAAAGGTGTGAGAGTTTGGAGGACATCCAGCTGCATCATAGTACTGCTCAGCTCTCATCAGTACCGGTGCCAAGACTACAATGTCATGTATGTACCAAGCAAGAGCTCATGTATTGCAATGGTTGCAAGGGGAACTGCGACGGCTTGGTGGTTTTATGGAGCTTTTGATGGCTACCGTACCGGTACCGGTACAGCAGCCATAGACTTTTAAGAGGACTTACTCCAGTACTGTCGCTTGCCATTCTGACGCTGCTTCACTTCTCGTTTAAAACTGAGCTTCCAGTTCCTTTCTTTTACTACATTGTCATGTACATTGTCATTGTAGTAATAGACTCTACTCTAAGTACTGTCTACTGTCTCTGTTTAATGTACTATGTCATACTCAGTACAGAGGAGCCCCTGGAACCTGGAACGGTGACACATTGAAGCAACAATGAGAATTCTCAGAACTGTCAGAACAGCTGTACACAGCCTGGACAGACCTGGAGAATGAAAGAGTTAAAATCTATGGTCACCTCAAGAAATTCGATGGTACGCTGGGACTGTCGAGACGAATGCGGTGAACATGGATACTTACAGCCATTGACACCGGTTCACCGGTTCTCTTGCCCTAATGCTTTGTCCCCTGGATGTGTTCCTTGGTTGCCAAAACCTTTTTCGGCCCAAACCAGGAAAGAGACGCGGCTGCTCCTGACAAGGGGAGCCCAAGGGGTGTCTCTGCTTCTTCGCTGATCGCACTGCTGGAGCTGCTTGGACTCACTCTCATCAGCTCTCTCATCTCGCATCTCCCACCACCCATCAAACGTCAGCCAAAACTTTTGCCCTCTGCTTGCATTCCATCAATCAGCAACCGCCGAACCCCAGCTAATAAAGCACCACCAAGACAATGGCTGAAACATCATCGTTATCATCGTTCACAGCCCAAGACAAGGCACTGGCGCTGGCTCCCAAATTTTCCGCCTTTTTGTCCTTATGCGGAAGCGCCTACATCATCCTCGATGTTTTAAAGGCCGGTCAGTTCTTTCAGAGCACGCATCATCGCCTCCTCTTGGGTATGAGCACGTGCAACTTTCTCGTCAGTCTGCTGGCCTTTTTCATGTCTACTTGGCCGATTCCCTCTCAAGAACCCGTCATTTGGGCCAGTGGCAATCAGGCAACCTGCAACGCTCAAGGATTCTTTGCCCAATTCAGTCTTTCGGTCGTACTGTACAATGCCGGACTGTCGGCCTTTTATCTGGCCAAGATTCGCTTGAAATGGAAGCAACAGCGGATCCAACAGTGTTTGGAACCCATGCTGCACTTGATTCCCTGGGTGGTGGGATTGGCCACTGCCACGGCGGGGGTCGTGTTGGATCTGTACAATAACGAAGACTTTGACTGTTGGATTGCCCCTCTTCCGCAGGGCTGTCAAGAGTCGTGGAAGTACGGAGAGACGACCTGTGAACGAGGAGACAATGCATCAATCTATCGGTGGGTCTTGTACTATGGCATCCTGTGGTTGACCATTCCCTTTGTTTTGGTCAACATGATGCTCGTATACCGCAGTGTCTACCGACAAGAAAAGAAGATGAGCCGGTACAACTTTCAATACCAACGAGAGCTTTCGCGGTTAGAGCGAGAGCATCGGCGATATGAAAGTGGAGACGACGAGTGTAACGACGACGACGTCAGTGATGATGTGTCGGTGGCATCCAACATCAGTATGAGCTCGTTGCACTCCATCACGTCCTCCGCTGCCATGGCCCTCCAACGAGTATCCGGTGGCTTTAAGCATCTCAAAAAGAAGCAAGACCGACTGCACAGTCACTTTAAGCATTCCAGCCGCGTGGCACTGCAGGGCTACTGGTTCTGTGGTGCCTTTGTGGCCACATGGATGTTCCCGACCATATCCCGACTGGTGCAAGTAATGTCCGGTACCACAGTCTATCCACTCCACTTGCTGACGGCATTCTTTGTACCCATTCAGGGCTTTTTCAACTTTCTCGTCTACATTCATCCGAAACTCACCAGCGGCAAGTCGTCCAGAAAGAAGCAGGCCGATTGGGGGTGGATTCGATCCTGCTTTGGAAGAACGGATCCAATGGAATCCTCCGCGAAAGAAGCCGAAAGGACTCAATGCACTAGTGCATCCATCACCGTGACGGCAAAGGCATCCCTTACGGCTTCCAGCATTTCGACGCGTACTACTTCTCTCGGTTGTCACTGGGACGGAAGTACTCCTGTCCACGAGGAGGACTTTTCCCGCAGGAGGCCCGCCATTCTTGCCCCCACGACAATCACCACCAACGAACCACCTCTGGAGGAGGATGTAGAATCCGGCAATCCTGACGCTCCGGCCCAAGTGATTCGCATCGTTGTGGCAGACATGCCCGACGAACTCGCAATCTAGCAATCCAACAAGGAACTGCTCATCCGAGCAAACTGTTACGGCACTGACACTCCCATGTAACTCTACTAGCTGGCCTGCCGAGCAGGAGTGATGCGTGTGTCAAACTTCCAATCCACTGAGTACGAATTGGTGCTACATGATATTGGGACCCTTGTGCTCTCCATCAAGCCGAATTAGAGTCGTGCTTGCAGTGTCCTCGTTGCAACCTCCTCCCTCCTTACGGTACGATACCGGGACGCGTCGGCTGTCTGCGAACTTTCCTCGCAACACGCATGATAGCATATTCTTTCTGGGCGCACCTCCAGCATCGAACCCCACACGGTGGTAGACGACCCACCAAACAGCACAAGTCTGTCGCTTCGCCTCCTTTAAAACCGCCATCCCTCCAATTTGTACAATAACATCCAGGGTCTGACTCCAGTTCCTGGCTCTGTAGTATAAAAGTTTCAATTCCCGTCATTGCATAATTATGAAAGTAGAACATGAAAGCCGACCCTAGTAATTGCAAATCAGAATTAGGAACTTTCATGATGTTGATTGTCTTTCATTAAAAACTATCTGAGTCGATATCCCCGTTGGCTTAGACTACCTTCTTCTTCGTGTTCTGACTGTCATTTTCATCGTTCTGGAGCCAAACACCAACAGCTGATAGTAGGAAACCCACCAACATGACAAGTGGGGCCAATGCAGGGCCCATGCAAACATGCTCCAGCAGATTCAACAAGCCAAAGAAGAGAAACAGGGGAATTCCCAACACAAATACCTGCACCAAAGATCCGTATTGGTTTGCCGCTTGAGCCATCTCCTGGCCGGCTATCAGGTAGTGCAAGATACCGTCCTTGTTCTTGCCGTGACACATCTTGCTATTGGCCAACAGCACATTCATGCAAATCATTCGATGGGGAGCCAACCACCAGTGGGAAAGGGTCTGTTCAGCACCACTACTAGACAACAAAAAGTACCGAGAGTGTTCCATCACGGTGGGGGCATCGTCTTGAATGGAAACATAGGTTGATGCCACAATTCCATTGACCACAATGGTTCCATCTGGCGTGAGTGGCATGTAGAGTCCTTTTCTCTCAACTGTCTTGATCTTGGTGACCACAGCTGCATGTTTGTTGAGGGCGGATAGTTCATCGCCTAGCTGTAAATTCTTTGCTGGAACCGTTTCTCCATTGGCAAGAAAGATCAAGTGGTTCCCTGTCATTTCCAATGGCTTGCTGCTGCTGTTGGTCGAAGTGTGAATCTGCAAAAAGGTGGCCTTTTGATCAGTTTGGTAATGCCCAAAGCTATAGATGGGTTGGTAGGTTCCACTGGTTGTCAAAACTCTGTCTCCCACTTGTAGATCCTTCATGGCAATGTCACCCTTGTTTGCCACTTGGACCAGAGCAGACTTGGAGAAGCAATTGCCGGCAGGTGCTGCATATGCAGGCGGAGGACCAAAGTTACTATTGCTGTTACCACCACCGCTGCCGCCGCTGCCGCCCCGCACCCCGTTGGAATTAGTCGTGGGCGCCGGTGTCGTGGTAGGAGCGTGTGTGGGCTCATCGGTGGCCTCCTCGGTGGCCTCCTCGGTGGGAGCGGCTGTGGGCGCATCAGTGGGCGCCTCGGTGGGCGCCGGTGTCTTTGGTGCCTCGGTGGGAGCAGGTGTCTGAATGGCTTCTTGATCGCAGTAGCAATCAAGATACAAGTCTTGAGGTGCGTCAGCTTCGATGTGTACGTGCAACATGGCCATTTGCTCATCCTTGGAAAGTTGATGAGTCAAGACCATGTTGCAATCGTTGCCCGATTTCGTTGCGGAATATCGGGGGAACTTCATGGAGGCTGATCCCCCGCTCGTACATGTTAGTTCACAGGTAATGGTGGAACCGGCTGCGGCACGAAACGATTGCATTTTCCAGGTATCATAGTCGCTTTCACTGTGGCTGCCCAAATCGGCTGACAAGCTGCAGCCTTGGACGATGGTGTTAGTAGTGCTAGTAGCAACCAAGGCCCAAAAGGTGAGGAACTTGTTTTTATTGCTGATGAGCATCATGGTTGATTAGTTTGTTTTGTTTTGGTTTGTTGCTTTGTTGCTTTTGGCTTTGTTTTCGTTTTGTGAGCAGATATCGATGCGAGGGGGGAGGATGTTACTCGCACTTGAAGCAGGACTATGGATGGGCTCCCACATGGCTTCTTGGAGGTCAAGAGTCCAGCTAGCATGTTCCAAGAGCGATCGCATTTCTTCTAAAGTTTGGGAGCTCCATATTGGGACTCCCCACAGCTCTCGTCGCATCCAGTCAACTCCCACGCCAACACTCGATTCGATTCACGCTTTCGATTCATGCTTTCAATGAGCTCGTCAAAGATTTCGCGAAGCCATAACCCTTTACTATTAAATAAGATATATTTTTATCTAGCTTCAAAGGAGAAATTTGGTCCAATTCTCACGAAAGGGAAAGAACGCGAGACCTTGAATTTGGAAGGGCAGCAAAAGAGAGGGCAAAACTTCCAGGAAGTGTAATAGAATATTGGGCTATCTGTTACACCATCATTACAGATCAAACCCACCTCCAATCGAGTAGTGTTTGAAAGGAGACTACGGTATCACTCTGATGGAAACCTCTAGCTAGTACAAACTATACTGTCGTTACTCCTGAGTAGTTTCGTGTGCGTTACCGGTAAGGTTCTATCACACCACATTCAATCAGAGGCCAACAGATGACAACCCAATTCCTTCTTGGCGCCCTTCAACATCCTCTCCATGAACAAGACTCATCGGGGGGCCCAACTGGCCTTGCGCTTTCGTGCGCCCCCACCCTCCTGCTCCTGGGGGCCTTCCTTGCCACTAGAGCCATTTTTCAAAGCTGGCTTTGTTTCCTTTGGCACCAGTGACCACATAGCTGGTTGTTGTTGGAGGAGCCCATATTGCAGCATTGTGATAAGCTCCTGCTTGCTGTAGCTAGTGAAAGCAAGAAAATCTATCTCCGTCAAAAGAATCTGGGGAGATATCATGTGAATCAAGTCTTGGAGGCATGTAGCCTCTGCTTTGGCTTTTCCTCGCCCACAAATATTCAAGAGTGTGTTGTAATCGATGAGTCTTTGCTTATGGTTGCCTTCGGTCTGATCCAGGAACCATAGTTTATTGCTGACTCGTGCTTCCATTGAATCACAGTCATCCTTACAGATCGAAGCATCCTCCAATTGAGTGTTGTGATCAAGGATTCTGAGAATTGCATCCTGGTATAGTTCGACTTCGGCTTGGCTCTGCAATTTCTGCAGCCTCAGGTCAACCAGGGTATCACTTTTATCAGCCGCATCTAGTAGCGGCAAGAACAGCCCGTCCTTACCAGTGACAGCAACCACATTGAGTTCCCCAAGTCTTCCCTGCTTCAGCAAATCACGGAGAGAATCACACAGTTCCTGGGTGGCTCTCCACGTATCACTAATGCGAATGTCCAACCGACAGAGATTTTTCATGTACAAAAGCAAGCTCAGGATGGAAAAGTCTGGTGGTTTGTCAGCACCACAAAATGATATTGAAACCTCCTTGATAGAGCAATCTCCCCCGCTGTCTTCCAGTGTTTTCTTTGCTGGAGCTATCAAGTTTGGGTCTGACCAAGTGTTGGCAACTTCCTGGGTTGGACAAATATCAAAATGCAACTTTTTGATAGAGTTGGTGCTATGGCAGATCAAGGGCAGCAACTGTGACAGCTCAGATGCCTTCCAATCATTGCGATGAATGTGAAGTTCTTCCACCTTCCCAAAAACTGCACCAATGCTTTTCATGAAATGGGGATCAAGAGATGTCCTCCTTTGTTGCTGAAAGGGTTCATCATCCACTGGCAAAATATAGTTGTCGCTGACATAAAAAAGTTCAATTCTTGGTAACAATTCTATCATGAAGTCCAGTAAATCTTGAGGGAATACAGTGGAGAATAGGACAATTTCCAGTGGACAGGCACACGTTTCGCCCTGCTCGGAAAGTACTCTTGGAAATGCGCGCACCAGCTCCTTGAGTTTCTCTGTGACTTCTGCTGCATTAGCGGGGCTCGACTGGAGCAAGGGTATGTCTGCCAGGAATCGTTTTGCCAACATCTCACAAATATCTATGTTGCCAACATACGCGGCCTTTTCCGCCAGAAAAAGTAGGATCTCAACAGATGATCCACAGCAGAAGGCATCCTCCACTACAGCCTCCGTCAAGGCTTCTGGGTCCGCATCAAAGGCAGCTTGAACCAGTTCCAAGGAAGCGTTGGAAATGGCCAGCACATGCAGGTCCGAAAGGTGGCGCAACTCAGACGTCGCCCAGGTACGGTTCATCTTGGGTATGATGTGTCGTTTTGAGGAAGGGCGACAACAGAAGAATGTGCGACAGCAACAACAATCAGCACTATGCGTCGTGTCTCGTGAGATTGCCGTCGGAACTTGGAGTACCTATATTATGATTGTGAGCTATTTTTGTCGCAGCATTGGTTTCTCAATCGGATCCAGTTTGCTCACAAAACGCTTTTATGTGGCCACACCTCTACTACGGGAGCTAGCTAGCCGTAAAGTAGAGGGCAGAGTACCGCTACAAGTATCACTCCTCCCAAGTGCAGCTATCCTTGCAAACTCTGAGCAGGGTCCCCAGACTGCGATGGGTGATAATACTACAGTACCGACATAATCCATCTCTTACGCAGCATAGCAGCTCCCTGGCTAGTTTCCCATCCCACATCCAAGCTACAGTAGCTAAGCATCACAGAAACGTTACCAAGCAAGTCGCAGGCATGCTTGCACCCCCTGTTTTCTTTCATTGGATGACGAAATCTCGGTTTGTCAAATCTGCAATACATGTAGATTGAATCATCAATCTTGTGATTAGTTTTTAAAAAGTTTAACAAAACCAAGCAGTTTTCCTTTTACCATCAAACTATAACTATGGTTGTGGTTTTTGTTGCTTTTGTTTCTTCATAATCTGGTACCGTTGGGTCCGATCCGGATCAACCTCAATGAGGCGATCGAGGACGGTCTCCATTTGTTGGTGGCGTTCTTCCTTGTTTTCCTCACTACTGGCAACAAGTCGCGAGAGTACCAAATGCCATCCCAGGAGACCCCATTTACAGCCACGTTCGGAATCGTCTTCTTCGACCAATACTTGCAACGTCTCGGCTTGTCGTGCCAACCACGGAACGTACCAGTCTGCTGCTGATTGTTGTTGTTGTGTTACGACAAAATCAAGGAGGAATCGATGATACCACCAAATGGTCTGATCATCGGGTTCGGTAAACATGATATTCTCCATCAAGGACCATTCTTGCTCGGCCATGGCTTGGACGGACTGGGTACTGGTGGATGCCAATTTGGGGGACCAACCATTTCCGTCACCAAACGAAGAGAGCAACAATAGTTTGGAGCGATAATGAAAGGCGGAAAAATTGGAAAAATTGGACACAATTTTGCCTTGGGTAAAATCCCATTCGCGTTGGAGAATGGAATGGATTTTGGTAGTGTTGTTCGAGTCGATTGTCGTAGTCGTCTTGGATGCCGCCGTAATTTGTGGACCAATGACCTGCTCTGTTGTTGTCGTCGTCATCCACCAGGATCCATCTCCCAACGTAGTAGTGTCTTGATCCGTAGTGCCGCCATAGAGCTGCAACTCGAGTCCTACTAAAAAGCGTCGAAAATTCCAACAATGAAAGTTGCGTTCGTCTCGTTGGAGAAAGAGATCCGTCAATGCCAATTCTTGTTGCAGCAACGACTCCATAGTAGACACTTGAGTAGTAATGGATTGTCGCTGTAAGACCCACTTGCGATGAAACCACGCCCCGTACGCTTTGGGATTCCGTTCCAAACCGGCCGCCGTCAATGCCAGTTCCGTCGAGAGCCAATTGCTATCAGATTGCAACAATAATTGACTGCGCCGAATATTCCACAAATGCAAGGGATCGGGATTGACGCGGAGCATCTTGTCCAACAAGGGCAGTGTCATGCTGGCGTCGTCATTTTCACGAAGGGAAAGCGCCTTGTCGCTCAGTGCGTACCATTGCTGCGCCTTTTGTGCCAGACCCGCCGCCACTTGCGGATCCGCAAATCGATGCTTGTACTCGGTGCGTTTGCGGCCGTGCATACTATTACACGAATAGATAGTATAGCTAGCTACTTAGCTAGTTAGCGTGTTATAGGAATGGAGTGGGGTGGGGTGGTCGAATCAAGAGGTACCGTAATAAGCAATGGGTTACAATACGGTACGATTGGATAGTCTAGTCGTCGCTCTTGTGGAGAGCAGCAACCTTCAGGAGAAGGAAAGACTGTGCTGTTGGCGGTGGGAGTGCCATGGATCTTTGCAAACTTAAATGTTGATCCGATCTTTTTTAGCGTTAGCGATACGGGTACATCGATCGGATCTTTCTTGGGGTTAGGGATGTTCGCACCCAAGATCCATTCTTCAAGCTAAATTACGTCTCCTGGGTTACTCGGCATTTTGTCTGTTTAAATTTGGGAAAGTGTTTTGGGGATTAAGTGTAAATGTCTACACACAGTTAGTAGACAAAGTAGACATTGTGCGATATTAGGAGACATTAGTAGACAAAGTGATACATTGGTAGACATTGGTAGACAAAGTGAGACATTGTGAGACATTGTGAGACATTCGTAGATAAAGTGAGACATTTTTGTACTGTTTTACTGTACTGTGTAGACAAAGTGAGACATTGGTAGACATTAGTAGACATTGTGCGACATTGTGAGACATTGTGAGACATTAGTAGACATTGTGAGACATTGTGAGACATCCGTAGACATTGTGAGACATAAGCCACTTTACAAAGGAGCATAGAACATTTAGGAAACTCTGTAATCAGATACAATAGCCTTAAATAGACAAAATGCCGAGTAACCCTGAGACGACGCTCCTTTAGGTTACCCCCTCAGGACCTCTGTGGAAACGTCATTTGTGGCAAAATACTTAGGAGACGATACACCGAGGAATAGGAGACGATCGAAATGATCTAAGAGACGAAAGCAATCGTCTCCTATATTTAGGAGACGATTCAGTAGGAGACATTCCAATTAGGAGACGATCGTTTCAAAATAGGAGACGATCCGAAAGATTTAGGAGACGATACCATACAGTTTACATGGTACACTTAGGAGACGATCCGTTGACAATAGGAGACGATCCGTTGAAAATAGGAGACGTTTTAAGAGGAGACAAAAGATTTAGGAGACGATCCGTTTTGTCTCCTATTTTTAGGAGACGAAATCCATTAAATAGGAGACGATCAAAAGGATTTAGGAGACGAAAAGTAGCACGACTCGAGTTTCCACAGAGGTCCAGTTGCACTCTGAAATCGATTGGCTCGCGTTTACTGTGTAAATTAGTGTACCCGCACTTCAGTTGCAGAATCAACGGTCATGTGTATCGTTAAGTAACAAGTTCCCTTTCGAAAGATTTAGATCCATTCGTGGATAAAAGAACCGTTGAAGTTACTAAGGTTAAGGATAAACTGATTGCCTGCACATGTACCGGTACCAGTACCTTCCGGTACTGTTAGGATGAGGTAAGCCAATTATCAAGTCCATTGTTGAAGGTGCAGCACTGACTTCTCTCCCTCATTGAATTGCTATGGCAAACAGGAGAGAAATCCAAGCTCAGCCGACAAGAATGGTGTTGGAACGATCAATCGAATGGATCGCAATGAGGTAAGGCTATTATCAAGAGTGTTAATTGAAGGTACAGCGCTGGCTTCTCTCCCTCATTCAATTCCTATGGTAAACAGGAGAGAATTCCGAGCTCGGCCGTCAACAGGTGAGTTGGTTTTAATTATTCGAATCGATCGATCGCACCTCTATTATTATCCAAGCCTCACTCAAGCTGTCCTTCTCTGGTGCAGATTCGAAAGCCATCCCTCATTGAATCCTATGGACCGTGGGATGGCAATCAGTTCTCGGCCCATGACGGCCAAGTTGATGCAATTGAAAAACAATGGTAAGTCTCCGGTTTTCTTCAGTTGAGCACAGACAACAAAACTCATATCTATTTGTTGTTTTCTCTGCTGCACTGTTGACGGCCGATGAACTATCATTGTCGAGTTCTTTTCGAACGAACGACCGCTCCGGAGAACAAGAGGAAGAGGCTGCCGTTACGGAAGAGCCTATATTAACTCAAGCCCTATCAGCAGCCTGAACGGAGGAGATCGTTGACGAGTCATTGAAAGGCAACAGCCACCGGAAGAGGCAACAACACACACACAAGAGAGTGAATCCTCCTACCAGATTCATCCCTTCTTGTTATTTCCTACTGTTTTGGTGGTGATTCCTGTGTCGGTACCCATTTTCCTGTATGCGCAAATCAAGTACTGTTGCCACTAGCTATACGGCAGCTGGCTAAAATGGCTGGATTGACAATATTCCGTTGTGCATGTATTCGTCATAAGGATCCAATGCGAGGTAACCGAGTGCAGCGAGCAAAGTTGAACCTGCGTGTGTTCGGTACTGTTGCCACTGTCACCGATCGATGAACTCTACGATAGCTGGCTACGATGGCGGGATTGACAATGTTCGGTTGTGCATGTATTCGTCATAAGGATCCAAAGCAAGGTACCGGTAACGGAGTGTAGCCAGCAAAGCCGAACCTGAGTGTGTTCGGTACTGTTGACACTGTTGCTGATGTAACTGTACGGTAACTGGCTACAATGGCTGGATTGAGAATATTCGGTTGTGCATGTATTCGTCATAAGGATATAATGCGAGGTACCGGTAACCGTAGTGAGCAAAGCCGAACTTTCGGTACTGTTGCCACTGTCGTCGATGTAGCTATACCACAGCCGGCTACAATGGCTGGATTGATAATGTTCGGTTGTGCATGTATTTGTCATAAGGATCCAATGCAAGGTACCGGAAACGGAGTGTAGTCAGCAAAGCGGAACCTGAGTGTGTTCGGTACTGTTGACACTGTCGCCGATGTAACTATACGGTAGCCGGCTACAATGGCTGGATTAACAATATTCGGTTTTGTGCATGTATTCGTCATAAGGATCCAATGCGAGGTAACTGAGTGCAGCGAGCAAAGTCGAACCTGAGTGTGTTCGGTACTGTTGCCACTGTCACCGATCGATGAACTCTACGATAGCTGGCTACGATGACTGGATTGACAATGATCGGTTGTGCATGTATTCGTCATAAGGATCCAAAGCAAGGTACCGGTAACGGAGTGTAGCCAGTAAAGCGGAACCTGAGTGTGTGTTCGTTACTGTCACGGATCGATGTAACTCTACGGTAACTGGCTACAATGGCTGGATTGACAATATTCGGTTGTGCATGTATTCGTCATAAGGATCCAAGTAGCGAGCAAACTGAGGAAACAGGAGACGAACGCTGAAAAAAAGCCGAATGTGTCTGACTAAAGTACTACTCTAGACTAGCTAGTCTAAAGTTTAACGCTCGGAGTCCCAAAATCTGGGAGACCCCACTCCCAAAATCTGGGAGACCCCACTTCCAGATTCCGGGAGGCTCTACTGGTAGGTGTGGTAAATATTGGGTCAGATTTCTATTTTATTCCCGCATCTACCTGAATATCCTGTCTTCCAGGAAAATCAATGCCTTTGAATTGTCGGTTGATGGTTGATGAGTCTGCCTGCACATACAAAGGAGGTTCTGTTGAACCGCTTGTTGCATTAGTAGTAGTCTCTTGTTGTTTCATTAACGGTAGATGTGTGCGTCGTCGTTCCGTGGAAGAGGAGGCGTCATGGTCGCTCCGATCGATCGCTCCATGGAAGAAGAAGAAGAAGAAGAATTCGTCCGAAGTCGAACAGAACGACTGATCGTCGAACGGCTGTCGCTGCCGCTGCCGCTAGCCAAACAAGAGGAGCCTGTCATGGTGGTGAGTAGCAGCCTCTGTTAAGAGGAGTAGCCGCTGTAGAAGAGATAGCATCATCTTGATAGAGTAAACATAGAGTAAAGGTACAGCGAACTGGTAGAGGTATCGAGTTCGCAGGCTGACTCCCAGAATCTGGGAGTGGAGTAGTGGAGTCTCCCAGATTTTGGGAGTCAAGATTTTGGGAGTCATCCTCCCAAAATCTGGGAGACCCCACTCCCAGATTCTGGGACTCCGAGCGTTAAAAGCACTAGTATTGTTGCTGCGCTGAGGATTTAAAAATAATGATCAAAAACGCTTACTAGTACGGTACAGCTCCTGTATAACTTACAGGAATGCATTGACGCGTTTTCATCAACCAAGACTCAGTATTTATAGTGACTCTTCTCTTGCTTAATAAAGAGAATGGATCTTGGTTGTAAATATCACGGCATCTGTGACCGGTAGATACTAGTACGCCCCACTGTGCCCAGAATAGAAATTACTATCTGCGGCGACGTGGCAAGAACTTGCCGAGTTGGTTTGGATCCAATGGTTTACACGCCGAATGCCGAATCAAAGCATTTATTTTCATCCCATGCACAGATACCGGTTGGCTGGTACCGAGCCAAATACAATCACAGTGGTCATCATCATCTATCTATCTCATCACGGGCTAACGGGTCTTGTGTTCCACTGTACCTGGTAGTCGATACAGTCCATTACTTTTCATTGTTACTGAGACGCTTAGTCTCATCTCATCGATCATTGCTACCGGGTCGTCTGTCATTCTACGAATTGAGACCCAAAGTTTTCTTCGAAAGATCTACTTACTTTTTTTCCTCGAGGAGAAAGGAAAAGAGATCGACACACTCCAGGTACTCATTTAAAGAAAAATATCACCATGGGCGCAACTGAACAGAAACCCAACTGGTCCGAGCTGGTCTTTCTCTGGCAGCCATGGAACAGCTGCTTGAATCTGGCGACTTGGGCCGCGTCCTTGTGCTTGGCCATGACATTGACAGGGTCGGCAGCCACCGTGTTGGCCTTTTACCTCGTCTTTATCGTCATTTACGATATCCTCTACTACGGATACAAATTCTCCATTATCGACGAGAATGGAACGCTCCGTCAAGGATACAATTTGTCCTATCTCATTGACGATGCGGGCAGTGCCCTTGGTGGAGGACTGGATTATGGATTCAACTACTACAATGGCAATTTCAAAAAGGACCGCATCCAAGCCCAACAAGACAAGTTTGACTTTTGTTATCAACAACTTGGGCTCCAAGCTGGCATGACTGTCATTGATTGTGGCTGTGGCTGTGGTGACTGGCTCAATTATCTGCGCACCCGTGGTGTGACGGGCATTGGAATCAATATCACACCTGCTCAAGTCAAAGTCTGTCGGGAGCGGGGACTCACAGTGCTGCTGACGGATTGGAAGTTAATTGGAGGAAATGCCGAGTTTGAGAAACAGTTGTATGGAAAGGCAGATGCCGTCACTTGTTGGGATACTGTATGTACTGGCTCACCTCAAATTGTAGTTTGGATTTCGTTTCGTTTCGATTCTTACCTTGCATGCATGTATCCATCCATCCATCCAGATTGAACACTATGTTCCCTCCAAATGCAGAACCAGTGTGGCACAACAGGATGCAATCTACACCCAACTCTTTCAACTCATCCAAAAGTTTCTTTCTCCCGACAGCAAGGTGGGCCGCACTTGGACGTCCTGTTTGCACTACGGATCCATCGGCAAGTCCCATTGGATGACGCGCAGCTACAATGACTACTTGTTGGACAAGTTCCATTCCGGATGTTACCCCGACTATTCCACACGACAATTGACCCAGAATGCCAAACGAGCCAAGTTTACCCAAATCATGGAAAAGAATCTGACCGAGGACTATTACATGACTTCCGTCTTGTGTCCAAATCATTTCGGACGACACAAGCACACCTTGACTTTTTATCGTGCTGTGGCGCTTTCTCTAGTGGTGCTTTTGGATCCCAACTGGCTGCAGCGTTTCTTGTGGATGAATCAGGAAGCTTGGATGGATCAGTTTGATGCCAAAAAATTGGAAGATTCCCCCATGCAGCTCTTGTGGATTATGTGGGAGCGTAACTAGCTAGCTAGCTAGAGCTAGATACGTGTAGCTCGATAAATCAAAAGAGGAGTTACAACGGCAACTTTACAGGACAATCGTATCTGCTGTAGATAAGGCGTACATGTACTCAGTGCGTCTACTAGCTGCTGGCTAGAGAGGCTTGGTGTGGTGGTTGCCCAGCCTCGCTGCATATCAGATACCGGTATCAGGAAACCAAGTGAGTTGGTTTTACCAGCTTAGCTGTTTGGTTCGGTTGTACCGTGGTACCGTCTGCGGCGCTTGGTTGGTATTTACTGTTTTTTCCTTACTGCCATGAGGTCAGTAAAAGGAGCAGTAATGGCAGTAATGCAGTAATTCCTCAGTAGCAGTAATCATACACAGTAATTTAGAGCCAATTGAAGGCAGTAAACTACAGTAATTACATCAATTTAGGCTAATTACTGTGCTTTTACTGTCATTTACTGGATATTCCTGTTGCATAGGCAGATTACTTACTGCATGGGATTACTTACTGCAGTAACTAGGGGGCCAACAATGGCACTAATTGGACAGTAAGGAGCCAGTAACTGCGGCGGCGGCTGTCCCGTGCTTCGGTTGGATCCGTTCGAAGCATGCATCGAAGATCGAAACAAGCAGCAAGCTGATGGGCTATTAATGGTCTCGGCGACTCTCACCCCGGCTTGTATGGAAATCTCGAGCTTCCGTCCCCAAAATCAATCAAAGAAGGGCGGACAATGAATACTGATAATAGCGATGACGACTTTGAGCTGATGACGATTGTGGATCAGAGGATTGCAACAGCACTTGAAGACAGCTGCAATTCTCGAGAAAGAGACCACCATCTAGGGAATCAACACCCAAGGGAGAATCTGACTGCACCCAGCCCACATAATACCGGCAATACCAAGAGTCTAGATCAGAATAATGGCTTTGACTTGATGGGAAAAGAGCTGGGTTTCCCGAAGTCCCACAATCAGGCGTCACGCCCAGCAAGAAGTCTCATGTGTGATATGGAGGAACCAGAACAAGTCAATATTCAAAGCTGCAGTATTGGTATGACATCCTTGAGGCGCATGTGATGTCATAGCAGAGTTTGTACAGCCAGGAGCATATCCTGTTGATGGGATTGCCCCACTTCTTCAAGAAGAAGGTGGATCTTCGGGATTGGACAATGAAGGAGAAAACTGGGAGGAAAACGATATCCAAGCTGTCGCATATCCCATCAACCATTAGGGATCGGAAGAATTGCTCCCCAACGGAGTCCCCTTCATCGCGAGAAACAGAGCTGCTTGGAAAAGAAAACTTGTGTGTTATGTTTCACTTCAAACGATTATTGGCATGCTCATTGTGACCACTTTCCTGGTGGTTTTTGTTGTGGTAAATCCAAGTATTGGGAGTGGAACAGTCAACAACCAATTGGTCACAGAAAATGGGCTTGTTAGGGCTCCAGTGCTGCCCGCTGCCACACAAGCGCCAACAAGTTCGATTGATGGCCTTCTGACATCTCTAAACCTTCCCGACTACACTTTGGAAGCTCTACAAGACCATAGATCTCCCCAACACAAGGCTTATGAATGGATGTTGGAGAACCAACTGAACCAACTGAACCAACTGAGTATTCAAACCTATCCCAATTGGAGGTTGACCCAAATATTTGCTTTGGCTACCTTCTTCTTCTCCACCAGGGGAGACTTTCATGATGGCTGGCTTGACTGGGAAGTTCATGAGTGCAACTGGGAACAGCAAGCTCCTTATTCAGACTACATGCCATGTGATGATTCTGGGCATATAAGATGTTTGTCCTTTTTGGAAACAAGCTAGATGGAACCATTCCACCAGAGCTATCACTTTTGAGTGGAGACTTGGAGGTTCTGATATTGCCAAAGAACATGGAGTTGAAAGGGTAGATCCCAACGGAAGTTGGATTACTGACAGAGCTGCGAACTTTCCATACGGAACTATCAGGAACAATGCCCACAGAGCTGGGTCTCCTGTCAGATTTGAGGGAGCTTGGCCTTGGGGGGACTGGAATATCAGGAACTGTTCCCACCGAACTGGGCAATTTGGGTTGCCTAACAAGCATATCTGTAGTCATGACCCAGCTGAAAGGTACGCTTTTTTACTGTGTCTTGCAACTCTGCATGCATTTGTCATCACTAATATGCTGGACTCCATATTGTTTCCAGGCACAGTCCCTTTAGAACTATTTAAACTAACAAAATTGACATGGGTTGGAATATAGGATGGCCCTCAACTGGCCTCAGATAAACTCCTGCCCAAACTTGTTGCAAGAATGCCCCAACTGGAGTCTCTCTTGCTGACCAACAAGGCTGATGATGCCAACACCCAAATACCCAGTAAGTCATCTTTTGTTGTACCAGAAAAGGCATCAAGATTTTACTAATCTCCGTAAACCAAGCTGAAATTGCAAGGTTGTCCAATCTTACGTTCTTGACCATTGGAGATTGGAACATTAGTGGGTTGATTCCAAGCTGGGGCAAATGAAACAGCTAGTAAGTGGAGCTGTGAAATAGATTGGTTCTCTAGCTAGTGATATGCTTACAGTTCTTTGCCAATCTTGGTCTTTTTCATAGACGTTTCTAGCACTATGGGGAAATTCTCTTTCAGGGCGCATTCCACCAGAATTATCAAAGCTAAGCAGTAAGTCCTCAAGTGGGGGATGTTTTGGCACAGAATAGTCATCTTAGTTCACCAAACATGTACTCTTTTCATGCAGACTTGACTTCGTTAGACGTGAGTTCCAACCAGCTAGAGGACAAGCTCTCACCGGGCTTGTTTTCAAGCCTGACTTCGTTGAAAGGGCTAGGAATGAGTGGGAATCAATTCATTGGCACCATTCCAATTGAGATCGGCCTCATGTCCAACCTTCTGGAGTTACAACTGCATGACACATACTTGTCTGGAACTCTACCCACAGAGCTCCTTGCCTTGACCAATTTGCGAACCTTACTGGTTACCAATACATCCTTGTCTGGGAGCATCCCTAATGAGCTGTGTGGCATGATGCGTGGTTATGAAAGGGAATGCCATGAAGCTCATGGCCGCACCGGCAAAAAGACCACCGCAAATGTGTGCCAAGGCACCTTACTTTGTGGGTGCAGCTGTGGTCCATGCTGATGAAGGCAATGCTAGCTAGCTCGAGACCAGGTTTTTAATTATTAAAGCCCAAGAGGAGTGCACATTCCATCCTTCTGTAGCTACATGGTTTTTTGGATGTTGTTGACTTCCAAAGACAGACAGCCGCCATACAGAGCAGAGCAGTCTGGCAAGGAACGGAACAAACAAAAAATCACGTCCACGCGCTGGGTCGTGGCTATGAAGGACCCACCCAGGGAAGCCAAGCTCTCAAGAAAGAGACGATGCTGAACGCACAATCCCCAGTTCACGAAACAATACTTTTATTACTTGTGCAACAAAACACCATGGCACCCTCTCTTCTATCGTTGGTGGACTATTCGAAACACCGTGCGGATACCTCTCTGCAATCATTGGTGGACTATTCGAAGCACCGTGCGGATATCTTGAATGCTCGATTCAACTCTAGTAGGTTGCCTGAAGTTCCCGAACATCAACCAGTCAAACCACATAGAGTGGCCTTTTCAAAATATGACAAATCTGATGGATCTTTTTCTAGAGTATCATCTGTGATAAAGGCTTCCGATCAAATCGGCTGTGCGCCGCTTGAGAACGCCTCGAGTCACCCAACAGGAATCTCTGGTGCTCGGGCTATCGTCTCTTCATTGGTGGAGTACAACGATATTTGGATGGGCAACATCCTGCCCTTTGTTGGCATTGGGCACTATGCGTTTGTCGCAGGAGTCAACAAGCAATGGAAACGACTTTATCAGGAGTACTGTGACAAAGAGAAGCATCCTCCAGTTGTAAAAGATGGGCCTTTTCACCGCTCGGCCACCAGAACAGACACATTTTGGAGCTCCCTGTACGAGATTCTGGGACCGAGACAAGTCCAGGGCTCGAAAGCCACACTATGCCGAGGGGCTCAACGTTTTTGACGTGTATCCACGCATTGCTGCACTTGGCAATCTGGCCCTTCTTAAGTGGGCTCATCGACAGACCATGACTGAATCCACTTGCGATCTCAATTGTGGCTCCAAATGCACAGTTGAACATTCTGAAATGGGCAAGGGCAAATGAGATGAAGAGACCTCTGCTTGGGATGCTTCGGGAGGTTATTTGCTGGTCCTGCAATGGTCGCGGGAACGAGGCTGTCCTTGGGATTCCAGGACGCTCAGTTGGGCCAATGGGGACGAGACAATGGGTGCCAAGCACTATTGCGTCCCCAAGTGACGGTGAGTTACATTTTTCAAGTTCAATATAGAATCTGCAGTTTGATTATTAACTTAGGGTGTGTGTCTTGTGTGTAAGTTGTTCGGGGGCGTGTGACTATTGCCAATCATTTTGTCATCATCAACGATCTAGTACCAGTCGTGCGGCACCGCCCCCTCGGAATCATAATCATGCTGCGGGTAATCCTCTGGAGCTAGAATATCGTAGTACTCCTCTGGCTCTTCCTCGCTTCCTGAATTATCCTCGTCTTCTTCATCATCCTCCGCTACAGCATTGGGGTCGTAACTGGGATTCCCACAGCCACAAAAGTGAGGCCGACGATCAAAGCATTCCCGACAAACGTATTCTGTACGATCAATTGGCCCAATGGCGACATCATCATTGTTCTCGATTGTGATCCTGCACTGCTCACACCAGGTGTTCAGATCCTCCTTGCAGGAGTCACAGGCTTTCCGGTGGCACTCCTGACACTCCACACTGCACCCGTCGCAGATTCTGCGCCTACAATAGTGCCTCAAGCAGCGGCTTTTGTTGATAGCCCGATACTCACAGTCAGACCTTCGACCATATTCATCCTCGTAGTCTGCATTGGGAAAGCCATCGTGCCACTCCTGGAAAACCTTGGGTGTATCGGTGTCCTGCTTACAGTCTTCGCACTCGTACTGCCTGCACCTTTGGCAACCTTCCTGGAAGACGCAATCTTTGCATAAGATGTCGTCGCTTCCACAGACTACTCTACCTGTCTCCTTGCGTTCCTTGTCTGCCTGATCCCACGCCTCCCTCCAGACTTTCTGTTTGTTTCCCGAGCTCTTTGTGACAGTGTCCCAATCAGGTACCACAGGAGTTCTTGGCCATTTCGTTCGGCAGCAAGGCTGAAAGCCCTTTTCCAGCTGATCCGCCGACAATGAATCCATCACTCCACACCTGGCGCACATATCCATTTGAAAGTACTTGGCAATGGGAAGAAGCAACTTTGGAGACTCCGGTTTGCAGCCGCCACGGTAGAATTCGACCCAATCCAGAAAGGCTTGCATCTTGGGAGAGGGCTTGCTCTGTGAGCTTGCCCATCGCCAGTAATGTCGATGATCTTGATATACAGTCTGATAAGTCAATTCGTAGTATTTTCCAAATTCCATTTCTTCGTCTCCGCCCTGATGTAGATTGATCAGGAAAAGGCAATACTCATTCATGGAAGAGTGATCAATAAAGGACGGTAGCTCAACGATTACTGGACCACCGTTCCCATTTTCTTGGTGGCAGTCAATGATATCTTTGATGAGGGGACTTTCAAAGATCGGATGTTCCCCTGCATCGCCGTCGACGAGCAGTTTTTCTCCTTTGGCAAAGTCGAACCGAATGATCATGGTTGCAACCGAATCGAATTCTCAACTACCGTACCGTACTACGACCGAGAGTTGGTGGACACTGCTGTGGGCTCTCTATCTTTCGAAGAGAGAAAGAAGTCGACGCAATAATAATAATGAGTCAAAGAGGAGCAATGATCACCGAACACAAGGATCAAGTCGCCAAACCACACAGAACGCATCAGTTGAAACTTTGAGGGAAGCGAACCGGTGGGTCCAGTCTCATCGTGGAAACCGACCGATAGCTGGCACATCAGGGGGATGGAGAAACTTTTATTATTGCCACCCCATGTTCACCAGGACCATTAGTGCCATGGTACCATTTCCGACCACCGTGTCATGAAACAAAGGCACTAGTACTTTCACCACTTCCTACCCACTATCTACCACTGTCCTTGGTATACCACATTTTACCACTGTTTAAAAAGCCATTTACCGCCCGCTGTCAACCACTGTCTACCAATGTCTTGGTCGTCGCATGGGATGGATCTGGATTTCTCCACCCCCAGCAAGCTAGCTAGAAGCATAACTGAGAGCATGCAGCACGACCGAGAGACACTCTGACAGTAACAGTATGTACCACCGGTACGAATGAGAGGTGTCCAGCAGCATTTCCACGCCACGGTCCAATTTCGTTATGGACGATCCTTGTGTCTTTCCAGCGCAGCTGGTTTAACCATCAAAAGATCACAGTTCGCAGGGTCCACCCATCATCCTCAACAGCCAACAAATCCAAGGCTCGTAAGAGCTCACCTATACAAGATCGAAAAGACGCAACATGCAAGAATTGGCTTCATTAGTACTCGTGGCACTGCTACTAGTGGCATTTTTGCTGGACTCCGCGTCTGCCTTTGTGGTCCGGAAGGATCATTCTTCCTTAGTATTGTTTGCTACAACCCGCCGCTATGGACCTCCCTTGGGAGACGATTTTTTTGAATCACCACGTGTCCAAAAAGAAAAAGACCAGACGCAAGCGCGCGAATTTCGCTCCCTGCTGGACAAGGTCCTCACAGCACTGGAATCGGATCGACCCGAGCATATTCCATCGCTCCTCACGAAACACGCCGAGCTCTTGCTGCGAATGCCGGGACATGTCGTGACGGAATTGGTACAAGAGGCACTGCAAAATGACAACACTGACAAGGCAAAAGTAGAAGAAGCACTGGAAATGATCGTGTCGTTTGTGGAAGATTTCGTGGAACAATCCAAACAACTGGATGATCAGCACAAGCAATTGTTGGGCAAAATCATTCGGACCATGACGACTTTGTCAAAAAGTCAGACAGAACGACAACGAGAAGAATCCTTGGATCAATTTTTGCAAGAACATCGCCACGAATTTACACGAGGATTTTTACGTCATTTGGAAGGAGAATGCGACCGCATTCAAAGTGCTCCCAGTGTGACACCCGACAGTCTCAAACTCAAAGAAACACTATTGGTGATTCATGCCCGCATCCTCGAAGAAATGGCCGTCGATTGTTTGGGAGAAGGCGCTCTAGTGTTGGGACAGTTGATTGCTTACGATGACAAAATCGAACGCATTGCCGTATTAGAAGCGGGGTTGCAGGTGCGAGGCGTCGAATTTGCGCAAGAATTGGCCGCATTGACCCAAGAAGCCTTGGAAGGCTTTCAACAACAACAAGTGGATCCGGATCTGGTCACGCGAGTGCAAGAAATCGATCAGAGGGTACAGGAATTTGTAGAAGAGAATGGGACGTTTCAATAGTACTACAATAGAAGGAATACCGCATTCACTACATACCATCTATAAAACCCGTCCAGTACAGTGTCACTAGTCAGCGCAATAGGCGGACGCATGGGTCCAGGAGCGAGTCCAGACGCGATTGAGCACCGATAGATTGATTGGATATCTAAACCCCCGTTGCAATACGGTAGGATATTGCCATACCCCATTGGTTACCAATAAAATGAGACCCTCCAAGTACACCACCCCCAAAAGGGGGAAGATTGTTCCAAGTTCTTATGTATTTCATCGATATTTCTTACTATGGCATTAGTCTATTGTGTAGTATCGTATTGAAGTAGTGGATTCTCCTCCGACAGCTGCAATCGTCCTCGGACGCACTGCCTAGCGAATCGATTGTCTTTTTGCCTACTTCCTTAGTTACTTACTTGCTCTCCTCCTCCACTACTGTACCAATCGCAAGCACTCCTTGGCAATCATGGCTTCTTCATCGGTGGGAATGGTCAAAATGACGGGCCATGCTCCCTCTTGTGAGACAACCCCATCGGACGCTTTGCCATTTTTAGCATTGCGCGTGGCATCCAATGCCAATTGCGGCAAGAGACTTTGATGGAGTTGATCGCATGCCAATTGCCGAATTTCGGCCGAGTGTTCCCCAATTCCCGCCGTAAAGACAATGGCATCGAGCGGTCCTTTGAGAGCAATCATACTCGATGCAATATGTTGTGTGAGTCGATAGACAAACATGTCCACCGCCAGAGTCGCACTTTCATCACCCGCCGCTCGTTTGGCCAAGAGCGATCGCATATCACTGTCTTCGCCATACGCCGTCAACCCGGATCGTTTGTTCATGTCGTGTGTGACTTGATCGACCGTCTTGTCCAATTTGGAGCAGGCAAATTGGACGATACTAGGATCGATAGAACCACTGCGAGTCCCCATCATGAGTCCACTGAGGGGTGTAAATCCCATACTGGTATCCATGGATTTGCCATGCGATACGGCCGTGACACTGGCACCATTGCCCAAATGACAGACAATGAGATGGAATCCATCTTCGGCGGATTCGGCATCGCAATTGGTGTGTTTGAGCTGCGAGAGTCGTTGGTCGGCTTGGAGTGTTACGTAGTGGACACTGGTTCCGTGGAATCCAAATTTGCGCATTTGTTGGTCTCGATATTCTTGCGGCAGTGGATACTGGTATGCCACGGGTGGTATGGCACTATGAAAGGACGTGTCAAAAACGGCGACATTGGGAATGGGCTGTGGCTGATCCTGGAGTAGTTTTTGCATGGTTTCAATTCCGGCAACATTGTGTGGATTGTGGCTGTAATATATGCATAAACATAATTTGTCAACATGAGAGATGGATTGTAGGAATCAAAGACGGAAACAAAATTAAAAAAGCAAGTGACAAGAAAACAAAATGAGGACATGAGAGTTAGCTGGCTTTCGTGACAACGGGGGAAACAGCAAATCATACTTTCAACATTTCTGCCAATTATCTGCTTGTTAGATAACTTACAGTGGCGCCAAATGGGATACATCTTTGATTTGTTGCAATTCCTTTTGCTCTACTACAACGGAACTGGTAAAGGTGGTCCCTCCATGGACGACGCGATGTCCAATGGCGACCAAATTCTCGAGTAACTGTTCCTTTCGGAGATAGTCAATGACATGGGAGAGGGCTTGTTCATGACTCATATTTTGCTCCGCAATTTCAGTTTGTTGGGGCAGGTGAATGACACCACCGGGAGTATTCAATCGTTCTCCTAGAAAGTGGGCCACTTCGGTGATGGTACCATTGTTGTGAGATTGGAGGAGAGATGCTTTGAGAGACGAAGAACCCGCATTGAGAGCGAGAATGTACTGCTGTTTCGCCATGGTTTGCTTTTTTTTTTGCTAGTTGCAACTTGAATGGATTGTTCTTTCTGGGTGTTTGGATGGATACCTTTTGGATGAAAGAGGATTGTGGCAGGAAGAGGATGAAACTGGTCCTTGTGCTTTGTGTTGTGCCAGCTTTTGTGTGTTCTCAATAATTGTGCGATGCGAAGGCTGCCCTTGGCACTTCCTGGTTCCACTCAACCCAACCAAAAAGGAAGCGAACCCCTGCCGGAAGATCCAGTATCCATGACTGACGAAGTGCTCTATGTTTCATTCCCGAGTGAGTCACAGTTTTGAAATATTGATGCAATAAGGTTCGAGACAACAAGTTGGTCGCCAACGGTGGCAGGCAGCGATCACCTCCACACTTCAGTCTTCGCTCGTCTTGTTGTTCTTGTGTGAGCAATGGATGTCACCCCTCCTCATCATTCCATTGACAGGATTGAGAGGTTTTCTTACGACTAGCTACTGGCTCAACACTATCGTACGGTCCAGTTTCCACCGCTGTCATCGCTGTTCGTTTCCCTTGGAGAGTGCGACACGAAAATACACGACACTTTAGAAAAGGTAGCCTACCATTCTTCCAATCAAATCAGAACAGATAATAGTACCCTCATCACACCACAACCTACTACATTCAATTATCTACAATCACAATGAACATTGACGACGCGGCGGTCCGCACGTTGCAATCGAGTACCCCCTTGCACGTATTGACCATTTCACGGGCCACACTGCCGCTGGTGCGCATGGCATATGACCAAGATCCACTCGCGTTGACGGACGATGTACTGCAAGACGCGTTTTCAAAAGGCGCTCGACAAGACGTGGTTCAGTTTTTGGTCCAGAAAAAGGGAACCGATTCGTATCAAGTCTCGCACATGATGGGCCAAGTCTTTCTCGAAGCCATTTCTGTATTGCAACCACCACAACCAGCACAGCCAGCAGACAATACTACTACTACTACTACTGGAGATACTATTTCACAAGCCTGCCAAGCACTCCAACGATTGAATGATCTCTGTCACGCCTTTCCGGAATCCCTCATTAATACCGATCCCAACAAACTCTGTCCCGTCAGTATCGTCTTGGGCTGTACCGCTTTTCCCATGGAATTGTTAGAGAGTATGATACGGTTGGTGCCTACCAATGAGTCGCGATTTACATTACGAGGTGACGGCAATTTGCCGACCGACCATACCGCCTTTTTCAATGCCATGCGACACGAATTTGACGATCGATGCATGGCAGCCATTGGGCTGATCCTCACAAAAGTCTCGGAATTTCATTGTCGATGGGAACATTGGACCGAACGCACGTTCCAACAGTTTCTGACACACTTATTTGCGTCGACATGTGCCGTTCGAGAAATGCACATGGACATTTGGCCCTTTTCCTTTGACAAGACACTCGCGCAGTTAATGACGCCAGTGCCATCATCATCAAGTCAACAAAAGTGCAATCTCCGCGATATATCCATTAGTTTTGTGGGAACGGAACGAAAACCCGATTTTAGTATTTTGACACCACTGCTGCAATTGAATTGTTTTGATGGCGTTGAAATCTATATTGCCAAGCCGTGGAAAGGTACGACAAAGCAAGACAGAAAACAAACAAAGTGCTATTCAATACTCTCTTCTTCTTGGCTCACCGAACCTAACTTTTTGACTTCCTTGCATTCACAGTCAATTCCTTTATTTGCGACACCCTCTGTAAACTCATGGGACAGGGACGACTCCAAAGTCTCGACTTGATTGCACAAACCGATTCCGATACACTATTCTTACCACTTATTCATGCCGCACACAAATCGCAAAATCTATGTGACTTGAGACTCCAAAATCTACAACATCCTGGTGCCGTCAAACGCGCTCAAGAAACCGTGCTGTCACATTTAGAACAATCCAATACCAAATTGGAAGTCGCACTGATATCCGATTCGTATCTGACCAGTGATACCATACTCGAACATTCCGGAACACGCATGCAAGCACATGTCAATCCGGAATGGTTCCTGGAACGCAAACAGGGGAATCCCCAACAACGGCAAATTGATTACTGGACACTCCTCAATATTTGTGGCCGGGCGCGAGCTCGTGATACCAAACACATGCCCCAAAAGGAATTGTGTGCCATTGTTTCGCAAGAAGCACTCGAGGAATGTTTGGAGTTTTTGGATATTCCAGTCACGGCCAAACAAGATTTCATTACCAATATGCAATACGGATTGTTGCGGGAAGCACCCACTATTTGGTTGCCCAAGTCCAACAACACAATAAGCACACGACAATCCAAACGCAAACGAAAACACTCCACGAAGGGAACACGGAAGAGTACCCGCAAACGGCGGAGTACGACGACCGCCATAAAGTCCGAGCCATGATTTGAGTTTGTTCATTGAGTTCGTATGATTTGTATTTTGGGGGTGCAATGAAGGATGGACGGATGGAGTTGCATTTGTTGTTTTAGGGTAAAACGAGCTATTGGCTATTATATGGCTTTGTTGTATTACAGGTTCGTTCTCATCTTTTCACGGGATGGTGTTTCTTTCAATTGTTGCTCTGTTCAAGTCATGTCTGGCTCTCGGTCTAGCTAGTCATCTGGCTCTCGGTCTAGTCAAGTCATCAAAGCTCAGCACTAGTAGTAGACTGGCTAGCTTGTAGAGACGGTCAGGACTTCTTCCTTCCTTCTGGGCAAGAAAGTGGAGGCGCTGACAGGTTCTTGATAGCTTTTGCTAGCGGGCCGTCAGGTGACAAATGCTTCGAAGCAAACGACACAGATCGGTAGAATGATTTCTTCAAGGATGGGTGCGGCAACACAGAGTTCACGAAAAGGTGCCCTTCTTGCAATAATGTTTTCTCGTGCATGCACCACTCAAAGGTTGAACAGACCTGAAAGAAATCCCAGCTAGCTATAGCTCTTAAACTGTTATCATTGGTACATTACTGGCGCAGAGACCCGCTTTATAAACAAACCTTCTCATTTGAGATGTCAAAGAAGATTCAGTCAATCTCGTTTGGTATTGCACTGTAGGTACCGTACGTGAGGAAGACTGCACTGAAACGACGGGGAGGGAAGGAGGGTATCCTTGGACCCAAGCTATATATGCATCATGTTTGGATAGCTACACCAGTCAGTCATGGCATGCCAGCGAATTGTAGAGATTCGGCTCCTCGACCATCTTGTTCTCTCTTTTGCAACTGTTCCTTGACTCGTTCCGCTTTGGTGACAGCTTGTCGTCGGACTCGTTCCATATCCTGCAGTGTATCGTACTTTGTCGTTTCGTCATCCATATGCACGGCCATCTTGTCCATGGGTAATGTCGAATTGTGCGAGGCATTGCCTGCCACGAGCACGGTCCGTTCGCGCACCACTTGCGGTAACACCCCCGAAATGACATTGAAAATGGCCACGGCCCATCCCGGTACGGGAAAGACAATGAGACGATTGAGTCGTTCCGGATGCACCGCCAACAATCGTGTCGAGACGGTCCGAATGAGGGGAATCAATTGGAGTGGTTTGGGATTGGCCCACGGGGGAGCGCCTCGAACGTCCAACCACAAATCGCCCGTGGCGAGTTGACTTTTATTGGTGTCATCGAGTTCACTAAAGAGATCATAGAAATACAAGGCGAGGGCGAGGGAATGAATCTCGGCACACGCCAATTTGGTGTCGATTTGTGCCGGTAAGGCTTGGACCAGAATATTGTTGCTCTCGGGAACGTAATGGGCAAAGAGATATTGGGGAATCGGTGTCCGTCGATATTTGGAGAGATCGGGAACACTGGCGTGTTTTTTGCTGCTGTGTCCACAAATGGACGGAGGAAAGAGAAAGACTTCGTCGGGTTCTTGTTGGCATCGTTCGACCTGATACCAGGCAATCTCCCAGGCTTGTTCCCAGACTTCGTGGTCTCGCTCGGCGGGTCGTATGGAAGAAATGGACGTGCTAAAGCGTTTCCAACTGCTGTCCATGGGAGCCTGTTGGGAAGAACGGCTAATGCCCAGACTGTACGGCTCGTAGAGGGCACGCCATTCCAGATAGGCCTTCAAGGGTGCCCTTGCCTTGTCGTTGCCATATTGCGTCCAAAACCGTTGGCATTCCGAGGGACTGGCCGATGGAAACTCCTCTTCCAGCACGGACCACGGGTTATTGTCCGTGTCTTTGGTACTGGTCTCATCGGGGTCGCCGCAATTAGTAGTACCAAGGCTACTGGGGTTGCTAAATGCGGCGGAAAGACTGGTTTGGGAAGACCGCAAGTTGGATTGGGAGGACCGTAGATTAGAGCGGAAGAATTGCTGTCGAATGGTCTCAAACAGAGGCTCCACATCCACAAAACTCACTTCTTCATCTTCATCGTCGTCAAAGAAACTCACGGATCCCTTCAATAGAGGACGAGTGCGAATTCTCATTACGTAGTTCAGTAGTAAAGAATTCAATATGGGGATAATCCTTTCTCAAGCAGAATGACTGTTCTGAATTGCTAGATACCCTCAATGGATGAACACAATGTCTCTCCTCAAGAAGCAAGATGGTCGGTTTTCGGTGGCGGAGGGGTAGCAGGTCAACAGAAACTTATTGCAGGCACAAGATAATGGATGGGATCTGCGCAGCAACCCAGTTTCATGATGACTCTGACTCGGATTGTACAGCAACAGTGTAGCCAGAGTAGAAAAGTGCCTCGACAGTCGAGGATCCGGCGTGAAAACCTCGATGGTTGCAAATAAAAGGGTGCATCATCGAAAAGAATGCAATTGTGGCGTCAGAGCTGATTTGGTGGCGTCAGAAGCATGACTGAAACAGCTTTGCTGTCTAGCTTTACTGCCCTGACGGAGCGTGGTGCTGGTAACTACCGTTACGGTACCGTATCGTGGAAGCTTTTTCCGCTTGCATCATGTTGTGCTGGACCGTCCGACGGTTTTCACTCAGGATTTAAAAAGCTTCCACCACTGACAAAAAACTTGACCAGCACAATTTTAAAAGGGATTGTTTCTTGAAGGGATTGTTTATGGGATAGTTGATGAGTTAAGGGATTGTTTAAGGGATTGTTTTAAACGGTCAGTCAGTCGTGGCAATTTCAAGATTTTTTAAATCCTGTGTGAAAACCGTCGGACGGTGCTGTACCTGTCATTCGACCACGAACGCGTGGTTCGTTGGTACCCTCATTGTATGTCTAGCTACCGTAACTACTAGCTAGAGGATCGTGGAGGATTGAATTTTGAAGAATAATCGAATTCAATCCTAGGTCCTCCTTGTTGAGATCCACAGAGCTGCCATTCGACGGTTGGTTTCCATCATTCGCCGATTGAATCATTCAGATTTCCCGAAAACCATCCGACAACAAGACGCCATCAGATTGCTGCTCCCGCCCAGAATCCACCTGCGCTGCCTGATCTGAAAGAGCTCTCTCGCCACAGCTTTCTGAGGACACAAGTTAGTTGAACAAACCGAAACCATGAACTCTAGCTGGCACACCTTGCATCTGCACAACCTTTCAGACCTGCATGTGCTGGCCATTTCACGTGCTTCCTTGACACTGGTTCAAGCAGCATACAATGAAGATCCAGAAGCACTGAATATGGATGTTGTTGAGGATGCTTTCTGTTGTGGAGCATCCGGGGAGGTTCTACAATTCCTTGTGGAAAAGAAAGAGCTAAGGGAGATCTACATCCACGAGTTCATGACAAAGTCTTTCCTATCAGCCATACCCTTGCTGCAGTCAATCCCATATGCAGTAGAAGAAGTCACAGCAAAACTCAAGGAACTTGTGCAGACATTTCCAGGAAGACTGTACGAGCCAAATTATTGCAGTCCTGATCCCTCTCCACTGGAAGTTGTCCTATTCTCCACTGTATTCCCTCAAGATTTGATGGAATTCATGATAGCAATGTTGCCAAGAATTGACGAGTTCTATTTGAGGGACAATAATCATTACGATTTGCTAGTGGGTGATGAACCCTTTCAGCAGCAAATGAGGACATCTCTTGATGACGACAATAGCATGAAAAACATTGGTTCGATTTTGGAAAAGGTGGAAGAACTTGCCATTGACCGCAATGATTGGAAGGCATCTGAGCTGTCACAGCTGCTGTGCTTGATCTGTCATAACACCAACTCTATCAAAAAAGTTGCATTTTCATGTTGATCCAACCCAGGAAGCTGCAAACACTTGGTCAGACCCAAACTTGATAGCTTCAGCAAAGAAAATGTTGGAAGACAGTGGGGGGGATTGCTCTATTGAAGAGTTTTCCATTTCATTTTTTGGTGATAGCCATCCACCAGACTTTTCCATCCTGAGCTTGCTGTTGCACATGGAGAATCTCAGTAGGTTGGACATTCACATTTGGGATCCATGGAGAGCCACCCAGGTACTGTGTGATTATCTCTGTGATTTGCTGAAGCAGGGAACACTTCAGGAACTCAATGTGGTTGCTGCCACTGCCAAGGAAGGGTTGTACTTGCCGCTACTAGATGCGGCTGATAAAAGTGATACCCTGATGGACCTGAGGCTGCAGAGGTTGCAGAACCAAGCCGAAGTCGAAACATACCAGGATGCAATGCTCGGAATTCTTGATCACAACACTCAATTGTGGGTGGCTTTGATCTGTAAGGAGGTTGTAACAAATGGCACACTATTTCTTAACACTTGTGGTGCAATGCAAGCACACGGCAACAAAGAATGGTTCCTGGATCAGACCGAAGGAAGCAATAAGCAGAGACTCATTGATTACAACACAGTCTTGAATATCTGTGGGCGTGAAAAAACCAAAGCAGAGGATACATGCCTCCAAGACTTGGTTCACATGATATCTCCCAAGACCCTGCAGAAGAAGATATCTTTCCTTGGTTTTAAAGGTGACAGCGAGCAGGAGCTTATCACAATTCTGCAACATGGGCTGCTCTGTCAACATCCTGCGTCATGGGTGTCAAATGGAAAACAGGCGCAAGGTTACACCAAGGGCCGAAGTCACAAGAAGAGCACTGGGGAAGTTGCACGAAAGAGGAGGAGGGTCACAGTGCCTGAAGATGAGTCTTCTCCACAAAGCTGATGTTGAAGGCTTTCAGTTTTCAAGACACATACAGCAGATTGATACCCTCAACGCCATCCTACAGTGTACTTCCTTTCAAGTCCGAGCAAACCCTGTGCAAACCATCGTTGAAGCCAATATTATGTATGTCTTCGCGGATCCAACTATGCAAAATAGGTTCTTGCACTATTCACCATAGCTGCCTTGTCCAATCAACTGTAGTTACGTTGCATCTGGTTGGTAGGCTGCGAAGTGGACAATCTAAACATAGTTTGTCCTGCCAAGGCCCGCAAGAAGGATGCCGGACGCGATGTCCGTCGATCTGGTAACAGATCAAAACGTAGTTTTGTCCTACCAAGACCAGTCATTGTAGAGTTGCCGCGGGTGGGATGAAGCTTAGCAAGTCCATACAAAGGGAAGCACCAGTACAGCCTGTTGGGAACCAATGCACGAGAATAAGAAGGGTCCCCTTCGAGGTTTCAGTTTTTCGGTTGGCTTCTTGCAAGAGAATGCAAGCAAACTCCCCGCCCTCCGCAAACAACCACTGTGAGGACAGTGGGGCCACCGAAGCCCATGGATACGACTACCGGTGTCAGGTGGGCCAGTTCACTCAGCCCCCAAGGCACCTCCAACCTTCTGAATACAAAACCTAGCAACAAGCTTATGACTCGGGATGCATCCGGGGTTTTCGACCGTAGCAATCTCCAGGCTTCCCGGGTCCTGGTTCCTCCTTAGCAATGGGTGCACATGTGTCGTTGTGCAGCAAAGTAGTAGCTGGCATGCATAGGTCAATGCATTCTCTATGGTTCTTAGGCTATTCGAGAGTGGGTGTGGGGGCTTGCAATCACAGTCAAACTGTGGCGTCCCTGCGCTCAGGATCCCATGCTGCGATTTGCGGTTTTGTGCTAGAGCTCTCTTCCCTGTTGCACTTTCTTATGAAATTTTCTGACAGCACTAACTGGTCCTGCTGTACATTTTGTCGTTTGAGTTGAATTTAAAAAAACAGACCTGAGGCTCAGCAATCTCCTTCCCTTCTATTTAGTTGCACGCTTTGGCACTCCTGGCCTGTGCCTGCACCACTCCTTCAATGGTTGCACTGCTTTTCCCCATTTCCATACTCCACTGCAATCGCATATTGTCACTCGTGCATTGGATGCACTCCTTCAAGAGCGGATTGTCCAACCAAGACGCCACTTCGGCACGCAAGGCATCGTTCCACTGGGCATGATTGCTGCCGGGAAGAAAGTCCTTGACGTGTTCCCACAGCTCCTGCTTTGGTAAGAGAATGACCACCCAGTGCGCGCAAGTGTGGTCTCGCTTGTGGACGGCATTGCGTTCAGACCTTGGAAGCTCTTGTCAAGAGAGGAGGTAACTAAAGATTGGCAAATGCCGATGCATGGGTCTCGGACAAGCGCCTTCGTTTCAACCGTCCCCCCGCAATGACTTCTTGCATTCCTCGCCAAGATCCTGACCAACAGCAAACCACACTCCCCAATGGCTTCCAACGACCTTGCGCTCGTGTCTGTGTATGTTTGCTTATTATGACTGCAAAAGCATGTTGGTGACCAGAGTCTTCTTTCCTTCTTTTAACACGTCGTTTTGCATGGCAATCATCTTACACTCGTCCGTTGATTCCGTGGAAGACTTGGATTCTTGATGATGACTGTACATGATGTTGCCAAAAATGACAGTGACAACGACGAGATCGTTCATCCATATGATGGCACTTCGGACAAAGAACGACGATTGCGGATCACTGCCTAGAATGACCAGGACGGGGAGACCAATGACAAAAATTTGTAGATTAGAAATCATGGCAATGCTCAAATACTTGCCCTCATGGAACTTGGTAGGAATCTGGCGATTGGGAGGCAGAGTATGAAGAAGAGGAGCAGTTTGTGAGATACAAAGACGCTGCATGCACCGGCCACTTCCCACACACCGTACTATGTCCATGAGCTTATTACCTTTCGTGACATATAGCACATGCCGGTGGCCAACAACATGAGGCCCAAATGAAGCGCGGCAATAATTCCCGCAAACACAATCCAATGATCCGAGTGACAGTATCCTTCACTGGAGAGTGGGTCCCCGAACTTGTCCATGGAGGTGATGCGGCGTTTCCACTGCAACGGATCGACGACCGTCCATGTGGTCAGGATGACGACGTCAATGAGTAGAATGCCATTGACAATGGACAGTGTTTCCGTTGTGGTAATGGCTGTGGCTTCAATATGCTCGGCGGCTCTGAAGAGTGTGTAGACGCGTCGAATTTTGGCAAAAAGGGAACCGAACGTAATGGAGACTGTGTGTGAAGAAGAGAAGGGTAGATAGAATGCGTGTGAGTGAATAGCCCATCCAAGAACACATCTTCAATTCGCAGTACATGTACATGTACTACTTACAACCGACACTATACAACCACGGAATCGCCATGCACCCCGGCACGTCTTGTTCTCCTTCATCTTCGGCCGCCAATGCAAAGATTGTGCTTGAGGAGATCAAGCATCCAATGAGAATGAGCGACAGAAAGATGGGCTGACAGACCCTAACTTGAGTGGTATTGCGATTGATCCACAACCAAAATGCACAAATGGCAACGACCGTGAAATTGATTCCGACCATAATGTACGAGACAATTTTGAGACTGGTGGATATCAAATTGGTATTTTCTTCCATCATGACAGTGCAGTCGCTGCCGGTCCATTTGGTCGATTCACAGACGCAATTGCCATAGCGATCCGCCAGTCCATGGGCCGTGCTGCAGGGCAAATGGCAATTAACGCCACTACTCCCGAGAGGACAAAAGGCAATGGAGAAGAATTCGTCATAGAGTTCATCGAGAATGCCCGTGACTTTGGCTTGGTAGATCCATCGAATGATCAATTGTTGAATTTGCGGATCCAGACGCGCATTCAAGGGCCAGACAATGTACTGTTCGTCAAAAGTTTGTCGTGTCACATGTAGATCGGGATCCTTGACGGCGAGGTAATTGAGTTGAAGCTTGTCTTCGACAAACAAGGCACATCGATCTTCCTTGAGCCATAAGAGACATTCGTCATGCGTATAACAGCGTTCCACGAGCAATCCGAGAAAGCGCTCCGTGGCTTGATCGTCAAAATGCGATTCGTCCAACAAACAGACGGGTTCTTGTAAGGCGACGGCTTCTCGTAAAGTCGTGATTTGTCGTTTGTTGGCGGCGCGATGCACGTACTGCACCGTCGCCGCGGCCGTTGTCAGCAAGGGAGGCGTCAGTAGAGTCTTGATGCTGCGGCTGGGATAGCCGTAGTAGTCGCCGACAATGAGATCCAAACGATTGCAGTCTTCCAACGGAAATCCTCCCTTACGGTTGGACGTGGAGTTGCAGTCGACGCTCATGTACTCGAATTGCTTGGCGTACGAAAAGGGCGGCGCTTGTTCCAATTCCCAGTGGAGCGTGATATTGTCAAAGTCTGCAGCAATGGTGATCAAGTGTCTCATGAGCGCGGGTTGAAAGCCGCGGTAGGAAGGAAAGGGTTCTGCAATGCTGTTGCGACTGGTAATGTTCTCGTCGTAGAATGCCAGGGGTACCGTGTTGGTCAAGACGGCGGCGCGAAGCGTCACGGTGGCAGGTTTGGCAGCCTCTCGGTCATGGACGTAGTCAAAGGGAATGCAAGTGTTGTCACGTGCAACAGCAGAAGAGTTGGTGGCAGTCAGAGGTGCCACCAGCAGACCTACGAGGAGCAAGAGACGGTTCATGGCTCTTGGATACTACGGTAGTAATGGACAATCACAGGCTTCAGATGGTCTTCAGGTTGGTTCAGGAGCTGCCACAGGCTTGTACCGTTGTAAGGGCGAGATAATGGCTTCCTGTTGCGTCGGATAATGGGCTTCAAGCGGCGGATATGGCACTAAGGATAGCTAGCTAGAGTAATGATAGAGTGATGAAAAGATGCAGTATTCGTACTACCCTGAGTGAATGTTTGACAACGAAGCAGTGAAGTGGTTTTCTTCTTTTCTTCTTTTCTTCCTTCTGTGCTGATCGTGCATTATGAGCGCGAGAGGGAGGCGACCAAAAGCTCCATCCATCGTTGCAGTGGGGCAATGCCTCATTGATCAAGCGATACAGCTGTACAGCGTACCCACGCGGAGTTCAGGTCATTCTTCGATGGAGACTTTGAGATTTAAAAGGCAAAGACCCCAGTTCTGCTTTCAGCGAGTGACGAGTTAGAACTGTGACCCTGTGATGACCCTTGCTTCCGCATAAGAGCCATCGGCCAAAAGTGAAGCATGAGACCTCTAGATCTAGTAGACGACTAGAATATTTTTTTAGGAGCATCATCAGGGAGCACTTTTCACTGGTGGGAACTCACCTTCTCACCCCATCCGAGGAATGAGGTGATCTCCTAATCCGTGGCCTCTGGCAACGTGGAACTGACGGCATAATTGATGTTCGTGTCATCAATCTTGATGCTGCTTCTCACTCTGCAAGGATCCTGACAAGGTCCTTCGCAATGGCGAACGCGACAAGAAACGCAAGTATCTCGATGCATGTCTTTCACAATGCCACCACTTTACTCCGTTTGTTGTCTCTGCTGATGGTCTCCTTGGGGCCGAAGCTGATGCACTCGCCAAACGTATTTCCGCTTTGCAGCGAGCAAAGTGGGAACGCCCTTACTCAGTGGTGCGTGGCTACGTTAATGCTCGGCTCAGCCTAGCTATTCTTCGGGCCCGCCACATCTGCATGCGTGGCTCTCGTGTCCCTGCTGGCACAATGAGCTACTGTCGTTCTCTCTGGGATGCCGATGGTGCACTTGCGCTCTTCCGCTAATTTTGCTCCCTTCTCTTTCCTCGTTTTCCTCCATGCACCCCCCGTCCCCTGCCCCCCCTTTGCCCTGCTCCGTCCACATTGCTCTCCCCGTACCGGTATGCCCACCACCACAGTCACCCACCACCACAGCTTGAAGCCAAGACTCCAAGCCAGCAGGGCATAATGTCTGCTGGAGTGACCAGTCTGGCCCGCCACCCTGTATGTGGCTGAAGGAGCCAGCAATCAACCCAAAGCAGCCCACTGTTTTGGTTTCCTGATTGCTGGATGCCACCAACATGCTTTTGGACCATGGAATTTTGCTTTTTGCCGTCCATGGTCCCTTTCTCTTATGGTGCCTTCTGCCTAGTGTCCTGCATAGTCAGGCGCTGGTGTAGGAGTTTCACCGAACCCTGTGTCTTTCGACCACAGGTGATCCTCCTTCTTTGACCCATAGCGCCGTTTGATCGCCCCCACTCCTCTTTGTTCGATTGCTCTTACAGAGCCGCAAGACCGAATCACGGTCGTAAGGAACTGCCCTTGGGCTTTACCCCTTATTAGTTACCTAGCAGTAGCCAGTTATCCTCTTCT